ATAAAGTATTGCAGAACAATAAGCTTCTTTGTTGACGTCCTCAGGTATCCACAGTGTGATGCAGCATGACACCATCATGGAGTCCTCCAACCCTGATTATGTTCTGGTGGAGGCAGAAGCCAACAGGGTGGCCAAAGATGCCCTAAGAGCGCTCAAAGTCTCTCGCCAGCAGTGCAGGCTGTCCTACAACAGACCCTCTCCTGCCCCTGCACCTGCCAGGTACACAGAAGCACACTCACACACCGGTGTTTAAAGATCAAATAATCGTATTAACAACACTGCTAATTTTTTCCTTTATTTGCTCTCTCAGGAAACGGTTTGGACAAAAGAATAATTCTCTCCTGGTTGCATCTTCGGCTAAATCCGTCCCTAATCCTGGCAAATGCAAGGTAACAGAAGTGAAATATATACAATATAGAAATGACAGTTATTTTGCATTTGTAATACCATGTTGTGTTTCTCTCTTTAGGATGCTGCTATTGTGAAGAAGTCTTTGACAAAGAAGCCCGGTGCAGGAGCCCTCTTCAGTGGGGACGGCTTGGAAAGTGACTCAAACTCCACCCCGCTCTCCTCCTCCTCCCTGCTGGCCAAGATGAAAGCCCGCAATCATCTCAGCGTGCCCTGCAGCCAAAGAGAAGACGCAGAAGAAGAGGAGGAGGAGGGCTCGGCCGCTCCAGGAACAAGCCTATCCCCGGCTCCGCCCACAGAGCACGACGAGCTGTTGGTGGATGTGCGGAACTTCATAGCCTTCCAGGCCAATGTGGACGGAGAGGCCACCACACAGGAAGTGCTGGAGTATTTCAAACCGAGACTGACGGAGAAACAAGCGCCCGTCTTCAGAGAGCTGCTCAGGAGCATCTGTGACTTCCACAGGAGAACCGGTCAGGAGGGCCTGTGGAGACTGAAGGAGTGCTTTCGCTGAGGGAAGAAGAAAGACTGAGCTGTGATGCATATTTTAGGAACTGTCAGCAATGAGTCCGTAGAGATCAAGCCGAGAATATATTTTGGTTTATTTGTTTTTCATTACAATTTGTTTTAGTCGAATTGAAATGTCTGTCTGGCAAAATATACATCACTCAAACTGGATCAAAAAGGGGATTTTCACATTATTATATTTTGTTTTGGGAACACTATGTTGTAGGTAAAGATATGTTACTGTATGCAATGTAAGCTATAATGTTGGAGAAGCTTGTAAACATAAATCATTACCATTTCATCGTCAGTTCAACAACGTGTTAAATGAGTCTGCTGCAATGTGAGTCGGTTTGAGATTTGTGCTTGTTTGCAAATAATTGTTGTTCCTGATAATACTTGAATATTTTGTTTTTATATCAGCCTAAAACTTAAAACTGTTTTACCTCGAGTTATTATTTACTGTGAGAAATGTGTTTGCTCTCAAATTCTTTGTTAATTAACGGTCTCACTTGTGCCATATTTTGTAATATAATGCGGGAGTGTGTCATTTTGTAAATGTGACCAAATCATTATAGGTTCTGGTAGGTTTTGTAATTACTGACTTTTCTTAACATGTTCAAGAAAATCTAAGTTATAGTCGAATTCACCTACCTCCAATTAATTGGGGGAAGAATTTAGCTGCATTGTTTTATAAATTGAAATAGGCAAGGAATGCACTGTTTTGCATTTACTGTGTGAAATAAACCTCTGAAGCTGCTTGTTGTTTCCAGTTTGGTTATCAACAATGGAATAAAAAAGACATCAATTATGTTAAACGATTATTGTATTTTTGAGTTTTGTGGTGAATATTGTTGTCAATATGGACTTTTTTATTTAATTTGATATTTCAAAGTTCAATAGTATTTAAGATCACTGTCTCAGTTAGACCATTAAGGATTTTTATTTGCGTGCAGAGCTGACCAAGGTATTGAAATTAAATAACTGTCGAAAGTATGTAAACATGGGATTTGAAATCTGCCAAATCTAGTTACATTTCACTTGTAAAATTGTTTCTAACCAACGAAGATAAGTGTAATTTCATTTAGTCACTTAAGCCCCCATCACAGGAGGAGAGGAAGCCGCTGACAGGAAGCACACACACATCCACACACACACATCCAGACAACACTATTCAGGCCTCTGCTCTCGTCAGACTTGTCTAGATCAAATATTGGGATAAAGTTATCAACCGTTATTTGATTTCAATTTTCTCCACGCACCTCACCGAGGTCATAATAACAACTTTATTTTCAGTGGTGCATAAATTAATTACGCGCATTTAATAACTAAAATATCATTATATTCCCCCTTTAATAACATAAACGCTGCACGCCAGGGAAACCCTTAATAGCGCGGGGCCCTGTAACTGGCCATTATCCGCCTGTAATGATATTACAGAACCAATTACGCGCCATTAGAAGGGATTTTCTGCACTTTATGTGGTTTAGTCCAATCCCGCACTCCTCTTCTAAATTTCAGCTGCTTCTCGAAGCCTCATTTTGCCTCCACCTCAGAGACGCATGGCGTCTGCGCTCTGCCGTCCCAGATGCGCTTTAAAACTAATTGAAAGGGTCCCGGAGCAGATCATTTATCTGAGGAAGCGAAATAAATCGCAGGACCCCTTGCTGTGAACAAAATCAAAAATTTGGCCTTGTGAGTGTTCTACATGCGCAAACCCTTGTAAAGTGGACCCCCTAACACACCCTGACGAGCAATTAACCCACCCGACAGTCAATCTAAAACCCAAAAGCAGTCATCCTCCTTTTTTTAATATATGAAAGAACCAAATAAAAAGTGCAGCGCGTATGTGTGCATGTTTATGGTTAGGGAATATGCTTGACTCTGGAATAACAATCACTTGTGATGAATTTTGTTGGCACAATAGCAGAGCTGCCGTTTGCCACCCTGGGTATAACTCCCTCTCTCCCTTTCTATATTTCTCTGACACACATATGCACACACACATACACGCACACGCACACACACACGCACACACCAGGGGTTGGGGGTGAGAGAGACAAAGCCCTGATAATCCGATTAGGACCAATTAGGCGTGAGATTCTGCGACACTAGCTGAAAGCCTTAACACTCTGTAGACAGTTATACAGTTATAGAGACATCTGGACACTCCCAGAGCGAGAAAGATGTGTGTGCTGTGTGTGTGTGTGTGTGGGGGAGAGAGGGAGAGAGAGAGAGAGAGAGAGAGAGAGAGAGGAAGAGAGAGAGAGAGAGAGAGAGAGAGAGAGAGAGAGAGAGGAGAGAGAGAGAGAGAGAGAAAGAGAGATAGGGAGCGAGAGATGTGGACACTCCCAGTCTGAGTCAGTGGAGGTGCAGCAGCCACTTCTCTCCAGAGCTGGAACTCACTCACATCAGCATCCTCTCTGCAGGTATAGATGCTCATCTCACACCAACTTTGAATCTTCCCAAGTCTCCACCTCTTTTTTAAGGACGACTTAATGTGTCCGATTTTTCCAGCACAGATCTGTGTTGCACAGTTAGCGGCTGAAGGAGATCCGATGCTTTTGGCTGAAACTTTTGTCTCTGTTCCAGGTTTAGTTTCGCCGCTCGGAGACGCGCCAGGATGTTCTACTTTCACTGTCCGCCACAGCTGGACGGAGAGTGCTGTCGCACCAATACATGTGAGTTGACTCTATTGCGTTTTTACAGCGACCTTTAGTTGATTTCATACAGCTGCGAGTTATTTCAAGTGTCTCTATCGATGCGTGTTGGAAAAGTTTGTGATGTTCAGGCTGCGTAATTATGCGCACAAAGTGTGTGTGTTGTTATTGTTGGAGAGGACCGAGAGTAGGCCTGAGCTAATGTTTGTATTTGTATTTTTATGATCTTCTTTAATTAATCATATTTTTTACATAAAAGTGATTTTTTATGAATTGGTCATTTCAAAGATTTCAAGATTGATCGACCTAATAGCACAAACAGTATTATTCATCTTCCTAACGTAAACTTGAAAGGGTTGGCTGCTTAATATTTTTCTATTTACCACAATTTCAAATGAGAATATCAAGGATTTAGTCAGATTTCCCCTCTGCTATGTCAATCTGCAGGCTGTTTTGGTGAAAGCGCTGGTGGTTTGGCCCCGGGGCAGAGGGGGCGTTTTGTCCCGGGCACAGATGTTAGGTGTCATGGCTCTTAGTCCGTCATGGTTCCCCTCAGACACCCAACATCAATGTTTCATGCAACTAATGGAAATACAAAATGTGCCAAAGATCTGGTCTGCTTAGGCCAAGTATTATTTAGCCTGTATTTCTTTTTATGCAGTTCATTTTTTGGGTATATAATCCAAGTTCTCTTGTTAACAGACTGACTGAATTCTTTAAAAAGAAAGGTGCAATTGTCAAACTAATTGTATTGGCTGAACTCTCGAATAAACTTTTTTTTCTTTTTACAGTGAATTCAAACAGCTTTGGTAACCACGCCCCGGCTGATTTTGATGATGGATTTTTGCGTAGAAAACAGCGCAGAAACAGAACTACTTTCACTTTGCAACAGGTAAGAATTGTCCACCACAAAAATATCCTTATTAAGAAATACATGGAACTTTACTAAGAGCCAAACTAGCATGCAGCACTATGATAAAAAGTAAAAGTAGAAAAATAAAACACTTGGCAAAGTTTACAAAAATGAAGGACCTTTGCAGAGACTTATTATAGAAACTAAAATAAGACTTTTATAATGTGTCAATGCGAGATCAACTTTAAATAAATGAATAACACTGATTCATATTTATTATTGATACAAAATTCAAATTGAGGAAATCACTATAGCCAATATTTTTTGTCCTTAGGAAGGGCGTACGTGGTCATAAGTGTAAATGGCCCTTTCTTTGCATGCAGTCAATATGATATAAATCCAATATTTAGTCCTATTTTAAGATCATTACCTCTTTCATCCAAAAAGCGATTTCATTTTTACAAGCATCTATCTGCTGCTGATTATAACATTAAAGAAAAATAAGGGGAAAAAAGAAAACTACAAATGCATCAGTTTAAAAAAGAAAACGTCTTCAAAGTAATATTTACCTGGTGTTTTATGTTTGTGCAGTTGGAGGCTTTGGAGGCCGTGTTCTCACAGACTCACTACCCGGACGTGTTCACCCGGGAGGAGCTGGCCATGAAGATCAACCTGACGGAGGCCAGGGTGCAGGTAGGCAGCAGCAGCGTGATGTGTCCTGGGCACGTTTGACCATGCAAGAGAGGGTAAATTAAGCCACTCTGTCATTCCGGCGATGCACTTTAATAACATCAACATAATGGTGAATATTAGATTAGCTTGATTAATCGGTCATTCATAATTAACCAGCGATAATGTTCCTCGCTAATTTGTCCGCGTCTCAAAGGTAGGAATACATCATCCATGCAGATCCTTTTCCAGTTACGCAGACAGAAAACGATAAACGCTGTAAAAAAGAGGGCAAAGCCTGCAGCCTTCAAATCTCTCTCTTTCTCTGTCACACACACTTTAAAACACAAACACACACACACACACACCTTTAAATTTGTCAATTTATATTCCGGTCCTGCCCTGCACATATGCGCGGTTATAAACTTGGCCAGATGTAATTAAGTTATGTGTCCTGTATGTAATTTCCCGCATTCCAGATTTGCTTTTGGGTTTTGTTGTGCGCACAGATCTAATTGTGGGAAATATAATAGTTTGCCTTTTGTTCCCCAGGGTCATCTTACTATCGCTTAAACCCAATGTCGGGGTTGATAATGGAATCCAGCGCTGTAAATTAGGGATTGTAAACAAATTATTCCCCTCCTAATCCGATTACCACATTCCTATTATTAAATCTGAACATGAATCCACCGCAGTATGCAGGGATATTAAACTTACATTATTATTAGAAAATAAATTTCCTTTCTGTTGTAGTGCTATTGCCCCCCTTTTTGTAAAGTGTCAATGGGCCTCCCCCGCATTAAGAGCACGCTGCAAATTGAGATTAATGGAGCAATTATAGCCCATTCAGAGACGGGTGTGTGTGTGGGGGGGCGCGACTTCTAGCTGGAAGGTGCAGGGGTGAGATAAGTCCATTGGTTGTATTGTTGTCCTGCCACCAACATGTTGTCCATTCTTTATGCCGAATGAATGCATGTGTTTTGTTTGGCTGTTGACATCATTTGTACCTCTGGTACAATAGGAGGGATGCAGAGTACATGCACACCGACGCTAACCTCCATTCACACATCATGATTAATGCCTGCTAGAACCAAGTCCTAATCGAATCTGATGTTGTCAAACAATCACTAAATAGGGAAATAAACGACTTCATCATAGCTGCCTCTCTCTCGGGCAGCACAACTGTCAGTGGGAAGTCATTAAAATATGATAATGAAAAATTGCTCAATTAAATGTTGTTATAGGCAGTGACCTTCATTCGATTAAGATACTAGAAGTTGGTTGTATGTTCTCAGCTGTGTGGATGGGAAGTTTTGGGATAAGTTGCACACTGTGGGAAATTAGAGCGCTTGTGTGACACATTCAAACCCATCCTGAAAAACATTTACAATTGGTGTGCTTAAGTTTGCATTGGTTTATCTGTGATATGCCGAAATATTTTACAAGAGAAATTAAGAACTTGATAAGAATCAATTGGCCATGAGTATAAAGCTGCCTTCAATAAATAAACTAAATGGATGCTAATATGTCAGGAATAGCAGCCAATTTCCAGTTTTAATTGGTGATTTAATTTAATTGTCTTTCTTTTTGTAATGCAGGTTTGGTTTCAGAACCGCAGAGCAAAGTGGAGGAAGACAGAGCGAGGGAGCGCAGACCCTGAAGGAGGAAAAGAGCAGATGAGTGACGGCACTCCTCCATCTCGCATCAACTCTCAGTCCCCTGTGGACCACGGCAGAAAGCAGAAAGACCCGCTGGAGATGCAGCAGAGGTGAGACAATACAGATATATCATTCTTGTAGCTGTTGTAAAACAGTATCACACTAGTGGCATAAAGCTTCTTATGTCCCAAATTTGCAGGCAGGTTAATTTGAATGATGGAAATAAATAAGAGGCAATATCCTTTCCTTCAAAAACTAAAACCACGAAACACTAACAACCATCTACTTAATTTCTGTAAATTAAACTGTCCCACTAATTTGATAAGGAAACAACCAAAGCAGAGTAAGGCGGCTCTGCCGTGCATGTTGTAGTAAGATACAAGTTATAAAATAGTTGCAAAAAAATCCTAGAAATGTATGTGTATTAATAGAATAATTTGTCAATTTCTTTTCTTCACAAGATAATTTAAAATAGTATGCCTTTTTTTCCCAGTATGAACAGGACAGTGGGTCCAAGTGGTCCGTTCTTCCCATCTTGTATACCAGGCACACTCCTGAACTCTGCCACCTACGCCCAGGCCCTCTCACAGGTCGCCACACTGAAAGGTAAATATGATTCTCATTAATTTTTCAATGGTGATAATTAAGATGTGATGAGGAAAATCTGGTTTCCAGGAGTCTCACCACAAGTCCCACTTTCCCACTGTTTTTCAGGTAATGGCTTATGCTCCTGCTGTGTCTCTGACCCCATGGGCTTGTCCTTCCTGCCGCCCTACGGTTGTCAGGGAAACCGCACAGCCAGTGTAGCCGCCCTGCGAATGAAGGCCCGCGAGCACTCGGAGGCTGTGCTGCAGTCTGCCAACCTGCTCAGTGCGGCGAACGGGGGGCCCGGGGCCGGCATGGGGGTCCTGTCTGGAGTCGGCATGGGCTCAGCTGGGCTGGCGAGGCCCACAGTGGGTCCCCCCATTGAGGTGCCCGTCGCTCTGGGGAGAGGGGGGGACAGCTCCAGTCCCAGCCCGGCCACCAAGGTCCTGTCCCTGGGCAGCAGTCCGGACAAACACCCTCACTGCTCCAAGGAACCACTGGAAAAAAAGTGAAGCACTGAACATTAACGTGGATGAACTGATACTCTAAATCTGTGTGACCGTGCCTGTTATTACTACGTTCCTATGAGCAACGAAGCACAACTACTGACCGACTCCAGAAACTGTCTGGGAGACTTTACTGATATCACAATGTATGGATGCAACATTAAAATATTTATTTGACAGTAAATTATTATTGTTTGTGAGAAATGCTGAATATTTGGGGCCTTGTTAACCCCACAGAAGCACAATGTGGTTTTGGATCTATCTGTCTTCACACACTCTTGGACTCTATTTGCTGGACTAAGATAGATACATGTGTGAAACAGAACCTGTTTGATAATGTGAATTCAAGTAATCCTAATACAGATCCTCTTCTTTTCATGAAGAGGACAGATGCTTACATTGTGAATGTTGATGCATGTAAACTGTAAGTACAGAGCTGATGGCAGGACAGGGAGGACCTTTTGGAGAATTTTGGCAATATAATGTTTATGCCATCAGGTCATTTATGGGCTCAAACAATCTCTTATTCTTTTTGATTTTAAAGTGAAAGTGCACTTTATTATTCAGCCACTTTTTAGTGTAAATGTGTACATGTGCCAGAATACAGTATGTCCATGTGTGAACCCCAGGCGGGCAGATGCAGTGACGGAGCGCTCAGTTAGCACATCTGTAGCGCCAGCAGACAGGGAGCACACCCGTCCTGTTGTGACATGTTCTTTAAAACAATCAAAGATGTAGTCGCTCATGTTCCTCTCCTGTTGCCTCTCGCTCCAGCCATCTGTTCTGATACATTATTTATCAGTTTCCCTTAAAGCTGGGAGAGGAGAGCAATCGTGACTCTTATTATTTATTTACTTTTAGGAACGCTCACCCTCTTTCTCTTCCTCCCTCTCTGAGCATTTTTTTTGATACACCCAATTAAACATGAAATATGCTATTTATCAGTGTTGAATTTGCATTTTTAAAAACATTACACCACGCCTCTCCAAACTGAATTTTTCACAGGAAATACATTTGATTGTTCCTAAATATTTCTCCTGACTGCATTGATTCTTGACTTAAGAATCAGCTGATCACATTGCAAATACTTAACCGCAGAGCACACAAGCAGCAGTTGGGCTGATTCAATTTGCGTCCTTGAGGATTTTCAGGAAATTACTTTTGATAGTCAATAACACAATTAAGTAAACTACACACACATTATCATGAATAATTGATAAGAAATTATGTATTACCATGAAGTACTGGTTCAATAATTGATGAGGCGACACCCTGGTGACATAGAAGAGCGAGATAATGTCAGAAGTCGTGCCAGGTTGTACACAGAGCACTAACATCCTATTTTTTCTTTTACAACGTTATGTGTGCATGTTGTAAATACCCTTAAATACTCCAATAAAGTGACACTTTCACTGACTGTGAGTCACCTTCTTGCGACAATTACACATTTTAAGATTTGATGGGATTTTAATTTGACTGGGAGACTATATTTTTCTACAAAAATACACAATACTACTAATACATTTCTGTTGTTGAGACAGAAATGTCCAAATGCAGTAAGAATTCAGTTTCAAAATCAGAACCTATTGTACCCTATTTTATTTATATTTGGTAGCATAACATGAGATAGCAGGTGCTGTGTTGTATCTACCCATGCCACAAATAATATTAGCAAAAACATCATGTCCTAATATAATGATTTAGCCTTAAGAAAGCACCAGAGAAAATATGTTAAGCCCCCTGACATGGCAGCTAATGATAACACAATATCCTTATATAAATGAGCTCTTTTTACAAAAAAAAAACAATATTGAAGAAGGAATCCAGCCAACTCATTCAAAAGACGAGAAAAACACATTCAATCCCTCCACAATTGAATACAGTAGTTGTGGAATTTAATCATTAGCCAAAACAAAGGATGCTGAAGTTATAATGACTCCGATCATCATTAAGTTCTGCATGGGGCCCATAATTCACTGCTTTAATATTTCATAAACAAGTCAAGTTGGTGTTGACATTCAGCTGTGCATGTGGCATCATTGATAATTTTCTGTCACCTAAAAAAAGTCCCGAGGCGGTTTTGTGGAGCATTGTTATATCAAATTAGCTGGAGAGCGGCCAGAAAAGCAGACAAACATGGTGAATATGGGGGACAGCAGTTGAACTCTGTTCTTACAGTGCAGTTAATGGGCTTCTTTTGTTGCAGTAATGAAATATTTTGCAAGGATGTGGGGAGATATGTCCTGAAACAGGGAGACGTTGTGCACATGCATCCTTCCCCAGACAATAAAAAGCGCACAGAAAGCGACAGTATTTTTTAAGAAAGAATGGCACATACATAACATTATTTTGCTTGACATTGGGTGCAACACCTACATCTTCACTTTTCAAGGATTCCAAAATCAAACTTAAAGTGCATACAACTGAAGGGCCAAAAACAGCCTACTCCAGAAACATCTCTGCTTTTCATTCCTGTAGCAGACCTGATCAATAACCCAATCAATTAGAATCAATTAAGCTCAGGTCTGAACGGAGATAATACAAACAAAGCATATCTTAATGCAGCTAGTAATGTGCCTGTCTGCTGTCTGCCACATAACCACAGTCCGCTCCTCCTTACTCAGCATGGGGAAGAGCATCCTCAGCGATTCTGATCAATGCTTACAGTCCTCTCTGGCTTCACATTACAAATATTTTTCGAACAAAGTTGGAGATTTGCACTGTGCAAAGACTGGATATATGTATATAAAAAATAAATGTCAGTACAGTCTGTACAGGAATTGAACACCTGTTCTCAGTTTGTCCACTAGAGGGACTTAGGGAGCAGGAAACATGTCCAGACACTACACCAGCCTTCAGTTTAAACTTCAGTTGGTAAATTGATCATTTTAGATTAACACACACTGAGTAATATTTGCTGAGGGACGTTTTTGTAAATTTAATTTTACTAATCAAAAACATTTTTTAACAAGTGCTGAGTATTGAAGGCCCATCAGTATGTAGCAAAACAAAACAATACAGCAGCAAGTAGCACATCTGAATAAGGATGTTTCATATCTGTTAGGCTGATTATCTCATCAACATGAAGGAAATGTATACATGGATGTTACTGATTGACAAAGATGCCAACGTGGAGAGAATATGGTGGATGAGTTGGTGGAGGTTGTTTAGAGGGGAGGAAAGAGATTAGTTAAAAAGGGATTACCTCAGCCTTTTCTCAAAATTTAGTATGCAAAACCATCTGTGTGTGTGTGTGTGTGGGCTTACATGGAGGAGTGCGACTCCATTAAGGCCCATGTGTGTGTGTCCATCATCCCGCCAGGCTGGCCGTGCACCCGCCAAGAATCCCAGGAAACTATCTGCTACAGCAATCTCCTATTATAGCAGCGGCCTGAAGGAGGGGAGGAAGGTGGGGGAGGGGGAAGGGGGAGGTACAGTTCCTCCCCTTATGGCCTCTTCAACTGGAGGGTGAGTGAGGCTGTAGTCAGGGAGATTACACATCCATACTTTAAGTACCTTAATAAGTGTGTGTTCAAATTAATGTTGAAATGAGGCCCTCATATACGTGTCATTAAATAAAACCTCTTTAAAAAGGAAATTCATTTAAAAAGTATTCTTTGGTTATTTGGTCTTACAGTCTATAGGGGGCTGCATTCAGGTCTATGGTTTCCAGGAGCCACTTGTTGACACTCCTTATAGTACATGTTAATTCCGTTCAAGTAAGAGGGTGAAACTCTAGTGTGGGGCAAATAAGTTATTTATATCTCCCAGAGGGGCACCCAAACTACACCCACCCACAATAATAACACACCTTTAGGAAATTCGGTTTTTCTCCTGGTTTGGACCACACAACCCCCTAGGTCAGTTGTAACACTTTCCTACTTTGTGACAGTTAGCTCCAGCTCCTAGACGTGAGTTAGCTGTCCAGATTTATAAATAGTTGAGAGGCTGTTTGTTTCATCCATCGACACTCGACACCAAAGGATCTCACAGACCTGCATGCAAGCTCAAGCCGTCATTCTGTCCCCCCATGGTGGACTCTCTCTCTGGGACTACTCCTCTATTTCTGTCTGGTCTCCAGGCCCGGGGCCCGCTGCTGGCCTCTGGTCAGATGCTAAAAGACCGGGCTGTGGAGTACATCGAGGTTTTTGCTTTGGATTGTTGTCAATAGAAAGAGACAGAAAGGATCAGAGGACAGGATCAGACAAGCAAAGGCTTTTCTGGAAGCATTCGTAGGAGTCTACAATAAACCCAAATTATGGATTATAAAACTGGAGGGTAAGACAAAGCCCATTTTACATTGTTGTCATGGTCAAGGAGGAACACGTTAATAACGTTTAAAAAGCCTAGGTAAAGGTATATACTTGATATACCATGCATGCATTTTCAGTGAATTTAGGTGTAAGAGCGGGCATTTCCCTGCAAATAAATACATGAAAACGTATGCAGAATTATCTGCTTAATCTACAACTATATGTATATATTTGGTAAAAAAGGTATTGACTGACTGATATTTATAAACATTTAGTCACCTCCTTTCTAATCTCAGATTTGAAAGGTCTGCTGCTTTCCATTTGGGCCACAGTCCCTTTGGTGTCAGGTTTTAGAGTTAGAGGGCCGTCACTGGACAAAAATAAACCTGTCACAATTACCCGAAATTACCTGACAGTTTGACATTACATTTTTGTTGCAAAAACTGATTAAATTAAGGGCAGTTATCATAATTGCGCATTATTTTTTAGTGCTACTTTCTAATGTTTGAGTGATTCTGTGTGCTAATTGTTTTGTTAAGTGCTTACAATGGATTGAAGGAAGATGCTAAGAGTCAAAATACCTGCCCTTACCTTAGTTGCTGTTGATTTTCTGCTTTAGGAGAAAGATGGTGCATGATATTTTTAAACTTCCTTTCATTTCTGCACCAGTTTTGTTTGATAGTGACTTGGCCGGGCAGTACAGCAGTGCAGTGTGTAGCGGTTCTGTAGATGCTTTCGAGATGGATGGAGTCCAGTTCAGAAGATATTAATGAACTCCTGGATATTCTGAGCAAGGTGAAAGCTGCCTGACAGCTGCAGTAAATTTACCCAGAACATACCCATGACGTTACCTTGTTGCACCTTAATGTGTGAACATTTTATTTTAAAAGCACCGTACAACAAGGGACGTCTGCAGTTAGAAGGATATAAGATGGTCCCAAGCTGGAAGATAGAAATATTCTGTTATACTTAACCATAAGGCTTTTTTTGCTAAGTATGTTTTGCATTATAAACACTTACATTACATTTTAGTTTGAAGGCCATCCACAAGCAATGTAGTAGCCAGCTTATTGGTGATGTGTGAGAGTAACAAAGCTAAGAAAAGCCATTGCGTCAACAGATAGAAATATGTCACAACCTTCATATGCACGGCCTTGTTTGTTTTATATTATGGATATAGGAAAAAACAGATATTCATGAAAAAAGATTTTTGGACAGAAATAACCACTAACCTATTAACTCTAATAATTGTTTTACGCTTTATACACTTTTTTTTATATATATATTTTGGTAATGATAGGAGCAATTCTATGCAATCTGCTTTACACCTGCTCTGTGGTAAAAACAAAGAGGTTTGACTTCAATTGACTGGTCATAACCAGGACTCTTTCAATGAAGGACTCTTTCAATGAAACCAATGTCAATATCTAGCTTTTTTATTCTAAAGGTAAAACACCAACAAAAATAAATGTGTGTGTTGTATTGACGCATCCTGCTTTCTCAAAATAACTCACGTGAAGTTGCCATCACTGTGCCTAGCAACAGTGTAGTCTTATTCACAACATGACTCTAAAGGTCATGGTGATTGAGTCGAAGGATTTACAGGGCTGTTTTGAGAGCCACATACAGTACATTGCTGCCTAATGCAAAGGGAGAAAGCTTCTTATCAGGGTCAACTATAATAAAATAAGCACCCCAACAAACGAGTTACAGCTTGTAAAATGATCCCGCTTAAGAAAAAACATGTATACCCAGGCTTTGGATCGGGGTTGAAATACATTACACACGCACACATCATGCAAACACAATTTTAAAACACTTTCTATGATGAAAGGTTACGTGAGTGCATGTCCAGGCTAATTCTCCTTCCTTTTCTCTTCTAGGAAAAGAACAAATTCCAGGATTTTTTTGGACAGAGGCCATCTAAAAGGCACAATGACTTAGGAGCTACCAGCTGTCCAACATAAAAACCCTGACAAAGAGGTCCCAAACTTAGGGTCCTGTAGCTCAAGCAGCAGGCGGAGTGAATCATTTCAAGGTCGGTGTTTGCATGAATGACTGAACAACGGAAGACAGAGATCCTTGCTTGCAAACCTGCATCATGACCTCAGTTGAGAAGCGCCGCTCAGGCCGAAAAAGTGGCGGGCATCGAAAGCACAGCGATGGAGGTTACAGTGATACCTCCAGCGGTGGGTCCTTTCTGGATGAGACTGACCGTGAGGTCAGCAATTTGACAGATCGAGCATTTAGGAGTCTCTGCATTGGAGATGAGGCTGTTTATAATGACTCAGACCTCTGTTCATCTTCTCCCTGCGCCCAGAGAGACAGACAGCTGGCATTTAACGAGAGTGGCCAGAACAGAGACGACAGAGAGAGGGAGAACCTTAAAAGTGCTTCACATGAGAGCTTCACCCTCAGGATGCAGCAGTATGGACAGGACATGATCAATGGAGGAATGTATGGGGCAGAGATCCAGAGAGATCCACAGTGGGAGGTTTATGGAGAGAAGACAAAGGGGAGGGTCTCTGCCTCATTCCAGCAATCCTTTGTGGAAACCTCTCAACAGCGGGAAACTCTGGGGCAAGAACAGTTGCCTCTTCTCAGCAATGGAGCCACAGAGTTGAATTCACAGCAACGCAGAAGCCGTTCAAGAGTATCCTCTCTGATCAGAGCTTTTAACTCTGAGGGACAAAGGGATGGAGCAGTGGCGGATGGTAATGAGACAAGCTGGGATAAATCGGCTCTGATGAGTATCCAAAGGGAACTTACAGAGTTTTCTACTCCTTACCAGCAAAACTTTAACAGTGGTCAGTTCCCTTCATATGACACATTTGCCTCCCAAGACACTAACTTGTACTCCTCTAAAGTGGCAGCAGTGTCTGACATGAATTCGGCATCCTCTTTTATGAGCTCTTCCCATAGTAATCACAGCATTTCCGCTCAGGTCAACTGTAACTCTAACTTCTTTATACACAGTGAGTTTAGTCCCTTCAAGGTATGGAGGGACTATAACAGGTTTCCCTTCTCACAAGGAGGAGTCTCAGGGTTTATGCACTGTTCGGAGTTTCCTAAATGGTATGAGACACCGATGTACAAGGAGCTTTCACTGGAGGCCCAACCACAGGGTCCTTATCAGTTTGGTGAGAGGGTTATCAGAGACCAGAGGAATAACTTGGCACCTGTTGTTCCTCCCACTCATCAACGATCCACTTCAACATCTACAATGATGCAGAAAGCTCCTGCTGTGGAGAAACGCTGTGAGTCGGAGTTGACTGGTCATTACCCCCACAGAAAGCGTACACAGAGCCTAGGAACTAACAAGCTTCCACCACAAAGGCCATCAACTGCGTCACCTTCCAGTGATATGTCTCGACGTGTCCAGGACACCATAAGCTCAGTCAAAGCCCTTCAACAAAAAATAAAAATGATGACGGAGCAAAATCGTATAACAGGGATGACAACAAATCAACCGGGAGGGCTTTGTAGCAATGACAATTCAATAATCTTTAACAACAATGCAGAATCAATGGCACCAAATGTTACCAGTGGTACCACAAGGACGACCCCCTTCAACATCAGCCATCTGCTCACGCCTTTAGTTTATGCACATCAAGAAGCAGAGACATCAGAGGTCGGACAGAATGCAATTTCTCCTCAACCTGTGGAGCATGCTCCAGTGCGAGCAGAAAGCAGAGGAGCCACTCCTGATATTAGGATGTCCAGCTACAGATCCAGAGCCAGCAGCCTACTCTTCAATCTCAAAGATAATAGGAAAAGAGTCAAAAGCACCTACAGTCCTACGAAATTCAAAGGCTTGGAGACATTTGAGAAAAACATACAGCCCTCTACCCAGGAGCCAAGAGACACTGTGATAGACATCCCTGATTTTCCAGATCCAGACATTCAATTTCTCCAGGTAGAGGAATCCACCAGGACTAATGCTGCCTCAGATCAATATGCAAACCACTATCATAGCCCTGGATTGATGCTTTCAAAACTAAATTCTCAACCTGAACATATAGGCCAAATCACAAGTAATTACCAAACAGCTCAGATGCAAAGTGAGATGGTTCAACACTCAGGCTTCACTGACCTTAAACCTGAAAATTATGCTCAAGATCTTCCTGCTAATGGACAGAATCTCTATGAAGAATTGTCGTTTACTCCCTATAAGGAAGGCGGGATAGATAATGTAGAATCTCCGGGAGGTGATGTATACAAGTTTAAACAATCCTATACAGCTACAGAAACACCACGGGTAAATGCTGACAACTTTCAACACAGAGAAAACGTAATAAGTAAGGCAAATGCTGAGCAACATTTAAATCAAACAGTGGAAAGGGAATTCACAAAAGTGGATAGATATCAGCAGCTCAAAGACAAACAATATGATGACAGTAATGTGTCCTCACATGATAAGTGGATAATGACAAACAGCCAAGACACAGACAATCTGAAAGCAATCTCTCCATGGAAACAAGAGATAACTGCTTTAATGGAAAAAGACCAACATGCACAGGCTTCCCAAAGAGCAGCCATAATAAAGGAGGAACTCAATTCACCAAGAGACAAATACAGACAAAATCAGCAGAGTGTAAATAAAGAATTTGAGAAACGAAATGCTCCATTGAGTAATGACAGTATAGAAAACCCAGCATATTATGGACAACACCTTGGAGCTTTTAAGGACAAATATGCACTTCAAAAGTATTACGGACACAATGATGGAAATGAACTGAAAGATGATTATTTGACACAGAATAATGACAGATATGCTGATCAACAATATAAAAACCAACACACGTTGAATTTCAATAAAGACATCAGTACCCTCATGCAAGAAACAGCTCAGAGGAAACAATATATGCCAAATCTAAAGGTGTATGAATTGCAAAGTCAGCAGCCAATAGAAACTAAACCACAGTTGGAACCAAATAGGCAGACATTTTCATTATCTAACCCTGGCAATGCATTTGCCCCCACAATGGCTAACCAGGTGAAAGATAGACATTGTATTGAGATTAGGCCTGAACAGATCAGAGCAGAGGATATCAAAGCACAACACAACCAAGCAGAGCTGGCAAAGGCACAACACTGGGCTCAACTGGATCAGCCCAAGGGGGAGTCAGCTAGGTTAATTTTAGCAGGGCAGATTGGTTCGGAGAAAGGCAAAGCAGAACAGGCCAAAGCAGAACTAACAGAGCACAAACGCGTCAACCAGGTTAAACCAAAACATATGAAAACGGAGGAGCAAATAGAAGAAAAGTCTAGACAAAATCTAGTGTGTGCCAGAGATGAACAGACAAAGTCAGAGCAAACCAAATTACAGAAAAATGACCAGGTCAAAGTAAAACAAGCTGAAGCAGAGAGGCTAAAAGAAGAACACATAAAAGCTGAACTGGCAAAGGCAGAGCAGGCTAGGCAGGCAAGGTTAGAGCAGGCTAAAGCTGAACAGGCCAGAAGAGGAAAGATTGAAGCAGAGCAAATTGCGGAAGAAAAGGCAAAAGCAGATCAATTTGAAAAAGGGAGAATGGAGGCAGAACAAATCAGAACAGAAAGAGTTAAAGCTGAACAGGCTGAAGCAGAGCGTATAAAAGCAGAAGAAGCTAAACTCGAGCAGATACAGAAGCAATCAGCTAAAGCTCAAATAGCTAAGCTAGAGCAATTACAACAGCAACAAGCTAAAGCAGAACAAGCTAAGCTAGAGCAGATACAAGCGCAACAAGCTAAAGCAGAACAAGCTAAGCTAGAGCAGATACAAGCGCAACAAGCTAAAGCAGAACAAGCTAAGCTAGAGCAGATACAAGCGCAACAAGCTAAAGCAGAACAAGCTAAAGCAGAACAAGCTAAGCTAGAGCAGATACAAGAGCAACAAGCTAAAGCAGAACAAGCTAAAGCAGAACAAGCTAAAGCAGAACAAGCTAAACTAGAGCAGATACAAGAGCAACAAGCTAAAGCAGAACAAGCTAAAGCAGAACAAGCTAAGCTAGAGCAGATACAAGCGCAACAAGCTAAAGCAGAACAAGCTAAAGCAGAACAAGCTAAGCTAGAGCAGATACAAGAGCAACAAGCTAAAGCAGAACAAGCTAAAGCAGAACAAGCTAAGCTAGAGCAGATACAAGCGCAACAAGCTAAAGCAGAACAAGCTAAAGCAGAACAAGCTAAGCTAGAGCAGATACAAGCGCAACAAGCTAAAGCAGAACAAGCTAAAGCAGAACAAGCTAAGCTAGAGCAGATACAAGAGCAACAAGCTAAAGCAGAACAAGCTAAAGCAGAACAAGCTAAGCTAGAGCAGATACAAGAGCAACAAGCTAAAGCAGAACAAGCTAAAGCAGAACAAGCTAAGCTAGAGCAGATACAAGCGCAACAAGCTAAAGCAGAACAAGCTAAAGCAGAACAAGCTAAAGCAGAACAAGCTAAGCTAGAGCAGATACAAGCGCAACAAGCTAAAGCAGAACAAGCTAAAGCAGAACAAGCTAAGCTAGAGCAGATACAAGAGCAACAAGCTAAAGCAGAACAAGCTAAGCTAGAGCAGATACAAGCGCAACAAGCTAAAGCAGAACAAGCTAAAGCAGAACAAGCTAAGCTAGAGCAGATACAAGCGCAACAAGCTAAAGCAGAACAAGCTAAAGCAGAACAAACTAAGCTAGAGCAGATACAAGAGCAACAAGCTAAAGCAGAACAAGCTAAAGCAGAACAAACTAAGCTAGAGCAGATACAAGCGCAACAAGCTAAAGCAGAACAAGCTAAGCTAGAGCAGATACAAGAGCAACAAGCTAAAGCAGATCAAGCTAAACTCGAGCAAACACAAGAGCAACAAGCTAAAGCAGAACAAGCTAAACTTGAGCAAACACAAGAGCAAAAAGCTAAAGCAGATCAAGCTAAACTCGAGCAGATAAAAGAGAAACAAGTTAAATTCGACCAAAATAACACTAAGGTAGTTCAAATGGAAAATGTCCTAATAAATCACGTTCAAGTTGAAGATGTAAAACAAGAGACAGTTTTGAAAGATTCAATAAATGCTAGTCGAGAATCTGCCGAGCAACCTTCAACTCAGATAAGTAAAGCCCAAGACATAAAGGCAGAGCAGGCAAAGTTAGAACTAACCAAAGTTGAGCTAGCTAAAGAAGATAATATGCATGAAAGGTCGCCAGTGACACAGCAGGTCAAAAGAGAGCCGGATAGAGTTGAGATAGTTAAGACAGAGTTGGCTAAAGCTAAAGCTGAATTGGCTCAAATAAAAGAGAAAATGAGAGGAGAGCAAAAGGAGAAAGTCAGAAATGTAGTTCTAACAAAAGAAAATGGGAGTAAGACAGATGATTGTTTAAAGATAAATATCAATAAAAATGCAGATCAACAGCAGTCAACACAAATGCATCAACAGAGGGATGACTCAGTTTTAAGCAAGCAATATTTAGATCAAGTTGATAGTGGGGTTAATGAATATGTGCGTCTTCGAGAGAAATATGGTTTTATTGATACAACTTCACCAACCAGCAACAACGTGTTGGCTGCAGGAAATGTTTCTTCAAATGACGCTGATGAAATACCAGTTGTATCTCTTGATGAAGTTGAAACAAAAAATAAATCTAGTCCTACAAGCAGAGTTGCAACAGATAACACACAGAATGAGGAGGAAGCAGGCAGCTTGAAACCGAAGGAGTTGACAGATAGTCAGTATGTTTATAGTGAGTCATCAAAGGAATTCAAATTATCTGGTGGTAATTATTTACCTTTCAATGAAGATGAAAGAGCAATTACTGACAATGTTACTGATAAAGTTAAGGTTGACAGTCTTGAAAAGTCGAAGAAATCTGACCCTCTGAAACACACTGATATTTCAGAACAAAGAGATTCTCATCCGCCTAAACTGTTCCCCTTGGAAAGAAATCCTAAGTCAGCGGAGCGAAATGAAGGTTCAGATAAAGATTCGCACTTCACCCCTCCCAGAGCATTGTCCAGTAAAGAGAGAGCACAGACCAAGCAGGAGATTCTGACCTCAAGGATAAAAGCCCATGCTGAAAAAGAAATTTCAGCTATCAAGGAAAAGGGGTTTGCAGTAAGAGAAGGGTTTATGTCCAAAAATCCTGCCAGGCAGTTATCAGGTAGTCAGAGTATGATTATACGACAGAGGCCACCAGCACAGGAAATGTCTAAAAAACATGAAAGCACAATGTCCAGTAATTACACCCTCAAGCACCAGATGGAGCCTTCAGAAATACAGATGGATCCAGTCAAATCTTTTTCACCTCCAAGCTCTGCTTCAATGCCAGTTTACTCTGCCGCAATCTCCAGTAAGTTATTGTACCATGAAGAACTAATTAAGAGCAATGACAATGGGCCCAAAACATCAAAAAACCCAAAAGATAGAAGTTATAACATGAGCGCAAATGAGGGATTGGTTGAAAATCAAAAGAATGAAAATCAAACTGGAATTAAGTCACCAATACAAAGTAAGGAGCAGACACCCAAAAACAGGCAAGAAAAACAGGAGGTAGATCAAGGAAAAAGCTCAAGGCAGAAAGAGGGACTAAAAGACAACGTTGATGTAAAAACTGAACATCTCAACAAGAAGAAAGAGGAGCCATCAATAGCTATAGCTGCGGTTGAATCTGAAAGCTCAAAACCTATGACGACAGAAGAGACGGAAATGAAACATGATGAGAGCTTGAAGATCACAGGAATAATGGTTAGTGTGCGAGAAAGAAAGCAATCTATGGACAAAGGTCAGAGTAATATGAGCACTCTAGAACAAATTAATCGTAAAGATTGCAATAATTCAGAGCTAGATAAATGTAATTCTAGCTCGGGTCTGGAAGTAAGTAAAGGAAATACATCTTCAATGGAACTTAGCATGGTAAAGCCAAAGGTTGAAGTTGTACGGAACACTCATTCTACAAAGAAGGAAGATCAAACTAATGTTGGTATGAATAATCATCACGAAAACAGGCAAGAAACTTCAACCCTAGAAGCTAGAATGAAAAATGTGTCTGAGACTGTCACAGAGAAAAATACTAATCTCCAGCAGGAGAGTTCTACTATAATTGTAAAATCCCTGGTTGAAAAAGGTGCACCCTCCACAGTCACTGAACTTGCTAAAAATAAAGTGTTGGCTGAATCGCAACCCCTTCTCTACAAACAGGACATAATGGCAAATCAAATTAAAAATCAAACAAAAGAAACGGCAAGAGAAAACTCAGCAAAAAGCATGAGACTAGATAAAGTAAAGATTAGTACCGAACAAAACGATCGTCCAACAACACATACCAACAACAACTCTAAGCCCAAAGTGATAGAGAACACAAATGGAGCTGATGCTGAAACTCTGATAAAACATGACATCCAGCCGTCAGTAAAAGAAGAAATGTCAACTGTCAGAAATCCATCCAAAAGCAGAAACATGGATGGCAACAGTGCACCCCTAGTGGAAGAAAGCATGTGTGACTCTACACCACCAAAGCCATTCATCAAAATCAGTCCCTCCATTAATTTAACTGAGAATGAAAACACCCAAGTGTCTCCAAAACATCAGTATGAAGAGACACACATGGACAAAAATAACCAAGAGGATGATATAGTGAATATAGGCAGCATTGCCATCAGAGTTGTGCCCGCAGTAACTGAAAAGGTCAACCTGAAAATGGTGGGAAAACATAGTGTCACCACTATCCCCTCAGATGGACAATCCAGTCTTGGAGAAAAAGTAAACACTTTAAACACTGAAGACAGAAGCAAAGACCTTGCTCCAGCAAACAGTGAGAAGCAGGCACAAGACAGTTTGGAAGAGAAATTGGCAGTACAAAGTGTGTTGTCCAGTATTAAAAGGCTTTCTGATTCACTGAAAATCAGCAATCAAGAAAACAGCATAAACACAACCATTGAGAACACTCAGGCTGAAAAAGGACAGCCTCAAAGAGTCAATATGAGAGAAACAGTGGACGATTTAAAGAAACAACCAATGGTGGGAGACTACTTCCAAGTACAAGGGGTATCAGAAACGAATGATGACACACAAAACTGTACAAATGTTGAAGATACGTCAGATGCGGTTTCAAAGGAAAAGGAACTTCCAGGATTACTACCAAACAAGGCAGCTATCAGCAATAAATCATGCAATGAAGAAAAACATGCGGTTGATCAAAGTGAAAGGAAAACAGTGGAAACAAGTTCAGCAAAAGTTCAAGATGATAATATGAAAAGGAAAAACGGGAAAACAGAAGATAACCTGGCTTCGAAACAGAGTGATGGGAAGACAAATGAGAAGACAGAAGCCAGTCAAGCTATTCACATCAGAAAACATCAAACAGTGAAGCAGCCCAGTTTATCAGCAAGGGAAAGGCAGAGCTCAAGAAACACCCACCCAACATATGAGGATACAGATAAGGACAACCCTCAAGTTAAACCAAAGCCAAAAGAAAGGGTATCCACAATACCTGAGATATCAGCACTTGCAGACTATGCCAGGTTAAAAGTTATTGTTTCAGAAGATGAAGCAAACCCAATTCAGGAATTCCCGCCTAACAAAAAGGAGGGATTCTTTCCAATAATACAGACCCGCCATAGCAGACGTCCGGTGTTCACTGCTGACCCACAAGTCCTCCCTGTGAAACAGAAAAGTGTGCCAAAAAAGACGGAGGTCAACTCCAAGTTGATCAAAGAGCCCAAACCTGTAGTATTTCCAATTACAGAGAAAGAACACCAAAGGACGGGGATGTTCAAGCTGGGCGACAAAGAAAGACAAGACAAAATGCAAATGGATGCCAAAGCCAATAAAGGTATATTAGATGGAGATTCAAAACAAGCACAACACCTCAAAGAAACAAGCAAGTCACCAACAAATTATCTTTCGAACCAGAGAAGTGAAAAACAAGTGTCTGGAACTGATAACCAAAGAGTTTGTCAAGAAGAACAAAGCATTCATCAGCCAAATAATCCTCCGTCGCTATCAACAACCTCAGTCAACAGGCTACGAAGCAATTCTGCATCACAACACCTCAAGACAATCGATAGCTCCAATCCACCTGAACACGTTGTGGGAGAAGGACACAGTGTAGAAGACATCACAGCAACTCCAAGCAAAGATGGGAAGATTGAAAATGCACTGGCTAACATTGGGGAAGATAAAAGGAGACGGAAAATGCTTGCAACTCGGCATGAGGAAATCGAGGCACAACAGCGTAGTAGAGCTAAACAGTTTGAGGAAAAAGAAGCTTCTAGGATTGAGGAGGAGAAAAGAGCAGAAGAAATGAGAGTTAAACAAATGATAGAGGAAAATAGAGCTTCTCTGGCTCAAGAAGAGAGGAGAGCTGCTCAGAGAGAAGAGGAGAGGAGAATAAGGGAACGGGAGGCCATTGCTGCTAAAATCAAGGAGAGGCGGGAAAAACAGAGAGCAGCAGAAAGAAGAGCAGAAGAAGAAAAAGCATCTCAAGAAAAAGAGGCGATCAGAGCAAAACAAACAGAAGAAGAACAGAGAATAAAAGACATTGAGGAGAAGAGGAGAACAAAGGTTGAGGAGGAGAGAAGAGCAACATTAAGAAAGGAGGAAGAGTTGCTCAAAGAAAGTGAGGAGAAAAGGAGGAGACAGCAAGAGGAGAAAGCTGCACAAGAGGAGCAGCAGAGGAGAGCCACTCTCATTGAGGAGCAGCAGAGGAGAGCCACTCTCATTGAGGAGCAGCAGAGGAGAGCCACTCTCATTGAGGAGCAGCAGAGGAGAGCCACTCTCATTGAGGAGCAGCAGAGGAGAGCCAAACAGATTGAGGAGAAGGAAGCTGCTCGAAATTTGGAGGAGGAAAGAATGAAACAGAGCAAAGAGCAGGAGAAAGCAGATCAGAAGATTGAAGAGCAGAGGAGAGAGAGGCAGAAGAGGGAAGAATGGATGAGAACTCAGAGAGAGGACGACGAGACGAGAGCTGTTGAAAAAGCACTTATAAAACAAAGAGAAGAACGGAGAGCCAAAGAGGAGATGACCAGACTCATTGAGGAAAGCCAAGCAGCAATACAAGAGGAGGGGAAGAGAGTGGCAAGAGAACGGATGCAAACTCAAAGAGAGGAGGAGATCGGGGCTCAAAGGAGGGAAGAGAAAGATCAAACGTTTACTGATCACAGAGAAAAGGAGAGAGCCACTCAGATGGAGGAGCAGAAAAGAGCAACACCAAAGATGGATTCCCTCCAGTACTATGCCATCACCTCAACAGATTCAGAGAAGAGACCCAGAGAAAGACAACTGTGCTCCCCTTCACCTTCTCAACAAAGACAGAATCCCTCAGCCGAGGACTCAGGATCCCACACGAGGTCTTATAGGCCACATGCAACTGCATCTCCAGCACTATCTTTGCCCCGCTCAAACAGCTCCTCTCCTGCTCTGGGAGTCAAGCCCTCAATGTTCAGGGTGAAGGACAACACTTTCAGAGGTCCCTCTCTCACCAAGTCGGTCAAACCACGCCTCCATAAAAGCTTTGGAGAGGATTTCCGGGTAGGATCACCCCTGGAGAGAGGAGATGAAGAGCAGGAGATAATGAGACGCAGCGCTGGTACTCCTGACACAGGTTTAAACAGACTCGCTGCTATCAAAGAATCCTCCACTTATCCATATTCATCTCAAGATTACTCAGCCCATCTCTCCCAGCACAGACCTTACTCAAGGAGGAGCATTATTCTAGATGAAGACGACTCTCGCTCCGTCATCAGCAACATGTCCGAGGATGGCGAGAGTTGTGCCACCAGTGCAGCAGACCTTGCAGACCTACGAGGCCTGTATGACTACGAGAGACCAGAATCGGCCTGTAGCTACAGCAGTGATATGTCCCGTTCTATGGGCAAGCCTCCAACTGTTCCTCCAAAGAGTGAGAAAGCCTTGCGAAGAGCAAAAAGGTTGACAACTCGTAGAATAAAGAAGGATATCTCTAAAACGGTAGCAGACAGCCCTGTTGGAGTTGAGAAATCTCTTCAAGAAGACGCCAATATTCCTTCCTCCATTGAGGTATGCTCCAACACCCGCCGAGCTGTGGCTTCCCCTCATTTTTCCTCACCTGTCTCCCTCGCTCATGCTCCAGCAGCGGGGTCTGGCTTGGCTTCTTTACACTCTAAGCACCAATCTTCTCACAGCTATGCTTCCCCCCATGCCACTGGTCCTATCTCCCTCGCAGTTGCATCACCTCATGTCACTGCCCCCGTTTCCATCCCTGTTGCCCCGCCTAATGCTGCTGGCCCTGCTTCCCACACTTCCGCTCTTAAGACAGTTGCTCATGTTTCTTCTTCTCCCACTCTCCATCATGCCAAACACCCAGCTCCAGCTCCAGTGACACAGTACCATGTAGAGTCAAGCTACCCCCATTCCTACCCAATGACCCAGCGTAAGGTGCTGCAAGACCTCGGCTCTGGTCAGTATTTTGTGGTTGATGTGCCGGTTCAAGTTAAAACTAAGACTTTCTTCGACCCAGAGACGGGAAAGTATATCCAGCTGAATGTGCGCGAGTCTGGCCAAAGCACCTCCCGAGCCCCGCCCCAGCAGACGTACACACAACCTCAGCTCCAACCACAAATGCAGGTATCTCCAGCTGGCAAGCATTTTGGGGTTTATCAAGGCAACTATGGTTATCCCAAAGACTACCAAGCTCCATCTATCAACTCTGTGCCCTCCCACAGTTTATCGGCCCCTGTGACCGTCCACCAGAACCAGAACCAGCAGCCTGTCAGGCAGAGCCACAGCTATGGACACACAGCCGCTGAGATGGGACAGAACTCTGACGGGCATTGCTACAGCCCAGAGAAGACTCCATACATGGACACAGTTAATGATAAAGACAAAACATATAACACAGTTTACAACACACATGGCCCATATGAATCCTTCCCAGAGTTTGACACAAACAGCCAGCTTGCAGGAAGCCCGGTTTGTGAAAATGATAACTCAGCCCACTCACAAAGTCAGCCCCGTGATATAATAAGCATCAGTGAACTGGATGACTTTATGGAGATGTCTGACTGGTGAGAGCAAAGACTGTTAGCTTTTTCTTCTAAAGGGGTTGATACTGTTAAACAGACAAGTAAAGTACCCAAAAGCACAGTATGAATGGATCAAGATATGCAGTATTTTAAGTGTATGTGAATGACTTCAAGTGAAAATACTCTAAGAATTGCTGCTGTTGATTTTGGAGATTCACTGTTGCTATTTTTTGTTCACCATTCCATTTGACTTTTGAATGTGAGAAGTTAAAATATGTGTCTTGTGTATACATGAATAAGTATCCCATTGTCTCCTAAACCTATAAGTATTTTATCATACATTAGAAAAGCAACAGTGTGACAATAGTGTTTAGTAGTTTGGAAAAACATTGGTTTCTGCTATGAACATTGGCAAGCCTTTTTAAGTTTTATTTATTTTTAATCCATTTTGTGATGCATGAAAAATTGGTGAAGTGACAATGAAATATCTGCAGATGGTGTAACGCCTAGTTTGTCAAAGTGAGACAATGGTAATGTGATTATTGCTGTTTTTGAGGTTTAATTTCATACAGTACTCCATTTTTAAAGTTGGAAGTTTGTGAGAATGTTGCTGTGATACAGAGTAGTGCGGAATGGACTAATTAAAGCAATAAAAACACTTCATTCATCCAAACAATTTCACCACAATGTCTTTCAGAATCACATTGTAAAGGTTTTTGAATAAACAAAAAGGAAATGTAAAATATTGCTGCTGCATGTTGATTTCATTTTACTACCCAGAAGACTGTAATAACAATATAATATTACTGCCACTGGCATCCTGTTTACACTCTTGAAATGTACCCTGGGTCTGACTCACAATGAACAGTCTTTTTAGTGCATAGAAAGGGTGCATAAGGCAATTACAAAGTGTTATTGAGAGAGCACGATAATATGTCCTCAGAGAGTTGATAAACAAAAAAAGGGAAAATAACATTTTGTTAATGACACATGTGTGTATGTCTTAGCCTATTATACCCATGGGAAATGTACACAGCTATGGTGAGAATGCCTGCAGAGAGTCCCCAGCTTCATAGCAGCCTACGTGTTGTTGATCCCCTGAGAAGCAGTAACCTGCTTTGACCACTGCAGGGCAGAGGAGAGCGATTCCTCCACTGGAGCAAAGCCTTCAACTTATGTAAGAGAAAACTTGAGGGAAACCCCAGGTAAAAGATGTAGAAATAAAGACATCATATTTCTCAAAAGTCCAAAGAACTCATTTACATATGCCCCACAATTGAAAGAACTTCTGTACTACTGTATATAATACATTAACTAATTATTCAACACTAAATAATTTGTCAAAGAAGATTACATTACTGTATTAACCCACCCAGTGAATTTTCATTTGAATCCATGCTTTTCAAGAATATCCTACAACCTGAAGGGTTAACTGTGTTGTGTAATTCCATTTGGCTTTGGCAGAGCTCAAAGCGCCAGCAGAAGCCCTGCCTCAGCAGTTTAGTCTGCTCAATAAAGCAGCAGGCTTCATACCACTGGGACAGTCTGACAACCACAGCCAGAGACAAGCCCATGCCACTCTGTCCAGACGGGGAGAGGTTGCAGCACGCACACACACACACACACACACACACACACACACACACACACACACACACACACACACACACACACACACACACACACACACACACACACACACACACACACACACACACACACACACACACACACACACACACACACACACACACACACACACACACACACACACACACACACACACACACACACACACACACACACACACACACACACACACACACACACACACACACACACACACACACACAATGAACAGAACACATGCATGTGAACATAAAGCTCCCATACGTGAACATACAACATTTGCTCTTTGTTTACTCTGATAGGAGATGTCAGATGAGGCTCACCCCTAGACTTTGAGAGTAACTTGGGTGATGGAAATGCATGTTCAGCACTTTGTGCCTCTCCAAATGACACACTTTGACAGACGCACACAAACCATGAGACTCGACCATCGCTTTAGAGTTCTGGGGTTTTGGGCTTTAGTCCAAGACTTCTCACAGGAACACAGGAAATGACATTTCCTACGTTTTGCAGGACACAGAGAGAAAGCGGGGGAGAGAGAGAGAGAGAGAGAGAGAGAGAGAGAGAGAGAGAGAGAGAGAGAGAGAGAGAGAGAGAGAGAGAGAGAGAGAGAGAGAGAGAGAGAGAGAGAGAGGAGGAGAGACAGTCAGAGAGAGGGAGAGAGTACTGGGAGAGGGAGTGGGAGTTTCTAAGTGGGAACAGAGCATTTACTGTTTCATATTACACAGAAAAGAAGAGAAAGAGGAGACGAGTTAATGGTGGGTGAGGGCTCTGGTGGGTTGTCCAGTCAGACTCTGTTTTGAATGTAGCTGCTTGTGCAAGTGCTCTGCAGTTGTCTGGGTTTATGGATTCGCTGACTGTGGACAATGTACTTCTCTATAGCGGTCCTTGTCCTGACTAAGGCTCTGGTTACAGGTAAGTTCACTTTGTTTACAGCAATAACCAGTAAGAGAGTGAGAAAGCATGCAAGAAAAGAAAGAGAATGTGTCTGAAGTAGTAACTTGATCTATCATCTAACATGCACCAGTGAAACCAGACATTTTTAATTTATTTTGGTTTATACAAATAATGTAAAACCTACACAAAAAACACTCCATAGTATTCTTAGTCTGTAAAACAACCAAAAGTTGCAAGAGCATTAACTATTGTCAACCTTAAGAAGAACATATTTTTCTAGGCAAATATGGCTTTGTTTAAAATGAAAGAACACATTTGGAGTTAAGCAACTTTGTTCCCTGTGATCAGAGAAAACCTCAGTATAATTTGCATTCTAGAAACTGCCATAAAGTGCACTTATGACTCATATTTCCTGCCCTATAATCTTTTGATTATGTTCAGTTTTGTGTTTGGTTTGAGTCACTGTCGCTGCCTTTGTTGTCACATAACGTTTTGTAGGAAAGACCCTGAGTTCCCCAACTAACACAGCAACAAAACAAAACAGCCCAGATGGTCCCTGTTATCTTGTCTTGATAGTCTTTGCCGGTTTCAGGGTGTACCGCGCTGAAGATGAATGTTTCCCACCTGTAGCGTCTCTTTGCTCGTCTGATCACACTTATTGTGTCCAGACTTCATGTCTCTTATAGACAAACGTAACCCAGAGGTAAAAAAGGGGGCAAAGAAAGTTTGTTTTACTCTCTGATTCTCAGTCCTCCTGCTCTCTAGCTTTTACAGACTGAATTCCCATCCAGTGATGGAATGACATATAAGTAGAACCAGTGATAGTGTGATCTCTTACACCATAAATCCAAACAGCCACTGTGGGTGTGCATACAAACATGCTTTGTCTAAATGCTACAATTATGTTTAACTGGCAGGAAATCAAAAATGAACTCAGACTTTTTCCCATGTGGAGCTCATTAGCAACTCTAGTTAATTACTAATTTAACTAGCAGGGAGCGGTCACACAAGCTACCAGATCACAGTGTAGGCCTACTGAGTGTCCTTATGTTTGGAAAAGCATATGTTTTATGGTTTGGTTTGATTTTATTCTGTCATAAAACAGAACATGTATTGATACAAACAATATGAATACACCATTTAATAAAGACGCATACAGTATACAAAAGTAACCAATAGTGTATTAAAGTATGCAACAACAAAGAAAGAAGACAACAAATGACTTTACATACCATGTGTCCTGCTTGTGTCTTTTGTAAACAGAGGTCTGTCATGGCCTTAATGTGACGGTGACCCCCGGGCCTGTTGTGATGGTAACAGAGAAAGACAACGTGACCCTGTCCTGCATGGTGTCTCAGAGGAAGAGGAGCGGCAGCGTCCTCATCCTCCGCTGGTTCTTTTCTCCTCCTGCTGCTCCCACTCTCGCACCTCCTCCCTCCTCTCCGTCCCCTTCTCCTCCAGCACTCGAGGCCTCTCAGTTTCTGATTGTGAAGCTGGGCATAAAGAAAATAAAGCTTTATGGGAACTACACCCGCCGTTTCACCCAACTAAAGTACCGTCTGTTTGAGGAAACGGAGGGAGAGGTGTACCGGTTGCAGGTTCTCAATGTGACCCGGACGGACCAGGGTTTCTACTCCTGCAGGGTTCAGGAGATTCGCAAGCACAGAAACACATGGAGGGCATCGTCTAATGGCACCAGCACCACACAGCTAACAGGTAACTGAAGGTGTACTGCAACACACTGCACAACTGTTCACATTTGTCTGGGGAAAGGCCCATTTTCTTGATAATTGGGTAAAAGTGCTGTTTAATATGGCGTGTTAGCCAAGATGGTGTGCCCTGGTGGAGAGCCAGACAAAAAAGAACCATGTGGTCTAAAAAGAAAAGAAAAGAATCAGTAAGTGTTGCACTATTAGCAGAGAACCTAACAAAACAGTGAAAGTGTGCTTTGTGTCATGGCTGTTGACAAGATATCAAAAAAGGTACTTTTTCTACCTTTGCGCAACTCGCTGACAAAAGTAGGCCAAATGCAAATGGGACTTTTTGTGTTATTCCTCTGAAAATGTTTTCCATGGAATAATCCTTTCCAAGGAATTCCCTCACAGCCGCACACCCTCAGCTTAGACATGCTGCCCGTGTTATCTGGCAATGGAAATAACCGAAGAAAGGAGGAGCAACTGTTTTTATTGAAGGATAAAGGCCAAATACAAATGTGTTGCATGTATTTTCTGACTCTAGCTGCGTTTGCTGTACATTAAGTAGTGCCCATGTGTGTGTTTGAGTGTGACCCCAATCCTCAGGCATTTCCATCTGAAAACAATGAGCTCACACAGCCAAACCGCACTCAACAATATCACTCTGTGCAAGAGTGTGAGGAGTACAAGGTAGAGTGTTGCCGAGCTGGCTATGTTCAAAATACATGACGTCAGCATTTTGGGTTTACTTTTATGCAAGCCTCAAGAGAAAATGTTGTGGAGAATTCAGTTGCACTTGAACCTATTTAGTCTGTGCCAATGTGTAATAAAAAGGCAGGTTCAGAAGTAATCTAAACCACTTGCAGTGATACATATTTCTTTATACAGTATGATCCTTCATCTGATTGATTGACAGTGAAACCATCTGTCACTGCAAGATGAACTGGATGAAGATAGAGATGTAAGATGCTGCTATAGCATACAGTACAAGGTATATAGTACCTGTACACCTGACACAGTTGCAAAGAAAGTTATTTCACTAATGTAATGCCTACAAAGTTGAAGTTTAAGGTCAGATAAAGCCATCAGACAACGCCCTTTGCCGTAAGTGGTGCCCTATATTCAGGGCACTGTCCCACTTAGGAAGCCACACAACCTCAGGCATCTCCGACATGCTGTGACCACAGAACCAGAAGAGCTGACATTATAAGGGTAAACAAAGAGAAACACAAATAGTTGTAAATGTAATCCAGGGAACCCCTCAGTCTGCAGATATAAGTCTAAAGAATTCTAAATAAAGGCAACATCCCACTGAGATAATTTGACTAGTCTTAAAAAAAAATGTCCTTGTCCTTTCAAACGGCTGAAAATCCCAAATTCAGAACTTCAGACTTATATTCAAACCACACAAATGAATAGACAATATGTATGGTTAAAGAAAATCTTATCAGACACACTCTCTGACCTCAGTTTTCTTGAATCTGCCGGTCTTCAGTGGATGTTACATTTTTCTGCGTCCTTTCTTCACAGCTGGACTGATGGGGGAAAGCAGATGAGCCTAAATCTGTACCTGATGTTTCTTCAGCCTTTCTGAATACCTGTGCAGTATATTTTCTTTGAATTAACTTGAGCTTGTGTAGACACATCTGTGCAGAGTGTGTGCTTTAATAGCTCCCAACACGTTAACCTGGGGCTGCGTTCACTGATCAGATGTGGGGGTTTAGCATGTGGTTAACCGCGGTGTAAAGGTCAGATATGTGGTTTACTTACATTAACTGTTAACTGCTCACATTGTCAAGAGATGCCTGTGAAATGTAGCCTGTCACCTCATCAGACAATTTGTCTTCCTTAAATGTCTGTCATTACTTTTCATTTAGTTTTAAACAGCAAGAAGGCATACTAAGTGGAACGCCATGCAATGCAGTCCAATAAAAGGTTATAGATAAGCTCACTTATTATTACAGCAAGTCTCAATAAAAAAAATGTACATCAAACATTTAGAAAAATAATTGCAGAGCTCTGGTATTTCACTGCATTCTTATCAAGCCTTCCTATTATAATCAAACTAGTCTTATTTCTTAGACCCGATACGTATTTAAGAAAAAATTAGGTGTGTGAAGATCTAATCACACACAGCAGTATCTTGAAAAATAACAGTGTGCCACATTTAACAATTCTGCAGGCGGCTCAGCGGTCTGGAAACAAGCTAGAAGTCAATTACGAGTTAATATCTTATCATTTCTTATTAATATGTTTATCAACCTGTGTTAAAAGACATATTAAAAAGTCATTACAGGGAGCAGGGACTAAGTAATTTATGTACATAGCCTCTTGTTCCCTCTCCTCAGCCTCTTGCTAAATACCCCTGACCTATATACAACCCATCACTCATTGACACACACTGACAATGACTTCCTTATTCGCACCGCACAAAGGAAAATTGCAACATTAAAAGATTGTGAAGCAACCAACAATAGGAAGTGGAGATGCAGAGCAATGGGGAACCCCCCAACGCTGTCCAAGAACAGCAATACAGGCAGGCCTCTGTGTGTGTGTGCGCTGGGTGTGTGTGTGTGTGTGTGTGTGTGTGTGTGTGTGTGTGTGTGTGTGTGTGTGTGTGTGTGTGTGTGTGTGTGTGTGTGTGTGTGGTGGGTTTGGCTGATGATGCAGCACAATCGCCCATCATGAGTATAGTTTTGATATTTCTGGAAACCACTGAGGGTGTCTGCTGTGTTGGGTCAGTGCCCTCAGACAACAGCACGTTACAAGGAAGAGTCTGGTTACAGTTTTTTACCCTCACTACTATTTTACTGACTTTTTAAACGTTTCTTTTTCCAGTGCACTTCACTCTAGAGACTGGTAGCAGTGACGGACTGTGGCGTTTATTTGCAGGTATTGTTTTCAACTCGAGCCTTACTTCTGTTTCACTTTACCAAATACAAGTCGTACCTTGATAAAGCCGCTGTTCTGATGTTGTTTGTTGTTGTTGTTGTTGTGTAGATGTGTACCTGTGTGCCGTGCTGATCTGCTCACTGGGCCTGCTGTCCATCTTCCTGTTCACCCTGGTTCTCGCCTGCCAGTACTTACACAGAAGACACAGGCTCAAAAGTAAACAACATAATTAGTTTCACAGAAAAAACAACATGATGCCTAAACTGGTAAATTAACGTGATTTTTTTCCTGCTACTTTTCTCCACAGCGAGTTACCTTCTGGTCAAATGTCCAGAAAGCAGGTACAGTAGGTTATTAAAACTATTGCCGATACGATTCATTGATCACCAATCATGTTGTTATTCAAAGTTTAAAGTCTTTGCCAAACATCAGTTGGCTTTAACCTTTCAAACGTGATGATTTACTACTTTTCAGTTTTACATAATGTTTAATTGAATATCCTTGGTTTCAGACTACTGGTGGGAAACAAGACGTTCTTAAGATAATAGATTATCAATTGCAATATATTAATCTAAAATAACTATTGCACTAATGAAATACTGTCCTCTGTGCAGCTCAGGAGAGACTGTTACCAGCTCCAGCAGTTCCTCCAGTTCCTCCCCAAGAGCCCAAAGGAGAGACACAAGACCGAAACCTGGCAGAAGAGTCACAGTACCACCCCCTAAACTACCTGCAGTGCCCCCACCTTATATACAAGCCAAAGGTAAAGTGGTGTTTTGAAGGCAGGATGTTACCTCTGGGACAGATTAAATTCCTCAGCTGTTTCCAACTTTCTGGCTTTTGACCTTTTAAAAATAAAGCAAAGTTTAGTTTCCAACCCCCCCCCCCCACGGCACAGGCCTCAGTATGGATCTGAGTTATGAGCACTTTAACCAAATAATGTTTCATTTAACGGCTTTTACTTGTAGAGTGTTTCACAAAAATGTGAGAAATGTTGAAAACAACTAAATGTAATCATGACATCAATCACTGCATCGGGATGTCCTCACAAAGGGAACAGCGCACTACTCTGTTATGAATCAACATGATCAATGTTTTCACAAAACAATTCTTTGTTTTTGAATAGTGTCACCTCAGAGAATGGTTCAATTCCCAGTCCTCATCTTTCCTCTGCAAACACAGTGGGGTCATAAGAACCACATGGAGGCTAAGGGAGCACATCAATTATTTGGTAATGAAAACTAAAGTGAAGTAAGGTATCCATCATGTACAAAAGCATACATGATTGATACCTCCAGCATGTTTCGATTTCCATGAGAAAAAAAAGCAGTTTAACCGAAGACAAGCAGGAACCAGCAGGGGCTGAAACTTTATACTGTATTTGAGTCATCCTGCTGAGTGTGTCTGGGATTAAATCAACACTGATGTTGACAATGACAGTACAAAGCCCTTTTTTCTACAACCCTTTAAACCAGGGGTTTCAAACTCAAGGCCCGGGGGCCAAATCCGGCCCGCGACTTCATTTAATGTGGCCCGCAAGAGCTTGCAAAGAATATAATACATTTATTATACGGTTACATGCCACTTTACAGAGGCATGTTGCCCATAAACTACATGTCCCACAATGCATCTCGTTTTGTGACATGCGCACTGAAGAGACTTGCAATTATTTGCCCTGGACTTCTGCTTTCAAACGTAGTTATTACCCTATCCGATAATAATCCAATTCAGAGGCAATAATGTAATATAATACATTATTTTATATATATATTATATATGTATATTTATATAGTTACAACCTGCCCTTTGAGTGCAACCATAATGCTAATGTGGCCCGCGATGAAATTGAGTTTGACACCCCTGCTTTAAACCCTCTACATTTCTATTGGCCTCTGTTTTTAAGTCAATAAAAGGTTGTCTCTGTTTTGCAGTGCCTGTTGCTGCAAAGCGACCCCAGAAGCCCAGAAGGTCAAAGCATCATCTCAGGAGTTGTGCAAATGTAAGTGTGCTCGTTCTCAAATCATCATACGACTATGTCCACATCTTCCAACAAATAATTAATGAACAACTGTACCCAATGTGTTCAAATGTGTTCTCTAGCATTTACAAAATATGTTTTTCATGCTCAGAGTTGTTATTGAGGTAAACGCAAGAGGGAATTTGTTTCATGACTGCATGATTGTCTACAGGAGTTTATTGCCATCTCCGTCTTCATTCAGTTATGAGCTTGATAATTCTATTTAGCTTTATTGCTCCTCAAACACAATTATTTATTTAGAGTGCTTCATTGGTTTTATATCCACAATAAAAATGTCAAACAAGTATATCGAGGATAAAACTGCTCAAACTAAGGATCATCAGTATTTCTACGGATAGTTCTTGTGATCGTGCCGTGAAGCAAAGCTGCGCAGATGTGAGCACAAACATACTGATTGGATTAGGGCAGCTAGGAGGATCTGAGGAGGCTGGATAGGGCTCCTATTGTACCAAATGTTTTTCAAGTAAACTGGATGTTCCAGAGGTCCTGTAAACAAATACTTTCTGCAGCTGAAAAGCACCAAGGGAAGCTTTAGCATTGAAAGTGAAAGAATACTTGGCTGTAAGAGATTTAAAGCAGATGGGAATGCATACACCCATTATGTACACATTTTCCTGAAATGTCTTTGCCCTCTTTCTTTCCCTCCCTCCTCCAGCCTCGAGTATCACACGACGACAGCCTGACGTATGCAGAGCTGGAGCTGGTCAGACCGAGGCCGGAGCCCCCCTCCTCCTCCAGCCCTGACCCCACTGCTTCCAGCACGGACACTGTGTACGCTCAGATCCTCTTCCAGGAGAAACAGCTGTAAACACAGCTGTACATGTGCACGTCTCGGTACCTCCCGGTGAGGGCAACTTGCCTGAGTGGCTACCAGAGTACTATATTTATGAACTATCAGTATGGCATTTAGCATTTGTTTTTTGGCTGTAATTACGCTACAACTGTTGGTAAATGAGGGTTTTGTGTTTCCTCGGCACAGTTCCATTCCAGCACAGCAGTTTTTTGGGTCATATAATTCTGTTGTTCTGTTTGTTGGCATCGCTGGCCTGCGAGCCAGATGTTTATAAGAAGCTATGTTATTGTTAACTATTCTGTATAAACTCAGGAGACTGTGTGGAAAGAAACTCTCTTACTGCAGTATCATAAGGCACTGTAACACTTTTTAAATGCATTTATAATTACAGTACTTATTAATAAATATATGCCTAGGTCAATTTATTCATATAAATACTGTTTCATCTTTCAAAAAGTTGATTGGATTATACTTTGTCAGATTTTTCCATAACTTTTCTGGGGTCAAAAACACACAATATAAGACCAACCAGCACAATATTACAAACAAACACCTGCAGTGTGTTTCACTTATACCTTTGGAAGGAGCTAGACTCAGCTTTTCTGAGCTTTATGCTAAGCTACGCTAACTGTGTGCTGGTTGTAGTTTCATATTATCTGGACGTTTGAGGGTTGCTTCAATTATCTTCTCTCTTGGCAAGAGGACAAACACACTTATTCCCTAAAATATCCAACTATAGCTTGCAATCTAGAATGTGATTTTCTAGCAATGACATACAAAAAAGGACAGAAACAGAGAGTCTTGTGCATCTAGTTTCAAAGTCTGATCAACACGCACAGGGATAAACAATCGTAAATCCTGGATGCAGCAAGCATTATGCTCAAGTACCCAAGAAAGGTGAAGGTGTAGGCCATTCTGTGAAGGTCATCGTATGAGAAATGGGATGAAGATAGCGGTGCTACAGAAAGAGAATGATGCACATCCACACCCTTCTCTCTGAGGGGGAGACACCGAGAGAGAGCCCATCATCCCCCACAGTTCAGACTCACTGACTAGGATGAACCCGCTAATGACTACATTTATTCAAATTAGACTAATTGTAATCATAGTTAATAATTAGCTTTACAGTGCATTATAATTGGGTTAGGCTACAAGATGGTTCTGCCTAGGTGCAATAATTTATTTGATTTAATTATTCTGAGGAACCCAATGGTTTGACATTTCATATCATAAAACCAGCGGTGTAGAGAGAATGGAGATGGCCGATAGCTTTAGAGAAGGTCATTGCTCGCTCTCTGGGAAAATTACGAGGACTATTTTCCACTCTATTAAGCCATTCCACTTAGCACAATTAGCCACACACACAAAGGTTAAAGAGAGAGACCTCTTGCTTTATGATAGAGAGGAGTGGTGCTTGTGCATGAGAGACCAAGAAAGAAAGGGAGATACAGAAACAGAGCAAGTCACCACAGTATTTCTACATCGGAGAAATCAGTGCATTGATGTACTGTGTCAGTTTTTGACTTGTAATGATCAACTCCATTGTCCAAATAAGCACTAAGAGACTGCATGGCCGTGTGCAAACACAGAAACAGAAAAAAAAGATGTGATAATTCAACAACGTCCAAACAAATGTCTTAAGTGGCTGGAGGATTGGACTTTTATAGTTAATGTTCATTTTAATTTATTTTTAAAGACAATAACGTTTTGTAAAATAAGGAGAATTGTTTAAAAAATATGATTGTAGTTTAATTCCTACACCTAAAAATTGGAAATAGGGCACTTACCACATATTTGGCACAAACATGAAGGCTCTCAAAAGTGCCTATGCGGCTCATACGTGTGTGTAGATTCCCTAGAATAAATGGCAAAAAAGAAGATATTACTGAATGATAGAATCTATGTGAAAAATGCACAAATGGGTTTAAAGAAGAAATGTATTTGTTATACTGTCTACTTCTGTGATACAGAGATTGAACAGCCTTATGTGGCTAAAAGGGAATTTGTCCTTGGTAAGCTATGAATTCACACACAAAAAGCTGTAAAAAGCAAAACGAAACATACCTCAACAACACCCAGACACATTCTACATTATCCACAACACGAACACTTGACTTGAACGCAGTAAACTTCCACAAATGGAAAAGCAGTCAAATGCTTAAAATACTTGTCAATGCCACATTACAAAGCAGATTGAAAACACATTGTGAAAAACAAAGGAAAGCTCAGTGAACTATTCACAACTAACTGAACAAACTCTGCTGTTCAGACCACAAACATGTATCAAAGCAAAACACTAAAACCCTCAGCAACAAATGCTGACGTGTGAATTTCATATTATGATCATGGATGATTGTTGTGCAGTTTGGGAGAAATTAGCAGCTGCAGCTTGAAAATACAATCAACTACAACAAAATGTCTCAGGACATGCACGCTCTTGTTTCACACATTTCCATCACTGTTTTGACCTGATTTTTTAAATGCTTGCGTTGCCTATCATGAAAATTCCCCCAGCAGTTCAGGAGAATTAGAGCCAGTGTCGTTCTGTTATTAATGTTTGTGAATCCCAGATTAAATAAAAAATAATGATCCTGGCCAACCCAGGTATACATAGCCATTATCACAATCAAAAGACTCACAGCAGAATATTTATGCAAATAGCTGTCAATACTTTTATTCAAATTTCCAGGATTTAGTATTTACAAAGAAAAATACAGAGTTACATCCATGCAAGAGATACAAATATTAAATATTGCCTGAGACTTAAGTGTAACATATATTGTAACGGGTTTCTAGGGGAACCAAACTTAAATACAGGTCTCAATGCTCAGCTGGTCCGACCTGAGACACTGACTCTGGGTCAGTCTGTCTGAGAGGACACAGGCTGTGTAGTAATGGAGGCTGGAGGCGTGATGTGTTCAAACACTGTCCCAGGTCCAGGTGAAGACTCTGCCCCAGGCATCGCCCGCCAGCAGAGTCGCATGGCTCCTGCACAGAGAAGAGCTTCAATGATGAAAACCATTTTAAAATCAGTGAGGTTATGTAAATGTGTTCTGTTCTAAAGCACACAGCCATGCACATACAATGTGAGTCAGAGCTATTAAGAGAAGGTTTACAATCAGTAAGTGAATGAAAAATAAGTGTTTTGAAAAATATTTGTAATCATTTTTTTATTAAGGGTCAACCTTACATTTTAATAGCTAAACGTACCCAATCAATTTCTCCTATTAAAGACAATTATTTTATTGTCTTACTTTTTTTTCTGAAAGGTTTGGTTCGAATATATGCATATGCATTATCTCCTTAATACTTTTTAATATGCATACATTTCTGCAACAGAAATCTGAAGATTTAATAAAGCAAGTTTGTATCACTCCATTATTCAGAAAATATTGCTGCAACAAACCGAATATACGTATCACCAATTTAGGAATACAATTTGATATAAATCTGACTATGGACAATGCAGATGAGGCATTATCAAATGCTAACTTCTGGTGAATTTAGAAGAAATCTACATTAGAAAAAACGTATAAACGTAGCAATTTCAAAACTGTGCATTTTGGATGTTTGCTTTCCACTACACAAAACAGTCCAAACTCTTTTATCGACTAGTGCATCATAACATTTTTTTTTTTGCATATAGTTTCTTGCCTTAGAGTGTCCGAACGTAAACTAAATGTGTGCTCTCTGTGCTGTGAGCATGGTAGTTACTGTACCTGGAGATGGCCAGCGCTGTGATGGCCGGACTGTTCTTGCTGCGGCGCTGCGACACGGCCTGACTTCTGTTCAGCTCTTGACATAAAACCAGATGTCTCTCCCAGCCTTTAACCTGACAGGAGCCGCTCACTGTGGATAAATCATGAGAATACATCAACCCCCATTTATATCTGAATCACAGGGCAGGTGTCCACCCTGTCTGTGCCGCTGACCCAGCGGGTCCCTGCAAAGAATTAAAATGTGCATTAACTCGGTGTTTATCTTCGGTCAGCAGGCCGTTAAAGGGAGAAAATCCCTTGAATATAAATGCTTCAGCATTACGTAAAGACTGGCCTCAATGTAATTTGTCAGGCATAATACTCCTATGAGGTGACGCGAGGCTGTAACCAACGTATGCCAAATTGGATCTGGGTATTATTGCTTTCTAAATTATACACGCACACACACGTCAGCAGAATTACTCATCAGTGTTTACTGCCTCTATGTTTAATAACTTTATAACAACATAATTCCTGCTAGCCATAATGCTAGTGAGGGTTGGGGTGAGCACACACTCGTCTGTCTAGCTTAGAGATGAGCGGTTAAAAATAATCATCTCACACTTAAGGATTTATCTAATTAGATAGCGATGGGGTTTCTTTCTGAAACACAAACCACCAGAATTGTTTCCTTTTGTGAAGGTGTTTCACAGTTTTGCTACCATCAGCCACTCCCCTCATCTGCGTAGTTAGAAAAACAATTCCTATCTGCATACCCCACCCCACTGCCAGAAACATTACCGTCGCTCTCTGCTCCGTCTTGCCCTGGGGACACAGGCTCTTCTGGAGGGCCAGGTAATTGTGTTCTGGTGTACTCTGTCTTCCATATCTGTATGAGGGACACAAAACGAGTAGCAAAATCTGACATAATTCAACATAATAACAAACACACTCACATAGGAACCGCCACGTGCACACACACCCCATATCTCAAGGTAATAATAAAGTAATAATACCGTGTGTGTGTGTGTGTGTGTGTGTGTGTGTGTGTGTGTGTGTGTGTGTGTGTTATGCATGGGCAGCCTCTCCCAAGTGAAGCCCAATTTAGAGTTTGCAGCTTTGATTACAGAGAGGCAGTATGTGCTCGTTTTAATTCTACACAAAAGCAGTCACACACACACACCGTTGTGTGCCGTTATTAGTACCTTGATGGACATCCAAGATTCTTCCCTAAAGTAATGATTTTGAATACAGTATAGTGTATAAAACAAAGCAACCGCGCTCATCTATTAGTCCTACAAAGAGCTGCCAGACAGACACTCGAGGTCAATACGTACAAAAATAACAAATAGATATCATAATGTTACTTCTTTACATTTCAAACAATACACATTTCTGGAATAGAAATGTCAACATTGATTCAGCCAGGTTAAAAATCCATCCATGTATTAGTTTTTTGTCATAATAAAGTCAAAGGTGCTTATTTTTGTACAATTTGTATTAATCAATAAATCTGCTCAAAAAAAGATTCTGTCAAATTTCCCCAAATGTTTTAACAATTAAAATGTGATATAAATCTGGAATTGAATCCAAACATATTTCAAGACATTACAGGTTAATTGTAATGCTTAAATATGCAAATGAGAAATTATCTAATTATCTATCTTTTGGTCAATTAAGGAGGACTCTACAGACAAAGCGTAGTAAAAAACACCTTAGTGTATTTTTTATGTTTTCTATTCATTAGGCTGAAAGAAGACATTTAGCCCAAACTGTCAACATCAAACAGTGCATGTCTCCTGTTGTAAAACTATTTTTACACTCACCCGTATATTGCCGTCTGCACAGCCAGTGACGATGACGTTTTTGGCATCCCACTCTTGTCGCTGTGTGAAGCGGACACACAGGACGTCTGGCTGAGGCCCGCAGGAAGTGTCCGTGTAGGTCAACAGCTGACCCTTCATCGTCCACAGGTAGAGCTGAGGTCCCGCACATGACGCAATCTCACCCTGCGATAGAATAATATGGTGTTGACGCCCATGTGCTCAAAGATACACACAGAAATTCACAGAAAAAATCCGGAGGAGAAATGAGAAATGAGAAATGAGGACATGTGAGCTGTCTACAAAGGGAACGCTTTTTGGGAACAAGGTGTGAGCTGAACAATGACAAAGAACAGAAGAAAAAGTAGAGTGTGAGTAGAGAATTACTAAAAAAGGAGATTCAATTGGTGGACTTACGGTGAGTTCATTAATAGCCAGTGCGGAGATGCTGCTTGAGTGCCCTGGTAACTGTGTGACGTAGCTCAGCTCCTCCATATCCCACAGGATACAGGTGAGGTCCCGAGAGCCACTTACTATCATGCTGTGGACCTCAGACACAGCCAGGCACGTCACTGAATCTGTGTGACCGTATAACGGCTGTGAAGGAAAATTGGGACAGTGTTATTCCGAGTTTGTGCAAATACATTCTGGGTGTTGCTGTTACATTTCTGTTGCAGACAGACGTGCAGACAAACCAACCTGTCTGAGTTGCATGTGCGTGAGTTTGTCCTTGCTGACGGACACATCCCACACACACACCACAGTGCTGGATCCTGCCGTGATGATGGTTGTCGGGTTGGGACAGGCGGCGCACAGCGTCTCCCCCCAGTCACACAGACTCTCACACACAGCAAAGGTCTGCAAATGGACACACATAGCCAGACCATTATGATTTGATGTGTGTATAAATAATATATACGATGGAGTGAGTTTATAGAGGAGTATATATAATCATTTCATAAAATATAATTGTTTTAATGTCCTAATTTGATACCATTGTTTAATAAGCTATTTTACAGCATCGGATACTGTATGTATAATCTTGTACTCTTGTAAATGCTGTACAAAACAGAAACATCATTGAGGTATCAGACACACAGAATGTGTAAGGCCAGAGATGGCTTTGCTAGGTATGCTGAATACATAAATACATTAAAAAGCTGTCGGGAAATCAATCAGTTGACACAGCAAACACGGCATTGTGCAGCGCTCTGTGGCGAGGGATTTTTTGGCAGATCATAAAGACTGCCTCACGGTTTTAAATTGAGCGTGACGAGTGATTTAAGAGTCAGCTGATAGGTTAGCTGTGTGTGGCTTGACCTCCACCAATTGAGTAAGTCCATATATATGTGATTACATTTGGTTATAATGTTGTTCCGATAAATGTGCATAGGACTGACACTAAGAACTATCTAAATAAAAAAAGAGGGTTTGGAGAGATTATAATTAATGTTTAATTAATTTATCAATTTTAAATTCTGGCATTTAAAAAAGCCTGTATAGGATTTGCAATGGCTATTTCAATTTAATTAATACGACTGGGTGGAGCTGTATGTGCAAAAAATACAAATAATGTGCAAGTGATTTACTGTGAAGGTGCACAAACATACCTTCTCTGTGGCATGGTTTCCAAAGGCGCAGGTGTTGTCTGGAAAGCCCCAGCTGAAGAAGCAGCCCGACAGAGGCGACAGGAGGAGACGGTTTCTCTCCAGGACCACCACCTCTTTTTCCAGACACAGTATCTGACCTACTGGGCCCCTCGGCAGCTCTGCGGAAAGGTTTACAGTGTAACTGAGAGGAGAGTGGGGCACCATCAGCAAAAAGTTGTGAACAAAGTATGAGGATTTTCTTTTTTAGTAACACCAACAAAATGTAATGTTAGATAATAGAAAGAGTGACCTCATTCTGCCTTTTGTGTGCTGAAATAAACTTGCCTGGTGAAATTAAGTGAATGGATCTTCAAAAACATCACATTAAAGAGTTTGGTAGCTCAGTCAAATTGTAAAGTATTTTATTAAATTGACCAAATTGGGCAATTAAAACAGCTATTCTCAGGTACAAACAAGCTGAGGCTCTGTCCTGGGGTTTTGCTTGTTTGTGTGCGTGTGTATGTGGGTGAGGCAGCGAGAGAGTGGCTGTAATTGTACCTGTAATTGACCAATTCTTGCAGGAACAGGCAGAAATCATTATATCCTACTGCCAGTTCCGCTGCCTAAATCCCCAGAAAGAAGTTATGTCTGCATCTGTTTTAACGGTCCTCCTCCTATTCATCTCTATCTGCTTATTGATCAGATCAGACACTGTAAGATTTAATATGAAATGTAATATGCAGGAATCTCTCCCTGAGCATTCGCAGATTCATCTCCTCTCCCTCAGTGGGCCTGTAGGGATATTCAGATTATTAAGTAGGGCTCAGCGGAAGAGTCATCTTCACATTGTAGCTCTAACAGATAGCTCCTTCCACCCCTTCATAGTGTAAATTAATCTATGGACATTCTCGCTCCGTTCCAACGATCCTCTGGAGACCTGGGCATCTTGTATAGAATAATTGACAACAAATGTTGTAAAATAAAACAAAGGAGGAACAATACAAAATAGGGACAAATGAAGATCACTTAAACTGATTGAATTCAGTTTATTTAACAGAAAATAGGTAATTTAGTTGTTTGGAATTATCTGTTGTTCGTTAAGCTTGGTTTTGACTTTAATTTTATATCATCATTAAAGGAATAGGCATGTTGGCTGAGGGTACACTAAATATTAATTTGCAGTCAGTAGCCGATAAGCCTAGCATGGCATAAAGACAGAAAGTAATTGGAAAAAGCTATCCTGGCTCTGTCAACAATTTGAAAAACATGTTATATCTATTTTGTTAAACAAGCTTGAGAGATGCTGGTAGACAGATTTTATTTTTTTACTTTAGACAGAGACAGGAAAGGTGTTTCCACCAATAGTAAGTCTTTGTACTAAGCTGGGCTGGGCTGCAGGCTACTGTATAACTTCATAGTTGGCACCCAGACATGAAAGTTGGTATTTTTTCACCAAACTTTTCAAAAGAAAGCAAAAAAAGGTATTTTCCTAAAATGTTTAACAATTTTAGACTAAGTGAGCTTATTTGGTGTCTGATCTTTTATTTGTGTGTGTAGCTGTACCTCTATATGGCTGCTTGGTGGTCTTCAGTTGATCCAGTTTGAAGAAAAATGGAGTTGGATGTGGTGGCGATGATCCTTCTTTCTTAGTGCCAATGCGAGGTGGATGTGGCTTTGTGAATAGCTATGGAAAGGACATAGATAATTCAAAAATACAGAATAGTTCCAAAAACAATATGATGCAGGAACTCCTACATGCAGAAAGTAATGTACTTTCTACACTTGTGAAACTAAGCTTTTACTTTTTACCTGTTTGGGAACCTGGCCAAAGTTGCTGACGTATCCTAAGATTGTGCTCTTGATAAGAGGGTCCTTTGCATCCTTCCTGCCCCTCTTAGCATAGAAGTAAGGGTGGAAGGTGTTCACACTCTCTATAGCAGCAGGGCCTTCCTGCCGGTACCCGAAGATCAGGTCGATCCACAGGTGGAGGTGCGCACTCACATATTCACTTTCCAAGGCCTAAGGGAAACAGTGCAGGAGATTGTGGCATAAAATCAGACAACATATTCAAGTAATATTACAAAACTACTATACAGTACATGCACTGTGCAGTCTTAAAATACAGCGGTGTGGAGTGCTCACTGTTATTACAGTTGGACCAAAACCATCAGTCAAACTGTTAATATGAGAGTTTAGAAACACAGGAAACTTCTACAAGAATGCACAACCGATTAAATTATTCAGGTATGATTTCTTCCAAAAGTCAATTTAAAGTCTGGAACAGCAAGAAGCTGCACAGCTGTGTTATGAACATGTGCGAATTAAAGAATGATTTGGGTGGAATTAGCCGGAGATTGGTTTTGAAGAGGTAATAAGGAAAAGTGGGCATTATGACCAGCATGTGTATCCTTGCACCCGAACTTAATAAACCCATCCTGGAATAACAGAAAACGAAAAAACATCATAACAGGGATATTGTCCTGAGTTAATTTGTCTTTGGAGGAAAAAAACAATCTTCTAAAGTCACTAATTTTAAGAATGGTGGGCAATATGAGTAGTTCAGTAGATTACAGAGTGATAACTATCATATATGCCCCAGGAATGGAAAAAGGGAGGGTCAGACTGAAGAAATCAGACCAACAGAGAGACCTTAATATCTACAGAAATAATGGAAATGAAAAAATAAGTATTGTGCCTGCCATGAATATTGTGAAATAGGCTTGTTGTCCTTCACCGTCTGTTATCTTACATATAGATACATGCCTTTCCATACTGTAGATGTTCTGAATACAAAAACAATTGGTCATTATACTTTAAAACAGTCAGTACTAAAAGAGTTTAACTGTACCAAACTCGATGAGACAAGATGGCATTTAAAGAATATAATGAATGAGACAGTGGCTGTTGTAAATAAGATCCGTCCCTTATACTGTGGGAAAAAGACTGAGGACAAACAGGCTACTACACAATTACAGTTCAAGTATAACAGTAGATACTTGTTTTAAATATAAAACCTTTTGTGTGCACATTCATCAGATAATATTGACAAACATTATTAGGTCTCATGGGAAATGCTCCTGTATGTAATAGACCAGATTGGACAATTGTAACAGACAATTCTGTGAGGTTGGGGGTCACTGACCTCTCGGTGGATCCTAATGAACTCCTGGGGGTCACCTTTCGCCCATAGAGGCAGCTCCACATCTCCCAGAGCGGTTCCATCCTCCATGCAGCCTTTACAGATATGGATATAACATGCAGGGTCACATCACATCGCAGTGTTTCATCCTTTTAGAGCAGTTTAAAGATACATTTTGTACTTTTTCTTACTCCTGGTGGCACTGTGGAGCAATGTACGAATTGGTTCCTCATTTTGCTTTGTGCACTCAACCGGCATATGGAAAAGGACGCATGTACATGCATTAGCCTGTGGGTAATGCAATCCGCATCCCTGATATTCAACGTTAACAATGCAGTTACTATGTTTGTTTTTTCTATTAAAATTGTCTTTCGAAATGATTTATGAGGTGGGAAATGCATTTTAGATGTGTGTAAGGCTTTTATGATGATTTCAAAAAAGAGTTTATGTAAACAGATTTTTTTGTTGCCATCCACATCCATTGAAAGACCATAACAAAAAATAAACAGGTATTGGTAAAGACCAATAAGCATATTCCTTTCTGCCCTACACCATTATTGTTGTCCAAAATGTATTTAAAACTCATCAATGGACCAAAATGTTCGAAGGGATTTTCCCCCTCTATTAAACATCGTGATTTTCAAGATTGACATCTTCTAGTAGCGAGAGGGCTTGGGACTGAAAGCCCCAAACAGGGTTGGAAAGACATGAAAGTACTGAGAGCAGGTTTTGGGCTTTTTATAGCACTGGTTGACAATGAGAATAAAAATGAATAATGATAATCCTTTGAGCCAGTTTTCAGTCAGTCATCTAGATTCACAGAGGGTGGTTTGTGGTACTGACCCAGCTGGATGTGGTTGGAGTTGAGCAGGAAGTCAGACAGGTAGAAGAACTCTGGGATCAGCTCTCTGACGTCCCCCGTGTTGTCTCTGGAGGCCGACTCCCACTCCTTCTTTATGCTGTAAAACATCCGCTCGGGGATATCAAACCCTCCCTGTGGGGAGAGGAGGCACAACACTGTCAGACCCTCGGCACACTGTAGAACCAAACTTTAGGCATTATTAATAAAGTAGTCTGCTTGATTCAGTGTAGTGAATCATGCTTTAAATTCTTTATTGCATTATGTAAGCAGGAAATATTTGCTATTATTTGAAGCAAGCTTTTCATCTTTTCGTAAAATTCCGTCCTCATGAGAGAGAATGTAATTTAGAGTAAAACAATTACCTCAATGAATGAAAATAGCATATACGCTGGTAAACGTGGTTAGAGATCTAAATCCAGTTATGGATATTACTATACGGCCGTTATGTGATTCAGAAGACAAAAAGGCACCAGACTAACATCTTTATTGCTTTATTCTGACTATCAAATATGCATGCCTTTTCATTATAATCAATTGGATGCTGTATTGTAAATTGATAACATCTTGGCTATTTGCATTGGCCTCTTTTAAATGCTTTCTGTAATTATTTGCATATATATTAAAATCTTCTTATAATCATTCCAAAAACAGCATTGAAACAGGATCTAGAGTTCTGAAAATAGCTTATATTAGGGTGATATTATTAGCAAGAATATGTTTGAAAGTGAAGAATGTCAATTTAAATCTTGGCTTTTTAGTTGGCACTGAGTGATGCAGGATATACTGAACTTCTGCCATTACAGAAAAGTTAAGACTGCACCTGCAGTGATCAGCAGGGATTCAAATCAATATCAAATTGACTCACACACATTAATACATGCATTACAGTTGAAGAGCTTTGCATTTACAAAAAGCCAAAAAGACAAGTCACATTAGATAACTGTTCAGTGCTATACTTAAGTAATGGATGTACTTGATGTCATGGCACTAACCAATAGAGTACTGTAGGTTCACATAGAAACACATTGTTAATTTTCTCTTCTATGTGAATCTCAACTGTTTAGTTTTTTTCCCCAAGGAATGGTCAGTAAGCAAACAATTAGTGCCTGTTTCTTCCACAAACCTCCCCATTGTGTTAATCCAATACTGGCTTATTCACTTTTAGGGCATAAAAAGACCAACAATGACTTTCCAAGGTCTCACCTGCAGTGTCAAGAAGGTGTGTGAAAATGGCTCCATCCTGACAAGAAAGGAGGCTACGATGATGGCTGAGGAGTAGTGGGTGCAGTAGTGGCATCGTGCAGACAGATTTCCTATTGAGTAAATAGGCGTTGAATAAAAAGAGCACTTATCGTAAAATAATGAATGACGAGCAAAGAGCTAAATAGGTACCTTCCCCCTCAGTGGTCTCAACTTCTTCATATCGTTGGATGAACATCTGTTTCCTTTTCTCCGTCTGCGCTCCCATTGGCTTAGACAGGTCACGGAAAGTTGCAGGATTTGACAGATCGATTGTCTATCAAGGACAGAGATAAATCAAACCAGTAGGTAGGACTTTCATCACTCCATCTCTTTACAATATTAATGTTTAAGATGTCACTGTGTGTGATCTAACCTCTGACTGGTAGTCAGCCAGGACCCAGGGGAAGACTGGGTACTGCATCAGGTCATTGTATGTCCTCCCAGCAATGGTGTTCAGATGCATCAAGTACTCAAAGTTACTTATTTCCCCTTTCTGGAAGACAAAAAACAGTAGAAATGCTAAGTAGTTTTAAACTAAAGTGGCCTGGGCTACTAATGATATCATATCTCTTCAGCATTTTGTCAGTCTCTACTGAGGTCAAAATCTGTGAGCACAAGCTACTGTTTATCATATTACCTGCCAATTTACAAGGGCAGCCTTTTCCACCACAGGACTTTTCCTAAAGCACAGTAACAAAAGAAAAACATTGAATTAGCATCAGAGGCTAAACACAAAGTTCTTTTTGCATGCTCTGTTGCCTAGCAACCCATGTTGAAATGAAACACAGCAGAGTTCTGAGGCAGCAGAGTGGAGGTGAGTGAATGAAACTGAAACCGTGTGTACACAGCTGTAGGATTAGTTATGGGACGGAGGTGAGCTACACTTGGTAGCATAAATAGTAAGTAAAGATGTTGAGGATGTGGCAAAAGTTGACATCCGTAGGTTGTGAGGGAGTTACTTTTAGTTACACTGTAGCAGGTCTGACTAGCTTCCATCAGCAGAGTGAGCTATTTAAAAACAGGAAGAAATGTTTTTTCTTCTGCGGTGAGTTTTTAAATAACATGCAGGGGGTTAATGATTACTGGTTGAACAAGGAACAACATGTTTATTTTACATTTCTGTCACAGAAAAGTGCACTGATTTCCGAGAAAAAACATCAAGACTTCCTGCTTGGCTAAGCTAAGACAAACAAGATGTTCGTCTACAGCTGTTTTTTCATTTAGTTAGTTTTAGGTGTTTGTTCAAAGAATGTTGTAAGGTGAGCCTTTTACGGGCATTCACTTAAATGGAGGCACTGACTTCAAACTGCTAATCACAAAAACAGCTTGATTAAAATACATTATTGTTGTGTTTTCAGCTAAAAAGAAATGTAAACAAAATGACAAAGTTGCAGGAAATGTTATCATGAATTTAACTCATGTAACACCACGCTAAACTATCTAAATTAAAGAAGCGTTGAAGTGCTCCTGAAATCTCTTTTCCCTCTGTGGCCAGTAACACGGCAATAAAGTCCTGGCGCCAAGCACCCCAGTTGCTAAGTAACGCTGTTAAACAAAAGGAACCTTGACTTTCTGTGTTTGGTGTAGGAGGGCGAGGGAAAGGGTGATAAACACCGACTGTGCATTCCTCATCTCTACTCTTGACCTCGGAACAACATAGGCAAGGATTACCAGGTATTATTAATATAACTAACAAATGCTAACAAATCAGAGTTTAAATGTGTTTAATGTTTTGTTGCTGTGTTTTAACATTGTGATTTTTGTTGTCAGGGTGAGGGGCTTTGAGCTGAATGTCCGGTTTGCAGAAGCTAAAGCTGTTGGCGTGTTTTTAAAACTGAAGACAACTTGAATCACATTGATTAAAGAAAAAAAGAAGATAAAATATGGTGAGTACATATCTTAATTTATGTTGAAAATTAACATTTCTTTTTTTTAAAAGAACAGTGACATAACTGAACAATTAAATTAGGTTGCAAACAGTAAATGTGTTTTAAAGAGTATGTAGCTCCTTTAATTGCATCCAATAATCCCTCTCCTCGTCCAATATCTCCTGACCAAATTATTTTGTAAAACTACACTAAATCAATCACTGTATTTGGCCCAGTATGTGTTATCTAATTGCAAGCAATAATTTCATGCAATAGTTTTCTATAGGAGGTTATAATGGGAACAAGCACCAGTGGATAACCCCTCTCATCCTGAGGATGATGAATGAGGCGAGAGAGGGCCTTGGGGTGTAACACAGACACAAACAGACACACACCTTGCTCTTTGAGACAGGGAGGGGAGAAGAGCGGGGCCTCATCATACTCTCAACACTCTCCAACTATCATTTATCAAAGCCCTGATTTCACTCTTTGTGCACGTGTATATACTATAGTACAGTACATGCATGTCCGTCAAAACACTTGCATGTGAATGCCCCCCCAACCCCAACACACACACACCTTCTTTGCCTGAAAAGAGCAGCTCAATCAGTTGAATGGTGAGGAAACATCAGCCCTCATTTGTTTTTGCTGTATTACCCAGTGTCGCCTCTCCTCTATTGTTCCCCTGCATTAGCCTTAATTAGAGAGTCGTGCTCTTAAATACCCCCATGGGCAACACAGGCTGAGCACACACACACTAGTGTAGACATAACACTGCACACACTCACACACATACGCACACTCACACACATACGCACACTCGCACACATACCACACTCAGCGCCACACACACTCACAGCCACACACACTCACTCACAGCTCAAGCTCTCATACCTCAGAGAGCATGCTTTCCCTACTGCCCCAGGCCATACATAAGCCCGTGTATCTGAATAAATCACATCAGCCTTACACACACATACGTACGTACGCGTAAACATACACACATCACATTTATTTGCTATAGTACTGTTGTAGATTAGATTACTTATTGGAAATCCGCCTCTTGGGGGGCAAAATTGAGGCCGAGCTTAAATTCTAAATTGTAATCCTATGTGTGTTGCAGTACCATGCCCAAAAAGAAGGGAGCCAAAGGGACAAAGCTGACCCTCAAAATAGCCAAAAAGGCAATACGGATGACCCCGGATGGACGGCACAGACTTACCCTAAGCAACATGGGTATAACCATCTTCCCAAAGTGTCTCTTTAAACTGACCAACTTGGACGAATTGGACCTCAGCCGCAACTCGATACAGAAACTCCCAGATAACATTGGGAATTGCTCATCTCTAAGATTGCTGGATCTGCACAGCAACAAGCTGGAGGCTTTGCCCAAGTCCATCGGCAACCTGGTGGGACTGACACACCTCAACCTCTCGAACAACCGCCTGATCTCTGCAGGTCTCCCCTCCTCTTTGGGTTGTCTCACCAGCCTGAAAATACTCAATCTGGGGATGAACCAGCTGGACACCCTCCCTCCCAGCATGGAGGCTCTAGATAGTTTGCAAGAGCTAGGTCTGTTTGATAATCTTTTCATTCATCTACCAGAGTTTGTGAGAGGGCTACGCAACCTCACAAAGCTGAACATGAAACGCACTCCACTATCGTATGTTCAGGGGGATGGTGAGGAGATGCAGAAGGAAAACTCAGAACCAGAGGAACATGTGTATCTAGTTCAGGAGAGCAGCCTGTGTAGGACATGCCTTAAGAGATGTAAAGACCAGAAAGAAGGGCTTATAAGAGGAGGAGGGGGTGATGCATATGAGGAAAAAAGGATAAGAACTTATAAAGGACTGCTTGTGCCAAACTCAGTGGCTACAGTCCATCAGGATGTGTGGAGGATAAGAAAAGTGGAACAAATGCAAATCAAATGACAAAACAGCGTCATTCAAAATCCTCTTAAATTAAATGAATCTCACATTCAGGCAGCTTTAAAAACTTGAATAGTTGTGCATGTTATCTGCATAGTTGTGCATACTATACTAGTATTTTTTGATGTATTAACTTCATTTCTGAAATAAAAAGAGCGACATGTTACTGACTTGAATTATTGCTGTATGAAAACTGTGGACACTTACTTGGCATTAGCAATGACCTCAGCAACCCCTCTGCCTTTTAATGCTGACACTACTGTGCACAACCTGCAGGGAGACAGAGAGGAGCGATTGAGCATCAGTCTTCAAAATGCTGAAAAAAAGCATTTGTTAGCCTCCAGTCTATATGAATGCGGTACCTTTTATATGCAGAGACATGGTCTTTATTCAGGAACACCAAAAAGGCAGACAGTCCATTTTTCATGAAGACCTCGATAGCATTGTCCTGAAAGTAACAAAGAGACACCGCGTTTTTTCAATGACATTTATATCTAAACTTAATACAAAAAGTATGGAAATTTGCCAAGAAGCATTGTTACAACATATAAATAATCTACCAAACACACATTTCCTTTCTTTTTGTGTTAAGTTTAGTAGATATTTAGTATCTATAAGATCCCTTTTAAACCTGCACTTAACATGAACCTTATCAGACTCTCTGAAAGGTAACAACTTCAATTAAAATCACAACAAATCTGATGTGAATTTCAACTAAAACCTGTCTAGAAACCATCTGAATATGAGATGCATGTCAATGTAAAGCATCTGTATGAGAAATTAGGATATCCTCTACCTCTAAAAGGAAACGCATGAAGCGAGCATCCTTGATGTCCTCATAGAGCCAGCATCTGCAGCGGGCTGGAGGCAGCTCTTTACTCAGCATGGTGGAAATATAGGAATCCCTCACACTGGCAAGGAAAGAAAGGGACACAAAGAAAATTAGACGACCAATTGAGTGTTAGTGAGTAACTAGTGTTAATTTTGTTAGCTCTTTTTAATGTAGTCTTTGTCCTGTCTCAAATGTACTTATACGTTTTATAACTTAATTATTTATTCAAGTTTAAGTTGACTGAATGTCTGAGGATATTAATCTTATTTTAGAAAAAGAAAACCATAATATTTTAATCTAGTTTAAGACAATTTAACTGTATATATTTTAGTATTTTTATTCACCAGATTATAATTCAGTACATTTAGTCAAGGCAAAAGCAATAATTTATTTTGAGAGACAGAGACACAAAGAGAGAGACTTTTTGAGAAGTGACGAAAACAAAGAGACATTTTGGTGAAGTTTTTACTTTTTTAAATCACTTTTTGGCCTTTTTTTCTTAAATGATATTGAATATTGATATCATCATAGTTTTGGATAAATGATGAGGTTGACATCTTGTCAAATCTTAGTCATGGAAAAAAGGTTGTTGATATTCATATGTTGATTATTTCATAAGGAAATAAACAATAATTGAGGCAAGTAAAAAGCAAATGTATGATCATGTAATAATTAGGTACTGTACACAGCTGTACCTGCTGGGGTGGTGTTTCCTGCAGCAGACATCTCCAGCAGGACTGAGCGTGAATCCCTCACACAAGAGCAGGCTCTCATTCCCGAACAGCAGCACCCCTTCCGTCACTCTGAGGCCGCTCACCGTCACTACACACATCTTAGCCTTTACCTACAGAGAGACAGGGAGGAGAGACAGGGAGATGCATTAAGGCCTGTGTGAGAGGCACAATACACATCAGCACACTTCTCTCCCGGGACATGACATGGCAGCAACGCAGGCACTCCAGGCTTTACTTGATTGATCATTTTAATCACATATTCTAATCATTATTAAAAAGACACAGTTGAACACTTCATTATCAGAGCTGATTGATGGGGAGCAGTGTGACTGTGCGTTTCATCCAGCGCCAAAGTGGACCCACATGCTGCTTTCAGCGCTGGTTGTAGCTAATGCTAACTGCATTGTGATAATGTGCGGCTAATTCTATTGTCTCCCCTCATTTCACAGTGAGTGTGTGCACCTGGCTGTCTCCCTGTGTCGGCCCCTCTGCAGGCCCTCTGGGACACAGCGCCCAAAAACCATATGGGGCCCCAACACACCCAGAGGCCCCTCACAATTTATACTAATCAAATCAGACCGCCTACATCCAGACACAAAGTCACACACTGGTGTGGAGGAGGCCCTGCCTGGTCATTATTAGGAGAATTAATCACTGCCAAACACACAATAGGAAACCTGCTAAGTGATCAGAACCTCTTGTCTGAATGCACACATCGAGTCATGCTATGATGGATAATATCACTTGACACACAAGGCGTTTAAGAAGAGACAAGGCGAGCAAGTCTCTCTAAATGGCACAGACATTTTACATTGAGCTATATCATGGTCAAATTGTAAAGCAGTATTCATTCAGTGAATACACACTGGCATCAGTCCCTAACAATAACTAGATTTTAGAAAAAGACAGTTTAATTTATTGTTATCAAAGATTAAATACATAACAATAAACTTGTTTCCTTATCGTTTTACTGTGCACTGGACAGCGTTATCAGTCTGTTGGTTATTTAGCTGATGATGGGAAGAAGGAGAAAAAAGGAGGACTTTTATAGACTGCGAGCCTAATGTCAGACCATTGATTTCTCCCCACACACATTACTGTCATAATCACACTATTGGCGCTGGCAAGCTAATTATGAGTGGGTCTCCCTTTGTGTGTTACTGTGTGTGCGTGTGTGTGTGCGTGTGCGTGTGCGTGTGTGTGTGTGTGCATTTTTCAGAGCTAATGACTGTGTTCATTTGACAGGAAGCTCAGCAGGACTCACACACTGAACCACTGCAAGACAACAGGACACACTTGCACACATCACACACTTACTAAGCGGATGCAAGACAGCCTGCATCACCTCCTACTGTTTTTATTAATACTTCTGTCAGAAACATTAAAAGCCGCGGCTGGTTGCCGGAGTGATGAGAGTCCCTGTCAACATGTGCTGTGGTTTCTAACTCAGTGGAAGAATGAGAAGAGCTGGGCTGAGCCTCCACATTAAAACGTTACACTAATGAGGAAAGATGAAATTGTGATAGCAGCGCTGGGCTATTGGAATCCCTTAGTCTACATCAGATAATTATGATTGTGAATATTAGCAGGGTGAAAAGGAGGCATGCTGTATTTAACCCAGCATACCAACACACCCTCCTGTGTTTCAGTACCTCCTCTCCGGGCTGCAGCTTCTGCAGGATGATGCGTATGTCATGGCAGTCTTGCATGTGGGAGCAGGACTCAGGGGTGAGGGGGTCGGCGGTACTTTCAGCAACAGCAGTGGTCTCATTGAGAGCGGGGAAGAAGGTCAGATGATCACAATCCTGTCCACCCTCCTCTTCATCCTCTTTAACCTCGGCTCCAACTTCACACAGGATCTTGGGCTCTGTCGAAAAGGAAACAAATGTATCCACTGAGCTCACATTCAACACAACCTTTTATGGTTAAATACATTTTATTTTTTTTAAACCAGGGATTATGTATTTACCTGTGTCACCTTCTGATCTCTTATGGTCCTCCTCAGACATGCTGGTCCTTAAACCCATACACAGCGTTCCTAGCACCTGTTTTAATAGTATATGGCAAAGTTAAAGGTTTAACACTAATAATAAATAGGGATGCACCAACTAATCGTCCAAGTATTTGCCTTGTTTAAGTCTGGACTAGGAAAACAGTAGATTGACTGCTACTGCTGCCTATAAATCTGCATGAAAAACATAGGTGAAGGATAGCCTGGTCAATGTTACTAATCCTACATTTACATTTAATAACATGTAAATTATGTAAAACATAAGAATTCATTGTTCATTTAAAAAAAAAAAAAATTGTTGTTTTATACATTTTGTATGAATAAGTTTGTGCTCATTTGAACAATTAATAGGGCTGTGCATCTTCACTGGTCTCACGATTCGATTACGATTATCCTGTCAACGATTCAATTCAATTCGATATCCCGATGCATCACGATTCATACCAATGCGTTGCATCCTCAATTTTCTATATTACTGCACATGGCTTATTTTTCATCAATGCATACATGCAGTAAATACATATGAACTCTCTTTTTATTATTTAGAAAGTGCTTCAGAAATCAATAACATAAATGTCTTGACATTAATTTATAAACCAAAATAAATTAATTGTATAGGTCTAGCCTCCCTATATCTGTGTGTGAAGTTGTTCCATCCTCAAAAACAAAATACGAATGCTTCTGCAGTCTAGCTGCAGCTTCTAGCAACGGTCTTCTGTTAAAAAAAGGACACTGAATGTCCTGAATGTGGCATCACACACAGGACTTGAGTCTGAACCTTTATATATATACAGTCTATGGTCTGAACACAGCAGACAACAGGAGTATTTACAACAGCATATAAAAACAAAAATACTGCATGTGGGTGCACACTTACATTCTCTGTCTTACTGTTACATAAATCCCATGAATGTATGAGATTAGGTTAGCTTCATTATATCTCAATCAGTGATTAAGTGAATAATAAAGTTTCTATCGGGTCACTATCAGCCTGTCACTCATTATTTTCAGGGAGGGGGCGGGGTTTGGAGGAACAGAGGAGACGGTGATCGCGGAAGCTTTTTTCCTCCTGCCTTCACAAACTTTACACACGTATATATAGTCTGAAAATTGCTAGAGGACATTCATACTCTGCAATCCAAGACTTAATTAAATCCACCAAAAACCTGACATGATTGTAACGCGATTATTTTTGAAAAACATAAATCCTTGTGTCTCTGAGCCGCAGCGACACGGAGTGATTCAGAGCGGGTCCTTCTGCTGTTGGTTCTGGACTGGTGTTCTTGTGTTGGTGGATAAAGCAGACTGCTCCGTGTTTGGTGTTGCTGTGCCGCTGTCACGTCTGTTCCCTGATCTCTGCGTCACCGACCGATTTGATATTAAAAATATATAAAAAAACGTTATAGTAAAGCCTCGGCCGGAAAATCAGGAAGCAACGTTACTACGCTATAATCGATTATCTTCCGTCACTGCATCGATACCGAATCGTCCACGTCCGCATCGCAATGCATCGTAGAAACGATTATTTTCAACACCCCTAACAATTAAGATGTATTTTCCCTGGAACCAAACGGGGAATATATAATAACAAAAACATTGGTATCTTTATAAGTCAAATTGTTATTTTCAACATGGGTACCGGCCCAGAGTTTTAGTCAGTGGATCCCTAATAAGGACCATCACACACTATCCTGCTGCACACTGAAAGGCCATACCCGTTTGGATTGTCTCCGAGCCTTTCTGCGGATGCGTGATCTGGTCCTGTTGGGTCCTTCAGCAGCATCCTGCACCCAGTCCTGGCTCAGCAGCACCCCTGGGCCGGGGCCGAACACAGCCCTCTCCCTCATCAGCTCGGCCTCCACAAGCAGCCACTTGGAGCTCACTCGCTCATACTCACTGGCTCTTAACTGGGACACGGAAACAGGCCCGGATAGAGGGAGTAGATAACACAGAGATTAATGAGTACAGATCCAATTTGGGCTATTTTATTACAGTTCTTTTTGTTTATTAATGAACACAGTTCTGTCAGACCTGTAAGTGGTTTGTCCTCATATTCTCAAACATGCTGTGGCCTCTCTGTCGATGAGACTCCATGTAGGACAGAAACTCCTACAAAAAAAGGAGAGTAACCTGATGGGTGCAAATGAAAAGAGCAGGCGGCACAATCGCTCTTCCTCTAACTCATATTGTAAACACACATCAGGTTCACAGAGAATATTGTGTATATTCATAATGGTATTGTTGTTTCCTCATGCAATTACAATGCATTCATACAATTACATCTGTTCTAAATTGCATTCAGTGGGCAAAATAAGCTAGTGGCTACAGTCTTACAATAACCCTGTCTGGAAATGTAATCATTTGTTGGTGTGATCTAATTAACATAAACATTAATATCACTGAGCCACGCCACAGTCAAGGGCAAGGCTAGTGTGTGTGCGCCTTTACTGTGTGCGAGTCGATTAAAAGAGAAAAGGAAATAAAAAATAGAAAAACCCCAAAACCGAGCCGTGTTGACACTGCAGGATGCTGATGTTCAGCAGACACACTGGGATCATATTCTGACTGTTAACTGCTTCATTAAGCCCATCATCACAGCAGTGCTCGCTGCGAGACTAGTGAAACAACATGTGTCCATCCTCACAGCTGACCCAGGAAAGCCATTTCATTGACTGAATGAACATGCACTAACTTTTTATATCTAGTCTTATTTACAGATGCTAATTCTGTGTTTTCGGGAACAACCCCATTAATGCAATAATTGATTTCAAGTACAATAAGAAATCTACTTCTGTAATACAAGAGATTCAAACATTCAATGTAATTTCAGACTAAATCCATGCATAAAAGTTGACAACTAACTTTGACAAGCTCTCTGGAGAATGAAAACGGTTTCCTCAAATGACTGACTGCCTATCCAAATGAGATGTTGTGCAGAGAAGAAAATAAAGGAGTAATTTGAGGGGAGATTATAGAAATATTACAGACAAAAAAAGAGTGTAGTAATGAAGTTTGCAAACTAGAGCCGTGCTGCGGCAGATAAACAGCAAGTCGGCGTCATCGCCTCCTAATTTCATTCCTTCATTTGGACAAACATAAGTAATATATAGCATTAATTACCCTATTTAGCAGATAGGAACCTCATTGGCTTTTTAAATGCTGCATTAAATACATAACTCATCTCTTCCCTCTGCAATTAACATCAGAACATCACACTCATTTCCATTTTAATGACTTCCCAACAATACGCCACCTTTGATGATAAGGCAACATAATGTCAACTTCATTCTGGGCAGGCAGTGAATGTGTAATGAACTTAACGTGATCATTAGTGCTGTTAATTATCTTTCTAATATGAGGACACAGATATGATTATGGAAACTGCATTCGCTGATGAAATAAATCTCTAGAAGAATTGCACTGAAGCTTGACTGAGGACAGAGTCTGCCTATCAGTCTCAGGATTCTCATTCATTACCTACAGTAGGCTTTAAAACTCTTGTTTTTGTTTATTAAAAGTAAATATCTGAGACTTGGAAACCATGCTCTGTAGGAATACATCACTGTGGATCCAGTGACTCAGAAGAGAGTCCCATTAAGCTCATGACTCGCCAACTAAAGGTCATACGTTGATGATCCCGAAATTAATTAATGACTCACTTGTTCCTCCATGAAGATGAATGGAAAATTAACAGACTGGCTGACCACTAGTGAGGATTTAAATATCCTTTTTGGAACACTCGCTGCATGCTGCAACCTATGAAGAGCAAAGCGGTGCAAGACACAGCAGAGAGGGAGAAGGCAAACATCCCTCCCTCTTCTTCCCCTGCCTCTCAGACGGAAAAAACAATTCATCACCCTCTCTGATAGCCTGTCAAAGACTGATATGATAAAGAATAACATCAAATGAATAATGTTTTCATCAGATTGCTACCACTATAATTGCCAACCCGATTTCTGTCGGCAAGAGAAGCGCACAAACAAGAACACACGCGCTTTGTGGGGGTGAGACAGACACACAGACGCGGTAATTTCATGCCTGTGTGCCTGAGTAATATGTCCCCGCTCCCTGCTCCAGATGGCTCAACGTCTTAAGCGTTGTGGGGGAACTAATGATGTGGGCCACGTGTTTCGGGGGGAAAAACAACAATAAACGCGTCTTTAACCTTCAGCAGCAAACAGTGTGTTGTAGTGAGTGTTCCCATGGATAGGCCTAACAGATATCAATTACTAAGCCCACTCAGGGGCAATCAGCTGTGATAATCCAAATCCATTTAAAGAAATAATCAAACACCCCCACAGGGCTGGACGGCCCACAGCACAAACACAGCAGTGACTTTGGGATGAGTGTTTGGGCACGGCGCTCTGGGACACTAGGGCACCTGGGGAAAGGTAACAACCCGACATTCCTCAAAGGGGACAACAGGCACCAAAATACAAATCTCTATATCCCGCCCCCTGAACTGGAACATTAAGTGAGTGTGTGTTTACCTCAACTGTTGCTGACTCTTTGTCAAGTCTGCCCAAAGCTGAGCGAACAGCGCTGCTGATCTCATCAAACCTCTTCTGAGAGCTGCTGGCCACCTTCATTTTCTGAGACTCTGAGAAAGCAAACACAATGTTTTTTTAGGGGATAACGTTTACATTAAGGCATCTTCCCCTTCTGCAGTTAGAGTCAGAGCTAACCTGTGTATCGCAGCCAATCTTTTTGTGCCATCTCCTCCCACAGAGGGCTGATGTCCGTCATGCGGACGGGCCCTGTCCCTGCAGCCCGGCTCGCAGAGATCTCTATCTTTGAGGTTTCTTCAAGCGTGTGCTGCCTCTCCACCATCACCTTTGACCAGCAGGCCTCTGCTAGGGAGACTAGCTCTGCGTCATCTGGAGCACACACACACACACATTAGTCCTGTAACTCTCGGGTGAGCCAGCAAACCTCCATAGACTTTTCCGGCTAAAGTGATGAGTGTAAATAAGTCCACACATACTGGCCTTCATACCTGTGGTAATGTCTGCTCCGTTGCCGAGGCATGCAGGATGTCCGGTTCTACGAGCACAGAACAATCCCTTTTTGCCAGCTGCTTTTTGTGCCACACATCCAAAACCTTCAGGGTAGCTAAAAAAAAAAAAAGAAAAGAAAATGTAATTGATTAAATTACCAGTGAATCCTGGTTTCAACTACATGCTGTGTGTATCTGAATATTGATTTGGCTATTACCTGCCCGATCGTATCAGTAACAAACAATGAAGAAGGCATGTGATGAAGTTCACATTGGCATTGTAAGTTGCCATGACAACATCCCAGCGTTCCATGACTGTCTTTAAGGCCATGGTGACCCCTTCCTTTTCGTCTTGGGAATGTCGCGGTTGAGACAAGAGATAAAGCAGCACTTTATTGGTGCACGAGTAGAGGGCTGACACGGCCTTCTCTTTCTGAGTGGAGCCTTTCTCCAGAGCCTAGAAGCACACAGCAGTGTATCTATTATCAGTCTGTATAAAACTAAAAGGAAACACTAGTGACCTGTGGGCTGATTTTCACAATCCAGTGCTACTATTGGAAAGGAATTATGAGGTGTGTATTTATCTGTTTGTCTCACCCCCACAATCTGATCAGCGAAGAAGTTGATCAAACTCTGCGAGTCTACCAAAAATGCTCCGCTGTAAAGTTTCTGCTGCAGAGTCTGACTGAAGAGCACCACATTCTCCATCAACAAGCCCATCTGACCATCAGGCGTCTCACTCTTGCAGTCTGAGAGAAATTATAAAATCAGCACATTCAGATAAAATTTCTTTGCACATGGTCTAGCCAGTTTAGGCTATGAGTAAAGGATGTGTTGTCATTTTACCGTGTGAGTTCAGATGAGTGTTGTTTTCCTCCTCATGGCCGATCATGTGAATAATGTCCATGATCAACTCCAGCAGCTCAGTCTGGAAACTCTGCCTCTGCTCCAGCGATGCATCATCAGGGGAGAACTGACACATGCGGTTTAGTTAAAATAACACTGATAACTATTTTTTTGTGCCTGCTGATACTTCCATGATGCTTAATTGACATCTTGTCTAATGTTGTCTGAAATGTAGGTGTTGGTGGTGGTTTAAGTGTATGCACATTAGGCTTGTCTGGATGAAAACATCTCAACATGATCTGTTCTGTAGGCATACAGATGTACTCTCCCTCCTAGTGGTGAATCATATTACCTACAGCACCTTGGCTCTGCCTTTTTTAGTAACTGAGCCAAGAGTGGCATCTTCTGGAGAAACTAGAGTTTGCAGTATCGTACCTAATAAGTTGCATTTTGCAAATAATGTTTATGTGTTGCATTTATGTTGATATTTACCAAGACACTGTAAATAATTGGTTATTGTGTGTGTTTGCATTCACCTCCAGCAGCAGAAAGAGAGGATGTGCTGTGTTGTTGGCACACACATTAAGAAGACTGTCCATTAGCAGAATACGGATGAAGTCGCACACCGGCTTCCTGTTTGGATGACTCCTGAATGTGTCCTCACATTCACTTGCAACGCAGGGTTCTACCTCGCACTGAAAGAAGTGATCAAATGGGTGAGCAAGACCAGACATTTGAGAACAGCTCCGGTTTCATAAACCCAGCGTAACAGACCAACCTCTGGAACGTCCACAGGGTACACAACTCCAGCGAGGGTATGGAGAAACTCAGGTGAAGCCCACAGTGGGTCTCTGGGCCGGATGTTATGGAGAAGACAAAGGAACTGCATCACACTGGCTGGGAGCTGCATCTCCCATGATGCATCAGTGTCTGACATGTGCTTTGTTGTAGTAACAGGCTGTTCGAAAATAAAAATAAATGATAGGTTTAATGCTTTATAAATATGTGGTGAATAATACTGTAGATGTAAGATAATTACATTCTCACCTTAGTGATGATGATTTTGACTAATTCCAGCAATATTGTAGCAGCTTCAACACAGAGCTGCTGAGCAGGACTGTCTGCTTGGCTGTCAATCAATGACTGTAGCGTATCATCCAAAGGCACCTTAGGATGACACATAATAGGAGCATTAGGAAAGGGGTCATGAACAATTCGGCTTAGAAGATGAAGAGTACCCACTTTTCCATCAGCAGTGTGAATGGCCTTCCTCTCCAGCATCAGAGCAGCCAGGGCTTCAAACACCTGAGGCAGGTGGGAGAGTCTGCTGAGCAGCCCCTGAAGAACATCAAAGCCTGGACACGTGGTGCTGAGGCACTCATAGGACAAAGAATGGGCTTGAAGGTTGTCTGGTGACAGGTGACAATGGAAGAAATCATTGATAGATGTTGGTTTTGGATGAAAGTAAGCCACGCAACAAATATTCCTTATAGATCAACAACATCTTAAATGAATGATTTAGCATGTTTAACACATCTAAACTTGAATTAGGTTACTAATAATATTATTTCAATATCAATTTACATATTTGAGTCTTGCAGTTTGTGTTAACTGATCATTTAATTTGTATATTTCAGTGAGCTGCATGTACTGTACTTTGAATTAAATATCTCTTTAAAAAAATGTATTTGGTCAGTACACACCATTTAAAATCCCTTTGTCTAGTTTAACCTTTATAAACATCAGAATTGTGTATCGAGATAATTTAATATCATCACTAAACGGTTCCAGTAAAAGTGGTCAAATTACAACATTGATTTATTTCCCTGCTTCACTGTGAGAAAGTATTCAACTGTGTATGTACCTAAGACAGCAAAGGGTTCCTCCATGCCCTCTATGAGTGTTGCTGGGAGCACCCCCTCTCTGAAGCTGCTCTGCTGGCTGGGACTTGACAGAAAGTGTGTGAGCAGGATGAGACTTATTTTTAAGGTGGTATGGTGAAGGTGGGGCTGAAGGAAGAGCAGGAACCAATCACTGCCCAGGGTATCGAATAAGGCCTTCTGCTGACTACAGGGGAATACAATCATGACGACACTAATCAGTTAATGTTTCTGCCATGACATTCTGGCGCATAAAATACTGGGAAAATATGTTTTCATTCCAGTTTTGGAACAGCTAAGCAGTATCAGATGCCACTCACTCTTCGATTAGAAGGCTGTCTGAGTTGAGGATTTCACAAAGTGAGAGTAAGAGCTGGTTGCGGATCCAGATGAGGCTGGCTGGAAGACAACATTAAAACAGATTAAAACAATTCTGGGTCAGTACAAGTAACAACTTGTGAAATCTATGATTATTTTGTATCTAGCATTTTATTTAAGAGAGACATGACATATGTAAGGTACTGCATAAGGTGTGGTTGTGTGTACCTGGCATATCCTGTGGTAGATCACGGTCAGATAGCTCATTGCTTCCTTCATCCATGTTACTTAGAGGAGGAGGGAGTGTGTAGACCAGGAAGAGCCCAAGTCTGACCAAATAAAAGGACATATTTTAAATGCAGAGCTATTTTCGAAAAACCTAATTGATGTGATATCTATATTTGAAATCATGTGTACTTTGTTGTGGCTGGTTCATCCCCAGACTGTACCTTCTTATGTCAAGAGGAGTGAAGTGAGCTTTGAGGAGGGTTGTGACGACACACAAAATGATCTTAACCTTCTGAACGGTCACAGCGGGATTGGAAAGTTCCAACAGCAGCTTTGGCATTAGACCCATACTGTGCATGGCCTCTGCATTATTGCTGTTGCTGCTGACAGAGAGGGAAACAGAGAGCACTCATATCAATCACAACCTGTTCCCACAGACAGAAAACATAATTCAGTAATCCATGCACACGTTCAGTCATGCTCTTCTCTTCAGCGACGGATTCAGTTGAACTCTCCCTTGACTGTTTCGGTAGAACATTTCCGTGATATTGACAGGCTACGGTAGATGTTGACAGAACAGCTGATATAGTATGTTGTCAGACCTGAACAGGAGCCTCTTGGTTGTGTAATCTACCTTGTTGGCCATGTGACTCATATTGAATTAGATGAAAGCGACAACATGTCTGGTCACACTGGCTGTGGAAATTACCTCGACGATTTCAGGATTTCAGCATAGTGGTTGAGAACTGAAAGGTCCAGATTATCTGAAGTGTTCTGCCACACCTGAAAACATAGTATAATGAGAGAGAAAACATAATTGTACAATTAGCTTAGAAATGCACTTTAAAACGCTTCAAATATATACCGATTGGGCATAAAAACATCATCTATTCACTACTTCCACATCATTTTTATGGTATAATGTAGAGGCTTACTTCCAGGTCACACAGCAGAGCCTGGAAAGCAGGTGTGTTTTCTAGGCAAACCGAACCAGAGATCAGCTCCACCGACCTGGAGAGATACAGAACCAACTGAAAGGTTCTGTGGCTGACCAGACTGCGCTTCATCTTCAGCAGGAAAGCTAGCAGCTACAAAGACAAAAAAGTAAAAGACAGATCAGTCTGAGTAAGCTAGCAGATTTGGATACCCAACATGCGATTGTACAAGTTCTGACAGACCTCGTATCCATTGATGCGGTTCATTTCCTGCTGCATTGCAGAGTTGGTCTCCAGCACAGACAGAAGAACTTTGACAGCTGCATACAGAGAGCTATCATCTGGCGCCATTGCAACCAGACTGAGAACAACTGCAGGCCCGCCGACGTACAGCAAACCATTGGATGCACTGCCGGGGGTGAACGTACGGACACCTGGAGGGAAGAGGACCATGAGAATAATGTATGTGCAGCAAGAATCATTGCAAATACATTTTAGAATGACGATTTATTTACCAAAATGTCCAACCAGGGCTGCTCCTATGGTGCGAGCCGTACCACTCAGATGCTGGCTGATATTTTGAGATAGGAACACCGGGGTGCACTGATCCCGAGAAGTTATGCCCATCTGTAATTACACACCATGGTTGCTTCTCTGTTTCAACGGCAAAACAAAAAGAACAGTTTTAATATGAACTCTTCTCACCTCTTTAGCAATCAGTCTGCAGTCCACCTCGTTGTAATCCTCTCTGATCTGCACCACAGTTGTCAGCTTAGAAATTGCTGGGTTGATGCCAAATGAGATCCTCTCCTCAGGAACCAGCCGGAGAGACTCGGCATCTGGATCAGAGCCTGGAAACAAATAGAGAGGTGCATGTATGAGTAGAAATTCTTAATGAAAGGCAAATATATAGTGTAACCATAATCAGCACTATAAAGTGAGAGAAACTAGTGTTAAATTGTATAAAAAGCGTGTAATTGGTGTAGTAATAACACTTTGTTGTCAACATTATCCTTACATAACGCATGTAAAGTTAGGCCACAACAAATTATCTCGTCTGCAGAGAAAATCATTCATGCATGCATGCTATGAGCACCATGACAAATTGATTTACCGCATGCCAAGACATTTATGAAACAAAAAAGAGAACCAAAGTGTTGAACCCTGAAAACTACATTAGCATCTAGAAACTAACTTGTCTAAGTCAAATGTCTCTATAAAGCACATTTAAAAACGACCTTAGTTGACTTGCACTTCATTACAGGCCTCAACAAAAAATAAGCAACAATGCACACAGCTCCAATCAAGGCACAAACCAAACACATTGGCAGAAGTACCTGTCAGAAATCAGGATGATTGAAACACTAATAAGTAAAGATGCTGATTTACTGTTAGTAAACAAGTCATACTGTAGATATCCTGAGTAATTCTTGCACAAGATCTTATGGCTCACCTGTGCTGCGCAGAGCCAGGAAGTTCCCCTGGTAGGCGGTGCCTTGAGTGTACATGGCACCCACAGCCTCAGGGCTCAGAGCTTCTTCAAACAGGTAGCAGGGACCCACTCGCCACACCAGGGCAGCGTGCTCCTTCCAGAGCGCCGGCGTCCCTATCAGTCCGAACACATCAATCACAGCTGCGGGGTCCATGGAGACGTACTGACCAGGGAACGGCTGAATATACCTCATCTGAGAAAAGAATGCATATTAAATATTTGGCACTGAATACTTAAAATCAGTTAAATCATCAGATATCATCAATCATCATCCTTTCTCTCCTCTTGCCCTACCTTTCCTGTCTCTACTGCCTTGCCGTTGAAGTATGCTGTAGCCACACAGCTCTTCTTCACGTCTTTGGCCATGACAACAGTCAGGTGGTGCCACTGACCCGGGACAAGCAGGCTGGAGCAGCGGAACCTCAGTGATGTAGGCAGAGAAGTGGGAGTGCAAACTTCTGGCTCCATCATATCTGTAAATCAAACATGACATTTGGTTGATTTCTGCAGTCTAAACGCATGATGTAACTATCGTGCAGAAGGATTAACTGATGCTTGGAGTTGGTTGAAGGGCGGAAAAATAACTAGAAAGCTCAACAAATTATCCAACTACCTTCAAACTATTTTGTTCATCAAAGAATGTTTTTCAAAGTTCAAATATTGACGACACTTTTATGGCTCTCTTACCCAGGTATGTAAATGCTTCCTCCTCAGTAGAGATGACCAGACAGCCGTCAAAGGCTGAGAAGGAGATGGACAGACAGATGTACTGTTGTTCAGTCCGGGACATGTGGCGGACCACCGTCAGTAGACGGATCGGGTGGGAATCGCAGGCTGAACTAAAGCGGTTGATCTGGAACCAGCAGGAAAATGAGAGACCGGCTGTAGGGGGAAAACCCCGGCAGTCTAAAATATGAGAAAGCAATGATTAGGAATTTTAATCAGAGTAATTTATGAATATGTAAGTATTAAACATTTAGATTCATTATTTACCTTTTCCAATTCCTCCTGTTGGGATTGAATCAGAAGTCACTCCTTTCACTGTGGACAGAGAGGGCAGGAAAAGGCAGCTGCAAAGCCCACACACAGGGTAAGAAATTAGTAAAAACGGAAATTAGTAAAAACAAAATACTTTCTAACATGTTTTTAACATTACAGAGCAATTAACTCACAAGCCAAAAACATGCATTATATGATTTCTTTGAAAATGAAAGGATTAATACTAAAGCAGTTCCTTCTAGTGTATGTATTACTTCAGGACTCCAAAGGTATCCATTAAATAAGGACTCACCCATATCCACTCTCACTCATGTCAAACTCAACAAAGGCGGGTGAGGTGGAGACCCGGTGGGGCCTGAAGGTGCGCGGTGACGTCATGGACACCAGACTGATGATCTGGTGGACGGGGATTGGAGATCTAATAGCTGAAGACTGTAACAAGCTAAAGGTCCGCTTTAGTGTCTTTACTGGAGATCCCGATGAGGCATCTCCCTCTGTGGTGTGACCTTTAGACAACATAACCAACATTCAGTGTGTTACCTGCTTCATGTCTGTGCTTTAGACCCCATATTTAACTTCAAAATGATTTAATCATACAACAGAAGGATTAAGCCACCATATGTTATTTAAAATAAACAAGTATTTACCATTTGAAACGGGAGCTTTTGCAAGTGGCAGTTGCATGGCCGTTTTGTCTGCCAAACACATGAGTGGGTTCCCTAAACACAGGAACTTTCTGAGGAGAAAAAAGTAGGAAACACACATATGATATGGAATATTGTAGCACAAATACTCCAAATAGTTATTAGACAAACCCAATCATTTAAAAGTCTCCTTCTCTTCAGTGCATTAAGTGAGAACTTCAGAGTCTGAGTATGTTTTACCTGAAGTCTACATGAGTGATGGCCTGGGAAGAGAGCTTCTCCAAGATGCGAGTAATGGGTAGATGCAACGGGTGGTTGGGAGCCATCAACATGTTCCGACAGTGAGCCAGGAGTGTGGAGACCAGCCCCCCCTCGCACACTATCTGACGGTTCGGCTCAGATTTAACCATGGCCTGGATGTGGTTTGCCAGTGAGAACTGTACCTCCATTGAGAGCTGAGGAAAATGGAAATAATGTTGGCTTATTCCTGGGCCCTATTGTGTATTTAATGATATGCAACATTAGAGACTAACATATACAATCTGGACAGGTACCTGGGGGTCCTCCAGTGCAAACACTGATGGAAGGAGAGTCATAATAACTCGGATTGCTCCTGGATGAAGAATAATCTGATCACAGGTGAACCTACTGTAAGCCAAGCAAAAAGAAAAGACACATATAGGTTGATACTTCTGATATTAAATCTCACAAAAATGTTGATATGAATGTAGAGGAAATTCATCTTATAGGAAATTCATCTTATGGCTTCCAAGGACTTAAAAAAGAAAGAAATATCCACCTGTACCGCGACTCTGTGCTGACTGTGGAAATACTTGGTGCTGTGTTCCTGGATATTCCCTGTGTGTCCTCCACAGACTGCAGGCCTGATCCCAAGTGGACAGGAGGGGACCCTGAATACACTCCTTCATGCCCTGCTTGTCCATTGAGTTTTTCTTTATCTCCTTCACACCCTTCATCTGGCTCTAGTCCCAAGTGTAACTCCAGAGGAGAGTAAGTCCCTGTTGCAAACTGGTCAAGATAGGACAGCAGCCTCAAACATGTCCGCAGAGTGACAGGAAGATTAGGCTGCTGTGTTGTGGAGGCAGATGAGGGAGCCAGAGGGGCCTTTGCTAACCCAACAAACTGGTGAAAGCTCTTTCCAGAGGACTGTTCGTCCTCTGCCGTCTTGAGGAAGGAGCCATCAAACTTCTCTTTCTCAGGGCCTTCTGTGTGGAAACAGCCTAGCTGGAGTAGAGCCTCTGACAGCCTTTCATAAAAGCCACCAGTCTCAAAATGGTGTGCGTTTACTGTGTGCAGATGCACTGTCAGGGCCAGAATGTGGAGAGTGAGGAGAAGGAGGTCCAGCAGCGGTTTGTGTCCCAGGGATTTCCACACTGCTCCCTGGGGAGGATCGGACAGAGCTCCTTCCATGTCAATCACCAGAGACAGCAGTCCAGTGAAGCCTCCTGCTCTCCTGAAGGCGTCCCAGCTGTTAGGGCTCTCCAACACCTTCAGCACCGACTGAAATACAGAAGTGATGGAAAACACTCAATAAGTTGATCTTGGTGAATTAGAATTATTGGTATGACTCAGGTGAGTGTCTTGATGACGCTGTCTGGCTTGCTATTGGGAAAAATAGAACCTGATTTGATTTCTTTATATCGCTAATTTACTGTGGAGGGCCTTATGATTCATATTACTGGAGTTTCCAAAATCGCTGATGAAATAATCATATTTATATATATCAAAGGTAAAGTGATTGTTTTAGTGCAATTTTACGATCTTTAAGCATATTTCAATGATTATCGGGATAATATTGAATTGATATCTTGAATCACAATTATCTTGGGCAAGATAACTGAAACACGAAAGGCTTAATTTAGAGAGAAATTATTTTGATGACAGACAGCTAGAAGTCTCAGCGTTTAAACGCACCTCGCTGGTCAATTAAAACAATGTCGTGAAAAATAGATGAAACGTATAGATATATCATAAATCATTTCTGGTAACTAGTTTTTAGAGGTGAACGAAATTACATTAGCTTTATTCAATTTAGAGACCTAATCCATCAGGTAGGTAATGTGTGAGGCAGAACGCAGAGGGAAATGTGATTAACTGAAACTGGAGTAATCACAATGGCTCTTAACACTTGCCAACCCAGGTCGCACCCAATCTGATTGCCACCTACTTTAACCATGTTAGTACCAAGAACACACACACACGCACACATTCCTCACACACACAATGACAAGCTCCTGCATGCATTCACAAACAATCAAAAGCGTACACATTCACACACTTTGATACACACAATATCTGCAAGTAAGTGCTCTTCTTACTGCCATCTATAAAATCGGACACATACAGTGTATGTGTAACTTGGTTAGGCCTAATTAGATCTCTGTCCCACTCACTGATCTGATAGAGGTGGTAATCTTCAGAGTGCCACAGCACAAGGCTGCTGGCCTAATCAAATCGGACCAGAGTTAACAGCTAAACCTGTTTTAGCAAATCAATCTGCATTTGTCTATAATGTAATCGGGGTCCCACATGCTAAGAAAATAAATTCACTAGCTGATTATGTTTTAAGTGCATTACAATTTGTTATGATTTGATGTAGAGTGGAGACTACGTATACAGTTCAGCTGAGATCACTGCACATCGGAGTGTGTGTGCTGTGTCTGTGAGTGCATGTAGAAGGTAAGTACCTTCAATAGGTCCCGCTTCAAACCAAGTTCCTGCTGCGTCGAGGAGCAGAGGGCTCCTATGGCTGTACTCATAAACTCCTCAGGGTTTATTTCAGCTAGCTGCTCCAAAATGTTCAGAGTGGGACCTCGATACTGATCCTCATCCAAGAAGATCTTTATGTAGGGAACCATACCAAGGTCTCGCACTGAAACTGGAATACACACACACAAAAATAAGTATACAACAGCAGTTTCAAGCCCATTAATAAACATAAACATAACATTAATCAAATAAACACACAATTATGCAGATGGTGAAAGAGAAAGGTATTAAATAAAAGAACAGACATGACAAAATGTGAATACCTGTGTTTTTGATGGAGCGTAACGTAAGGGTTGACACAAGTTGAAGCATACAGGTAGTGAGCAGTCTCTCGCTGTCCTCCACACTTGGCAGCTGCTGGGGATCTACAGTAAACACACAAGATAAAAAATGTGACTGCTGATCCACACCTGCTGGCCTAAGGACAACGGTCCACATCAATAGTATTTAATCACTGGCTGGCTGTGTTGCTCAAACACAAATTTGCTTTAATGACGTGTTCTTGTGGCAAACGATCGCTCTCTGTTTGTACAAGCACGATTACATCAGAAGTAAAGGAAACAATTATGTTGGTTCATACTTATTTGAGGAGAAGAGACAACTCCAGCCTTCCTGAGGATTTTCGCTCTCCTACGAATTTCGCTGAGCAGCAGCTCCAGCAGGCCCCAGTCACTCAGAACCTCAGCTAGCATACCGCTGTGCACTGTCATCCTGCAGGAGGACACATGATAACATTTAGTATTACACTACCAATAACTAAAGTTTAACAAACTATCAATTTGCCATTTAGAATTGATGGTTATTATAAAGTGTTACAGGCTATAATTTGGTTATTCTTTTATTTAAAGGGACAGTTCACCCCAATATCAAAGACATCACTACAGGTTAAAGGGACACTGTATTTTACTTAAGGGTGAACATCCTTTTAAAAAATAGTTTATGAGTGTGTTTATCTAAAAAACATCAAATTCTAACTGAAACCAGATAAATTGGTAGGGAAACATATTTTAGGTGTACCAACTATCATTGCTCACCTGTGGAAACACTTGAGAGCCACCACTCCAAAATCAATCCCTGTAACTCCTCCTGCCAGCGTCCCAGTCCAGCTCTTCTTCAGCACACCCAGCAGTGCACGCAAGGCCTCGTGGGGGATGTAGTTCAACTTAAATATCACCTGTAGGAAAGCATTTAATATAACTTCAAATGCATGTTGTATCAAACTAAAAGTATGCATAGGTACTTTGTTGTCAACTAAGTCATACCATCTCTAGCATTGAGAAGAACATTTTCTGGACTGCTACAGGTTTACACCACACACAGGCAGCCAGCTGGGCCATCGACTGGACAGTCCACTCTAAGAGGAAGAAATTAGCTGGGTCCCTCTCCCATATCGTCTGCAGGGTACGAAGGAGCTTGCAGCACAGCAGCGAGTCCTGGGATCGCAGCAACGAGGCCTGCAGCAGGTTGAAGGCGGGCAGGTTTTTTACTGATGAACCTGCAGAAGGGTACATTAGAAGATAAAGAATAAAAACAGTGTCAGTCAAATGTTCTTGTGAAGGGTTGTGTCAGCCATTTAAAAAAGGTCATACTGAATATAATATGGTCTGCAGCTTGGTTTATCTAACTTTTGAGTATGGATACAATGTATTCTTGAACTGTAAAAACAATATCAGCCAGAGGTCAATTAAGTCAAAATATGTTTTAAAGTTTACACCCAATTTATCAGATTTAGCTCTGGCAAGGACAATTCCATAGAAAAATGAAAACCAATAAATAACAAACATCCTTTAACAAAGAGCACATGCTGAATATCATAAGCCAATTGAGTTATCCATACATAGATATATTGTAAACAAACAACATGACATGCATGAAGGCAAAAGAAAAGTAGTATAATCTGCCTTGATAGAGTTTGTTTTCTCAATTGTCAAAATATTAAGACATGGTCTTAGATTTTGGAGCCAAAACATGCTTAAAAAGATATACCTGGTTAGTAATAGAATTCATTTCCACACTTAATCTAAATTGCATCAGAACCAAATAAGATCAGCACAAAACAGTCCCTGGTCCCTCTGCTGGAAAGAGATCTACTCCTTGATGTGATGGATGGGTGCTGTGTGTGTCTGTGTGTTTAATTGGATGGGTGTGTGTGTGTTGATTATGGACACTCTATTTATGAGTGTTGGATGGAGGTGTGTGTGCTTCTATGATAGATGGCCGGTTGCTGTAGGCCAGTGGTGAATGGATGTGGAGCATCCTAACAAAGTTAGAGGGGAAGCCTCCACTTCATCATCCCAGACATAATCACCTCAGCTTCCTGTTAACCTGAGGGGTGTTGAGCTCTGCAGAGGGGGAGCAGGGGGGAACCGCGAGTCAGGGTGGGTGGGAAATCAGCGAAGTGGGGTGGAGCAGTTTGGGTGTGTTATATTAGGGCAAAAGCACAAAAGAGGGATGAACTTTGTGGTCATTTGGGGGGTTCACTTTCTTCCCTAAGCCTACATTTGCTGAGTCATGCCTGTGATGATAAATAGATGCTTGGGAGTGTGAATTTTGAGGGGTTCAGAGTGTATCCTCATGGTGCAATCAACGTTTCAAGATAATTAGGGTGGTGTGGCCAGAGAATACAGAAGTTACAGTGAAGACTAAACCTACCTTTGGTAAGTGGCGGGTCAAACTTGAAGGCGGGAGGTTGTGGGTTGGTGACACAAAGAGCCACTTTCAGCTCAGTTTTACCAAGCAGGGTGAGAGAGGCAATGAGAGCCAGCAACTCCTCCACAGGCTGGAACTGATCCACAGACACTCCTTCCTCACAGCTTAAGGTGGTGAGATGAAAGACAAACAAAAGTTAGAGGTACATTTAGAGAATATGATACAAAGTCCAATACCAAACATACATCTAGAGGAAAATCTGAACTTTGTCATTTGTATTTGTTTGACTTGTGTATTGTAAATGTGCTTGTTTATATTGTCACTTGTAATTGTTCTGCTTTTTGTTACCAGCCTTGGGTTTACAGATGTTAAATACTTTTAAGGCTGTATTACTCCAGCATGTTTAATCTGCCGTTTCAATCTTTTGAAACTGATACAATGAATTAACGTGCATTGTCTTTAAAAAAAAAAAAACAATACTAAAAAAACAAATAAATGAATAGCAGAGAAAAATACTGGTCTCAATGTATTGACTCCAAGAGCAGAGGAATTACCTTCATTTGAAAAATCGCGCCCTTTGAAGGGCTCTCCTTCACTTCTAAGTATTTACTCTTGCCCTAAAAACACTCCGAGAACAAAGAGCCTTTTGATGCTTTTTCTCTTTATTAACCAAGTAAGCGTATTATTCAAGTCACATTGCAATCGTTTCATTCTTCTTTTGTTTATGTCTCTTTATCTCACCGTTGTAGGATGTTTTCGAGGGCCTTGTAGCCGTTCATGGTGTCAAACTCCACAAAGAGGGCTGGATTGAGAGGGTACGTGTCTCTTATAAAGCTGAACACAGCCACGGCCACCTCGGCTAGCAGCGGCCCCGAGACGTCGGCACTGATGAGCAGCAGGTTCTGGATGCAGATACGCACACAGTTCTTTTCTAAGGAGTAAAAAGACAGAGCTCTTGGTAAGTGACTTGACAGAGATGTAGAACAATAGTGTCTTCACACATTCATCATCACAAACAAGAAATGCTTTAAAGGAGAGGTGTCATGGCCATTTCCACTGATCATAATTCCATTGTTGAGGTATACTAAAATAGATTTATACTGTGCATTTTTCCAAACTCACATTGGTTTCTCAAACAGCATCTCTGTAAACTACTTGTATTCACTGAATTTCACTATTTGCCTTTAACGGCTCGTTGTAGCTCCAAAAGCTCCAGCCCCCACCCTCCCTGTGAGCACAGTGTGCTCTGATTGGTCGGGACGTTGTGAATCGCGCTGAGCTCCGTGGAGGTGTTGCTTCCTTGTTTAGGATACATAGCGAAACACAGCCAAACTCATCCTGAGCACACACAAACTCACATCCGAAGTAAAAACAATAAGTGTGGCTTGATATTGAGTAAGAAAAAGGTTGATAAACGCTGAGAGAATGGGTCTGCAGAGAGAATTTTGCCGCGATCCCAACTGTCTGTTATCAGCCTGCAGCCAGGGAGGAGAAATCAGCAGAGCTGCCTGCTCCCTGCACACAGATGTGTGTGTGAGGAAGTCCGTGGATCGGTCAATTTGGACCAATCAGCGGGGGCTTAACGTAACGGCTCCGCGGACGTAACGTAACGGCTCTTCGGGATTGGTCCATTTCGTTCCGGGTACCGCATGACATCAGGCGGTACCCGGAAGAATCAAATGGGCAGTGACGTATCTCCAACGAGGCGTTTTGGGGAGGTATTTTCTGTGTTAGAGTTTTACTCGCTACAGGGTGTACTTTGAGGGTTTTGACTCTGCACACCGTTTACATGCATAAAAACCTTCATAACACACAAGGGGACGGGTAATAACCGGAAAAGCATGACATGGGAGCTTTAAGCACAGTTCTCTTAAGACTGTTTTACAGTAACACAGAACATGGTAAAGTAAAATCCTTTACTCATGGCCTTATTGCACCCAGGTTAAACCAACTGTTATAAATGATCTTTATAGCATAAAGCTATAGAGTTATGTAAGAAAAAGTCATGGCAGAGTGCCAGAGTAAACTTGTGGGTAGCGGAACATTTAAGTGAATTATCTGCTGATGGAGGCATCATGTGAAACATACTTTCACTACGTCTCTCTGCTAGGATGTGTGGTCATGTGTCTCTGTATAATCAACCCATTCCTAAAAATATCAGTCCGTCTGCACAAATGACTTTCCCAAGATCTTAAATTATTCAATTTCTGTGGAGTTTCCGAGAAATGTATAATCTTATGTGTTCAGTGGAACTGATGGAATATAGTCTTTTATAACCAGAAAACATTTAAATGATAAACAGAAAGGTTTCTTGTCCTGATAGTTTTGTGTTCCTTCACCTTGCAAGTTCGGGACAGTGTTGCTTGTTGCTACAGCAGACACTGCTTTGAGGACGCGGGAGGCCTGATGTCTCCAGGCGACGCTCGTCTGGTCCCATAGTGAAGTGAGGCCGATGATAAGACACTGAAGTTCCTGAGTTTCCACCAGACTCTCCACATTGACTGGCTGCCTACACAGCTGAATGAGAACCTGGAAAAGAGCAGGGGCAAGAAGTTTAGAGTAAGATGGAAATCCAATGAAGAAGAATAGGCAAGTAAAGCTTGCAGGTTGAGAAGGGGGAATACGAAGAGAAAACAAAGATGCATTTTGGGCCTGACCTTTGTGAGCAGCTCCTGAAAGGTTTCTTCTGAGGCAGAGTTCTCCTTTTGAGCAGGTAGGCACACTAGCAGGTACAAGCATTTCACCAGAGCAGCAGGAAGCCCTGAGTTTATACAGGACAATATATCCTGCAAACACACACACTAATCAGTCCAATATCTGAACAAAAAAACATTATACTTTAATGATGAAAATTCAAAAAGAAATGTAACTGTTATTAAATATAATAATTTAAATTAGATAGATATGGTGGTAAATATCAATATAATGAATGTTGAATTTTGAACAATGTCACGATGACATACTGTATGTTGCCATGTTTCAGTGACTGCCATCAAATGTAAAAAGCCTTCAACAACAGCCTTTTGACTCACTGAGCTGTCAGCTGTCAGCAGCAGCAGAGACTTCAACAGCAGCCATCCTTGATTGTCTCGCTTCTCACAGTTTGTCTCCTTAGTATCATACCTCTGGAAGAACCGCACCACCTCGCAGCGAGCCCCCTCTGAACACAGAAAACTCAACAGGATTAAACATGTGCTAACAATTACACTTACACTAAGGGCCATGAACAAAGGCAACAAGAGAGAAATACTGGCTGGATTATCGGTAAAACTACCGCCCCATGATAACAAATACTGACCATAAAATCTTAATTCACATTACAGTCAAGTGCACTGGCGTCTAAATAGAAAGCAAAATGCATATGTAAAGGAATTGGGGCGGATTAGTGGTCTCACAAGGTTTCATTTCTATTTTCAGAGAAAACATGTGCATTACTTTTCTATTTTTAGGCAATTTATTTTAGTATGACAGGGTCACCGAAAAGGATTTACTGAGGCTTGCATTGGGTAAAGAAAGTCACACTTTTGTTGGTAAATAGCTACTACATGCAACATGTTAGCACAACATTAAACTAGAACCTATACCTGAGCTACATCAAAAACCAAGAGCATCCACTTCCCTAAAAATGTAAAAGGCGCCTGCTTCATACCTCCAATAAATTACATGCAAAACCAGCGAAAGAAGGACAGAGCTTAAGACGCAGAGAGAATACAATCTAAACAAATAGCGACAGAAAACTGGCAGAACATCAGTAGATAAAAGTAACATCAGAGAAGGAATCCAAACCTTTTACACTATCAAAAAAACTACTGGAAAAGTACCTGAAAAACACTGAAAATGCAGAAGTAGGAACAAGGTAGAAAGTCCCTGAACGAGGAAAAAAATAGTGTAGTGTTTGCTGCAATATAAGAAGTTTTTGTTACCTGCATGTCTTTCTGCCAGTCGGGTGTGGATGTTATAGATGACGGTATCAGCAGTAAGAGCTGCAAGCCCCTTTAAGTTCAAACCTTCAAGTCTGCCTCCATCCTCACAGACCTGGGATCAGAGAGGGGAGAGTCCATAATACAGGAGTCAGGAGCGCAAAAACAATGGTATCTAAATCTGTCTGTAATAAGAATTATTTGTATAAAATGGCATGTTACCATATTATAGTTGACTATTGGTTGCGTTGGGTAATGCACTTCACTATAAATAATAGAAGCTAGTAGGTATTTTCTGCTCTTTCAGTTCATTAAGAGGAAATCTCATTTAACTGAGTTTGCTGTTCTTAAATGAAGCCCTACGTTCAGGTCAAATCTTTAGTCATGAGGCTTATACAGTTAAGTGTAATTAACATACACAAGCACATACACACACACAGATCTACAATCAATCCAAAAGAGTGATTACGTCTGCAGCTATGAGCTCAATCAATGGGGTTACACACACGCGGATCAGGGGTGGAATTTACACTGAGTGTGTGCCTGGGTAAAAAGGTTTCTTCATAACTATGACGCTATTCAGATGATTCAGCTGAGGGCCAAACAGCTGACTGCCGTCTCATGCCGTTTCATGCCGTTTCATTCAAGCAGTCTGGAGCACTTTTTCAAACGGTGTCCTGAGGCCCCCAGTTATCCTTTCCAAGGTTGGGTTCTCATTCAAACGATTGTTACTCTCCTCTATTTATTTGTTTCAAGAGTTTCACAATAGAAACAAGTGTAACTTCATTAACATTAGAAAAAAGCATAAATCACTTGAACAGCATATGCGAGTGCATTGCTATCCAAATATATAAATATAACTCTATTGGAATCAGCCAAAACTTTCTTTGATTAGCATGGACACACTATAATAGATTTGTTTTGTTTCAACTTTTACCAACGATGGTATGTTATTGGTTGTTTGTCTGTTTGTATGGCCAGATTTTAATGACACTTAGTGGAAGGGTGTATCAGGCGCCAAAGAAGAACAAATTGTAATTTGCAGCAAATACAAATCATGAGGCAGATGCACTAATTATTTTTTCCATTTGTTAACAATCAAAGATGGGGCATGAATGTTATTTATTTGAACAGACTGTGATCTAAAATTCCCTCTATAGAGGACAATAAAGAGTGAATCTGCATAACTTTGAAAATGATGCATGAATGAAAATGTTGTTATTAATTGGTCACACATTATTGTCTAAGTAAAGCTTACCTGTATGTAGAGAGGCAGGACATTGACTAAATGTTCCTCTCTCTGCTCTAAAGGAACATGGTCAGTTCTCTGGTCAGGGCTCGTGTGAATTCCCAGCTCTTGCAGTTGTTCTCTGAGCACTTGTGCGAGTTGGGGATTCTTACAAGAGCCCTCCACTTTCTCCACCTTCACCTCCACAGAGACCGATAACTCCCCTGAAGCACTCAGCTCTCCGGTTTCCTTATTGATCCTTTCCCCTTTAGCAGCCTGGTCCTGAAGGGGGGAAAAGAGCCAAGAGTGAGAAATCCTCAAATTATTCCATTCTTTTTTTAGAAAGCCTAAGTTTAAAAAGTATCCAACATGTCTCATAATCATGTTTCCTTAGATTATCTCACTTCCTCAAATAAATGTGTCTAAAACCAGCCTTGCCCACACATCACAGTCTGCATCGAGACATCAGCAGATAGAAGAACAAACAACTGGCAGTCATGTGCCATTTTCATTAACAAGTTATCAAATTCTGCGAGGGATCCGCACATTTGGTTGATGCCAATATTTCAGTAATTGGAATCACACATGCTAGGAAATTATACGTTTCAATTTTTTACTGCATTTGTTTTATACAAAATGCTAGCATTTTTTACCTTTGTAACAGTCAGTGTGGAGCATTTTCGGAATACCTTATCAGTCCCTTTATTTACAAGGGAAATGAGCTTGATAATTTGAGGTGTACAAAACCTAGCGAATCAGGTCTCTGTTCTTACAAAAATAATTGTGACACTGATAAACCCTAGGAGGTTCTGTCCATATCAGTTGTCCCTTATATTGTGATTGCAATACAATTTATCTTGTTCACAAAGCTGCTCCCTAGGAGACATGTTACTCTATGACTGAGGCTTTGACTAGAGTTGTGTTTTCTCATTAGTGATACTACTTTAGGTACTTTCTGTTAAGTCAAACACACATGGTGAACAATGAGTGGCATTAGTAGAGGCAGACTGCTAAACTGATTAGCCAGAGCCAGTTGAATCGGTTATGATGGTAAGTAAAGGAAAAGGGAGTTCACATTCCAGAGAAATTCATTAATACTTTGAGGTTTTCTCATGTGAGTGTGTAAGAGAGACGCATGGCAAGAAGGTGCAAATTCATTCAGTCACAAGTGGCTTGTGAAATGTACCAGCAACACATAATCATATATTGACAATGATATACAATAAAGTATTAGTGTGAAATACACAAATACTGTTACAGTAACACTTCAGCCACCTTTATAGCATTTTTAAAAGAAACTTAACACAGTCTTACCTGTACTTGTGTGAGAGCCATCTGGGAATTTCCTAGCTCCAAGAGGACGCTGTCATCCTTGTTGTGTTGTTCACTGTTCCCGTGTCAGAAGGAAAGACAAGCAAAGACCTGATAAAACATGACTTCGGTTTGACTGTGCTGACAGACCCTTCTGTGAAACTACCCGCCCCTCACTAATCTGCACCAAGTAGACTGAACTTTGAACAAGCAGAGCAACTCAGATCAGCTGGCGCAGGTCATGTGCTTTCTTACTTCCTTAGAGAAGCAGAAGTGAAAAAGTGTTGTTCAGCCTGTTGGATGGGGCCCTCCCACCAAAGCTCAAAGAAGAGTGCCTTTTCTTTTTATAGATATGTCATGTTAGACTGGAATGATATGAATCAAAGTGAAAGGATCCCATGATTCACCAAAGAAGCCAGGTCAACACCGCTTGTAATAAACAGGTTTATGTGCAGAGAATAAAGGCTTGGATTTGTAAGTGAAAGAATTAACAACTAATTGTGTTTTTCTTCTAATAATTACTGTCAGGTCTATATGACTATTATAAAAAGGTAAACACACTTTTAAAAACATTAGAAAACACCCAAACTTTTTCTTTGTTTTACATTTGGTTGACCTAATGGTCATGTAATCATACTAAGGTAACCATATGTTGGTCAGTGTGGTTTCAATGCTTGTTTAGGGTTACTGCACTGAGATTGGGCAACTACAGTGTTTCTATTGATAGAACACAAATAAAACCAGTGCTGAAATAACTTGCTAAACGGCGCCATCTTGTGGGTTTAAATAGCATACACATATAGAGACAGCAGACATAAAGAAAAATATGTCCCACAAAGGAAAAAACTGCTCAATTAGAGTACAAATGGCCTTTTGTTTACTGAAGACATTTAGGTAGGACCCCAAATACCGATGTAGTTAATTGTATAAATTAAGTTAGCACTATCGGTTGTTTTCCTGGGCATATGTGGCGTATGGAAATTCTAGGTTATTTGGGTCTAAAATGTAAGGAAAACATTAATTGAATTGAAACTACTGAATGCTAGAGAGAACATTCAACATATCTACAGATAAAGAGGAAAGACATTTGAATTACAATAAGGAAACATCACAATACACCTGCCATTTTACTCTTCAACGTAGATACCCCACCCGAAACAAAGGAATGACCTTTACCTGCTGAAATTGAAGCCACACTGACACGAGCTCGTCGGCGCGTTACCTACTATCGCCTTCAAGCCATTGTATTCCCTCTGCAGGCTGTTGTTTAAAGAGATAGGGATGCAGGCCCTGCCTAGTGTTGTCTCAAGTCGATAACGTATGCTTTGACAGAGCTGTAGCTAAGTCGTAGCATCATATTTCGAAAGTGTTAACAAACTTTAATAAGCTGACAGAAGGTGCAATTGATACGATGTCGTTTTTCCCGCCGGGGTAAAAAAGTCCTCTCATTTCAGTCGGTGTCGCTATCAGTCTCTGCACTGCAGGTTAAAGTCTCGCTGTGCTAAAATACATTAATAATACCTAGCCTATACAAATGAATGTCCTACATTGTCAGTTTCCAAACCTAATGTTAGTGTTACGCTTCAAAACAACATGTATAAACAGTCTGCAAATGCCTGTATCAACATTCCAATGCTCAGTAATGACACTGAAACCCTGCTAATAAACTTTTGGCGTTACCAGATCGTCTCTGCTGACACCGTATTTATAGGAACCACGTGTTTTGTTGACGCGCTGACATCAAAGGCCATGTGACCTGATGCGGCCAATTAGGTGTCCAGGGCGTGGTCTGCCTCAATCAGTTTAGCACAATGAAAGATTCCTACTCTGCAGCGAAAGATGATATACCTTCTCACTTTACATTATGATGTTGTAGCGCTTCGTCCCAAGAGCTGATTTGTGTTTCCGTTGCCGTTTGCAGTCGGCGGAAGTGACAGTAGGCCGTCTCTGTCCACCCATCATAATGGATCCTATCCCTATTTACTCGGATGGCGAAGGAGACATATTTGACTGTATACAGACGGGAAGTATTGAACAGTGTATACAGTTCGTTGAAAATGACCGATCAATTCTCAAGCAACAAGGTAAGTTGCAATAAGATTAAAAAGATCTGGTCAGTGTTGTTGTTTTTATTAACGTCATATATGTGTGAAACTACAGGCCACTGTTTCCTTCTGTGCTCCTGTGAGCCTGTGTGTAGCCTACAGTTATTAGCCTGTAACTGTCACTGATCCGATCGTATTTCCTGATTTCCCCCATTTTAAAGCCAGAAAACCGCTGATGACATTGATTTCCAAGAGATAAACATGCTATAGTTGATAGTAGAAATACTAAAATACCTTTTGTTATTGAATGGTGACTAATGATGGGGTCCAAGAATAGCAAGCCGCATTAATGTGTGGGAGCACATTATTTCTTAATGCTCTTAATGTTTTTCATATATTGGCTTGTTTTATGTTTATTGTATTCTCTTTGCTTTTTAAAGACTGATTTTGAATGCCATTTTATAATGTGTTTGCTCCACTATTTCTTAATGCTATTCATTTTGTAAATGTTTGTAAAATACTTTGAATTGCCTTGTGTTGAAAGGTGATACATGATCTTGCCTTGCCTACTGTATACCTAGGTCAAATGTCTTTAACTCACACTTTTGTCACAATCCCAACCAAAGGGAAACCTAACCCTGCTGCAGCTCCACTGTGAGATGGTCAAGCACAGATCTAAATGGACAGATCATTTAATAACACTGCACAAAGTCACATTGTGCCAAAAGGAACCCAAACTCTGACCCCAGGGTTTCGAGGATCAACAGGCTGACAGGCTGTGCTTTAATGCCAGGCTTATGTTGTATACCTGCAAATCTAACTGTGATAACCATGTGTTTCTCTTCTTCCAGGCTGGGGTGGTTTCAGCCCGCTCCACTACGCTGCCCTCAATGGTAACCGTGCTTTGGTTGACTTTTTCCTTAATAATGGAGCTGACCCTAACCTGAATTCTAACGCAGGACAGACACCCTTTCATTTTGCCTGCAGGTGAGTTGTAGTTGCATATTTAGGTGTCTAATGTTAAAAAAACATGCCTTGATCCTCACGTTGACAATAATGTGATGTGAGTTGAATGCATTTTCTTCTGTGCTTGATACGGTGTGATTCAAATTGTTTTCTATTAGGCAGGGGAACATCTTTATCATACACCTAATGATGCAGTATGGAGCTGATTTGCGCCTCATAGACCTGCAGCAAAAAACATCACTGCATCATGCAGTCTCTGGAGGCAGCATGTGAGTAGAGGAAACATGTCACACTTAGTGGTTTTTGTCTGCTTCATAGTCATCCTGCACTAACTGTTGGTTATCTTTCCCAGTGTTGCAGTGCAATTTTTGTTGGAGACAGGAATGTTCAGATTCTCAGACACAGACATGTACCATGTGACGCCCCTTCACCTGGCTTCATCCACAGGCAACACAGAGCTGGTCCGTTATTTGCTCAGAGACCAGGTATGCTATAGTCTTTGCATTATCACTAACCTACATGCTTCATTCAACAAACAATAAAACTCAGTCTTACATTTTTAAAGCTATATTTAGAATATATATATATGTTTAACTGAGTCACATAAAGAGGATTTGGAAGGGTAGCTATTGCTGTGTCACCCACTGATGATTACCATGCAACAATGTACTGTGACTTTACTCAAATGTTAGCTGCTTTTAGTCTATTTTAGCTCATTATTTTGGTCCTCAATCCCACACATTTATAGTATGATTAACATTTACAATGACAAAATATACATCCATTTTTTCTGCGGCTGTTAAATGTTAAGATGCTTTTGTGAATCTGGGTCAAAAGCAGATATACTATAGCAACTGTGCAGCTCAACCCTCTGTTTGTGTCTCAGAGGTGTGCTGTGGATGCAGTTGACCAGCAGGGAGCGACAGCGCTCCATGTTGCAGCAGAGCATGGCGGTGTGGAGGTGTGTTGGACACTAATGCAGAGATCCGGTTGCTGGATGCTCCATCTGAAGAACAACAGCGGCCTCACACCACTGGATCTCAGCAGACAGGGGAAAACATTTAGGTGAGCCTGCTGTCTCTAGAAATCTCTGCAAAATCACTGACTACCTGCCAACCACTGCATACGATAGTTACACTCCTCAGTACCGCAGTAGATCTCCAGTATGTTCGCATTTCGTGATGACTTCTTTCTCCTGGGACCCTGATGTTGATTAATGTATTGCTTTTCTCTAGACATCAGCAACTCAACAAGCTACTCGTTCGGTACATGAGGGAGCCAAAATACCACAAGCCCAAAGAGTCCAATGGTGAATATTAATGTGTACATTTGATCATGTATTTAGCAATGAAAACAAGGATGCTGACTATGATGATGCTAATAATGGCACTGTAACATGGGCTGTGTGTGTATTTATGTGTTGTTGTTTTTGTTTCTTCTCTCACCAGCTTTGTATTGCTGGACACTGTCATTTCCAACCCTAAGTGGAGCTACCATCCTGATAATAGCGACTGTGTTGCGAGGCTATGGGGGGATAACATGCACGTTGCTCTTCCCCTGGCTGGCCAGAAGCATCTTCACACAGTTCCACCGCATGACCACATACCAAAGGTTTGACAAAAATGGTTTTAATTATAAAATATGAATCACTAAGTATACATATTCTTTGTTATATCTCCATCTGTTTTTCTTCTACTGTAGGCTAGCTAACCCGGTCTACCTGGGAACACTCATAGCTGGCTTGATTCATTCCCTTCTCTGCTTCTATGGAAGAATAATGCCTAATATCCTTAACAAATGTTTCAAGTTGAGTCTCATGCCTATTTATATTTGTGTTATTTCTTGTCCTGCTAGAAGTATGACAAAACATTCTCAATGGTGGTTGGGATGCAGTTCTGTCTTTGGTGCTTTAGCTTTAAAATGTCGTCCTTAATTTAAAGATTCCTGCAGGATAAATATTATGGTGCCAACATTGTGACCAACATTTAGTTCTGTGAGAAGTATTTCAATAGTGATAGTTTGTACTGAACTACCCATCAATAGCGTACAATCTCAGTTTCATTCATATTCAATGAATATTTAAAGTGCAAAAATCTGTGTTAATTTATAAACACACTTGTAGTCCCTAAAGAATACATTTTTATTTTGGACAAGCTTTATTATGAAATCTGTCAACATGATAGTACCCTTCTAGTTTTCTAGCTTTCCAAAACATATACAGTAAATTCTAAAATGTAATCAAGGATTTTGCATAATAAAAGTGTTCATCCTTAACCTTTTGAATGCGTGTGGCCGACCAGTGCTCTGGTCAACCTGTCAATGGTGCACTTCTCCCTTGTCCTGGGTTTGTTCTGTAAGATCCTGACTCAGGACCCTGGAACACTGGAAAGAGCAGACGCAGATACTCGGTTCTCCTGTATCGCTGACCTGGTGGAGAACAACGAGAGCCCTCACAGGTTCTGTCCATACTGTGAGGTAAGACATTCACACTGGTCATAGATCAGGGAGAGCCATGATATATTGCCTATGCCCCAATATGTATCTATGCATGTAGTTATACGTTTCAAAAAATATGTAACGGTTTTGAGGTCAACAGAGACTTAAAAGCAGAGACGGACACAAAGTGAAGTCAAAAAAGATCTTTACTGTAGAACCAGGAAGTAATATCCAGGCGGTCAGCCCAAACCATGTTGATAAATCCAGACAGGGAGTAGACACAATATCAAAAAACAGATACTAAGTCAAAAAAAATCTGGCCAAAGTTACAGGGGGGCTGCCTAATCCAGCAGCAATAACCCCAGCTAATGATAGGAGGATAGTCAAGGACATTGGACATACCAGAGCAGGAACTAAAGCAAAAGGAGTGGTTTGTCTTTCAAAATAAAACAGGAAATACAATATGCAGAGACAGCAGGATGTTACAGAAATGTACACCAAGCACGTCTTGCCTTGGTGTGTTTCTCCAAACAGCTCAGATGTCTTAATTCAATAATGATGTGACTTTGGGCCTTTGGGCTTCGCAATTAAATGGGATACAACGTGTATGTTCATTAGTTCTCTGCCAATTGATTTCCATAACAATAATATACAACATTTGTCTGAAATGTTGGAATGAAGCACAAATCTGTGCCATACTTTTTAAAAAGGCTTCTGATAAAGTTTAGGATGCAACATTCTCTAGAGATGAAGGTCTACATCATATAATAACTATGTTTCTCTCCCCTCTCCACCCTGTCTTTCCTCTCCTCGTACTGTAGTTATTCCAGCCTGACTACACTAAACACTGCAAGCTGTGTGACGTGTGCATCACAGACTACGACCACCACTGCCTGTTCCTCAACCGCTGCATCGGCCGTGGTAACCACCGCCTCTTCGTCTTATTCATCCTCTCCATGTTGATGGCCCACCTTCTTTTTGTTTCCACGGCAACAAGTTACCTGTATGAAATGAAGTACGACGGCTTCCACCTCTGGTCATCGTGGTTTACATTGTTAGGGGATGAGTTCTGGGTCGTGTCCCTGATGGTTATGAATGCAGTGACGCTGCTTTGGGAGGTATGGCTACTCATAGAGCAGTTTGATGCTGTTTCCTCGGGAACAACTACCTACTTTGGACAGAGTGAAAGCTCAGTAAAACCGCGGTCACTAGCGCAGCGCTGGCCTATAGTGCTGTCGTTTCTGCTGGAGGGTCGAAGACGGGTGGGAAGCGGACTAATGAGAGAGGACAAAACTTCCATAGACATTTAAAACTGTCAGTTTGTACTGTGCTATCTCATTACATCGCTCACTTGCTTCTGAGTTTACAGCGTCACTTGTGCGCATTCAACCTTGATAATGTCCTCTTTAGAATAAATGGCTCCGTAATGCCATATCATGTTGTACTTGAATGTAAAACAAGCTTATATCACAATGATCTATTTAAATTCACAAAAGGCTTTAGAGTAGATTTGTTGGCAGGTTTGTCCTTAAAGTGGATAACTAGCCCTTAGAGTTTAGATGTTCACCTAGTTTTAGAGACCTCACTGAATACTTTTAAGATAACAATTAACTTGTTGGTTTACATTGTACTGTGAAAACTGCATACTTCCGAAACTGTGTTTTAGCAGGGAACGCCTCAGAATGAATGATTGTTATGTTATGTTGAATAAAATTGCCCAATGGTGTAAAGCATCATTCACAGGTCTCATAACATTAGCAGGTCCTGTGATTAGCTAGTGATAATGGTTAATATCAGGGGCACTGTTAGACTTTGTTCCTCACATAATGTCATTACCTCTCTGACCTGCTCCCAGTCATTTGAGCCATGACACTTCCTCTGCTCTCACTAATGAGATCTTTTCATGCTTTCAATTAAACACACTCATTTCCTTTGTGTCCCTCAGGACCCTATATTAAGATTATAGATGATGTTCCCCACACCCCTCAGAGGCTGGTGTGTCTGGACTTTGTGAGTGGCTACATCACACAAAATTATTTAGTGTCTGCTGTAGTGAGTGCATGTAAGCCTGTGAGTGCTTTTACTGGATCAGTGTTATTGTATTGTATAACTGGCTGTCACTTGTTAATATACCAATACATTTGATTTTATATGTTCTAACATAATGTATCTGTGGTTTCACAGTTTCTTTTGATTTCCAGTATGAAACCTCATTTGTGCCATGATGGTTTTTTATGGTGTATGAAAAATATGCTTGATTAAATACATCACGAATATCTGCCATTAAAAACATTAAAAAACAAACAAATTATTATCTTTTATTTCATGTGAATAGTAAAAGTCTTCATAAGATACTTTCAGATACTTTGCCTACTCCTCAGTTGATTAGTAATAAAGTAGTGCATCATATCATATAAGCTTAACACATTTCCTTTGTTAAACATAAATAAATGAAGGTAGTGAAGGAAAAAGTACAAGGAAAATTTGAAATAGTTAAGTTCAAGTATGTCAAAAAAGTTTATAGCTTGAGTTAATGTACTTAGATACTTTAATTGACTTTTCAACATCAAAGCCTTTTATCACACACGGTTGGTAGTGATACATCAAATCACTATCAGACAGAGCATTGAATTTCACTGTGTTGCCTGAAAAATGGACGGTATCAACATCTGAAGGAGAAACTCATAATATTGTTTGAACAGAAGTCAGCAGTTTTCACTTCTCCATCAAGGCAGCTCACTTCCCTGGTGAGAGACGGACTGGTAAACCCAGAAGAGGAGGACAGTGGGAGAACATCGCACAGCTGTGTTTTATTTCTCTATAAAGCAGTACCTACCACAGCAGCTGCTCGGGACTGAGTGAGCCTTTCTTGTGCAGCACAGAGGGTCTGGCTCCAGATTCTGAGTCGTCTGGTCTGCCAATCCGAGATGACATGGCAAGTAATACTACCATGACTGTCTTTATGTCCTTCCTTCTTTAAGAGTCTGTTCACATCAGCATATTTCAGGCGCGCGTCATTGTTGTGTTACTAATGGCAGCCATAGTGGCCCCTTCTCTTTGGGTTTGTGAATGTCATATGATTTGATTCTTAGTGATTATCAAATAAGCAGAGGACTGAGATGTCAGTATTGCCATTGTTCAGACCCTGAGTGTGTCTGTGTGTGTTGAGGCTAGAAATGGGCCCAGTGGAGAGGGATACACTGTGCAGCGGGTTCACTGCCATGAAACCATCCAGGACTTTGACCATCGGCAAACCAAAGGAATGGGCAGGTAAAGTTCTTTTTAAGTTTGTTTTGAAACAATTATAATGTGTCAAGCAAGGTGGCCATCAATTGTGTTGCTTTTGATCCCACTTTCTGAGCTCTAATAAACATGTGTGCTATAATTGTATGCTATATTGGTCTCTACACCATTGCTATATATCTATCTGTCAGGGTACGAGCTCTTTAAATTCTGAAAATGTAAAGAATTACTTTCCCAAAGTTATGTCCTGCTACTTGCGTACGCTACTCCTTTACAAAGCCTTTATCATGAGGTGTATGACCATGACTATTTGTCATTGATGGTTATGTGCAAGCTGAGTAGGTTATTTTTTCTGATGAGAAAGCTCAGTCAGCAGTGTCCACGTACTGCATTTTTTAATTCTCATCCAGTCTTTTGAACTACAGCATTTATCTGCTTTAACACATCCGCTGCAACCCTTTCAGGCTGAATAGGAACAAGAACATCACACCCTTGAGTGCTGTGGCTTTCATCGCACAGATTGCTGAGTGACTGAGTAGTGTGGCATTTCCCCTCAGACAATAAATCTTAGCCCGAATGAGTCGGGATACTAAATATAAACAGTGGAGTTTTGTCAGTTTTAAACATACCATATGTATCAAACATCTGCCATGGATTATTGGTACTGACAATACCAAGACTTGGACACTTACTCTGCATCAAACATTTAGTGGTATAAATAGTGTCAGTAAATCAAATGTATTGATCTGAGGTTGTACTTCAGGTACAGAAGAGACCATAATCAAATCTTCATGAGCAAACAGCTGAAGGGATGGTGGAGACTGTGGAGCGATGTGGGAGCCAATGTAAATAAATGGGTGACAAGACAGAGGACATACAGCCAGACATATTTATAGACGGTGAGAAATTGATACGGAGAGTGTGCAGCAGAAGGCAGAGAGACGGATAGCTGAGGAGAGGGAGCGAGAGAGGGAGAGTGGGCAGGGCTCTAGGTATGTGAGAATAACAGTACGCCGGCCAGTGGGACAGACAGGGGGAGTGAGAAGAAAGAAAGGAGGGGAGGAAGTGGAGATTGTGTGGTTAAGTGCTTGGAAGTGTGTGTGTGTCTGTGTGTGTGTGTTTGTGTGTCTGTGTGTGTGTGTAAAATCAGACAGAGACAGGGTCCAAGTGCAAGACAGTGAGCCGGGGAGAGAGATGCTCGGAGGATGAGGAGTAACAGGGCGAGGCAGCAGCGAGAGGCTCTATGTGTATGTGTGTGAGTTTGTGTGTGTGTGTGTGTGTGTGAGTTTGTGTGTGTTTGAGGAATAGTGTGTGAACAGAGGGATGCAGTCATGTCTCTGTGAGAGGGAGCAGCACAGCAACGGTAACCATGCTGAGCCCCAAGATAAAACAGGCACGCCGGGGTAAGCACAGTCCCTCCTCCCCTTTCTCCATCCCTCCATCTCTATTTCTCTTAGGCTTTTTTTCTCTCTCCAATCCATCTCTTTCTCTCCCTTTCTCCTTGTCTCCCCATTCATCTTTATTGAGCTCCTGCTGTCTTTTTAATAATGTGACTTCAATATTGTCAGTGCTTTCCATGATAATGATATCAGAAAGGTGGAGCAGCGCCATATTAGTAGCATTGGTGTCATTCAGCATCCCAGTGACTATTGTTATCAGTAATGACCTGAGTTTTCCTGCATGATCTGAAGTGTTTATCTTCCATGTACAACTCACTCAGTTAACATGCTCTACTACAGAGTGATGTAATCATGCGTGTGACTTGATCATGCCGTCCTGATTCAGAGAAGGAGATACTATAGGTTGTGGTGAACATGGCTGCTGTAAGGATAATCCTCCCTCACCTACCTAACAATGGTCTGCATCCTGACCTGTTCACACCTGTGACTACGTCTGTATTTGTTCAGGGTTTAGTGTGTTAGCTTGCCGTGGTTTTGAAAGGGGACTCCAGATCAGAGGTGGTGAGAGGAATGCAGGGCTCTCCACTCCTGTAAGTCACAACAGCTGATTGTCAAACATAGTTCCCCTAACGCCGGATAAAAGCCGCTGGTGACCGCTGAAGTTGGGAGGGCACATATACATGCCTCTCACATGACTGTGTGAAGATAAATAATGAAGCAGTAAATTAGAGGAACTACTCCTTGCACTGAGATTATCCTGAGTTAATACTTCCTGTGCTTTTCACGGCAGGTAGTTGCTATGCGACACACGTGTGCTTGGGGAGTTGTGACAGTTGGCAACTTATCTCCTGTAAACGGAACGGAATTGTTTGTATTGAGAGATTTTCCCTCTGATCTCCTTGAAGTATATTAGCTAGCAGCAGCTTCAAGAACCCATACTTGAGTGTGTGTGTGTGAGAGAGAGAGTGCCTGTGTGTGTGTGTGTGTGTGTGTGTGTGTGTGTGTGTGTGTGTGTGTGTGTGTGTGTGTGTGTGTGTGTGTGTGTGTGTGTGTGTGTGTGTGTGTGTGTGTGTGTGTGTGTGTGTGTGTGTGTGTGTGTGTGTGTGTGTGTGTGTGTGTTTGTGTGTGATGGGGAGGAGAAATGGCTTTTCGTTCTCCTTCATGACCACAGTTGGAGATTGCAGCCGCTTCAGTTTTCTTGCCACGTTTTGTGCACTTGCCATCTCTAATTTGCTGTAATGGTATCCTCCTTTGATTAGATTCCCAGCTCTGCTCTGCTCTGCTCTGCTCTGACCCTTTTATGCAGCATCACAGAGCATCACAGCGCTGGATCTGCACTTAAGCTTAGATACTAGAGCAGAATCCTGAAGCGGTCGTAGACTCTTACGGGAAGTTGTTTGTAAACCATTAAATCATTTTCCTCATGATATCCTTAGCGAGACCCTGTTCAAACTGATACAACACCAAGTTCATTGTAAATATTGCAAAATATTATTCTGGTCTCATTTATATGTTAGTTAAAAACATTAGGATCTGTGTTGGAAACTATATGTAATGATCTAACTACTTGTTAAAGTCTAATAAGATTAATTATACCAATTAATTACGTAATTAATTTTCTGGTAGTAAGAAAGCATTTGGATTGAATATCCACAAGTTAATACCTATGGTGAATGAATGTACCATCGTACCTCAATTCAAGCAGAGTACAATTGTAAGGTACTACACTGACGGCCATCTGTGTTGTTACATTTCAGAGGTATACTGTAAACAGCTTTTTTCTATGCATTTGACATCTTTACGATATAAGAAGTGTATAATCAAAACTATAATGATCTGAAATTGGGAAGCAGTGTAATAGATTTAATTGCCCAACAGTAAATAAAGTAGTTTAATTTTTCTCCACTTCAGATATGCATTACAGCAAAATGGTACAGTAATGTATCCTTAATAATTCATGTGATATAATGTAACACTGACTGGGCCCGTTTTTCTGCTGTAAAATAATAATGAGTATTCACTTTTGATATTGCAGTGGTGGAATGTCACAAAGCACATTTAGTTAGATACTAAGTACACATTGTAGACAATGTACATAACTTAAGTATTCCAATGTTATGCTTTACTTCATACTACTACTACTACTAATAATAATAATAATAATTATAATTCTACGACTACTACTACTACTACTTCTACTACTATAACTACTACTATAATTACTACTACTATTACGTTACAATTCAAAGATAAATATTTACTCCAGTGGATTTATTTGGTTAAGATTTTTACTAACATATGATTTTCCTTTTATAAAATAGTATGCACTATTACAGATTAACCTACCCAAAGTATATAACTTAGTTCAAATCAGCTCTACCTCAGCCAACAGTATTATATAGCCAATACATTCATGCATCAGTAGCTAACAGCTATAAGCTTATTACTGTGAAACACCAATAGGAGCAATTTTCTTTTGATTTGACTTGAAATGTTTTTTGGCACTTTGACTTGTCATTGAGTATCATTGTATTGTGGTATGGTAAGAGTTAGTAAAGGATATCTTTGATGTAATGCACTTTAATTAAACAGTACATCAATTAAAGATAACAGTTTGATCATTGTACAACCAATAATCTTTAGCTGACAGTAAACAAAAAAATAAGTTCCTCTCTCAGGTGTTGTTCCTCTTAAAGATTAACAGTATATGACCACATCTTGCCACATTAGTCGATCCTGCTGCGCCTACTCCTGCTGTCATACAGTCTTATTAATGACTGTTTCACGTGGTCTCTTTCCAGCAATCATGACTCTGCAAATGAAGGACATTCAGAAAGGAGAGAAATAAAATGGAGAAACCAGACATAGAGCTATAGCTGATAAGCAGAGAGAGAGATGAAACAGGAGATAGATTTGAGTCGAGGCCCTTGCAGATACCTTCCCTGCTGTCCTCAGCAGAAAGCAAGATGCAATTAACAAGAAAAAATAAGTCATTGATTTTACTCTCCTCTCCTCCTGACTTGTGTTTATCTCTCTTCCCCCTCTCTCTCTCCCTCCCCATGACTCCCCAGGGATCACTCCACTGTCACTGTTTATTCTCTATACATTTAGCACCTATGCTAACATATAATCCATGCTTATAATCATTCTGTAGCAGTTAAAGCGCAGCCTGATCCAAACAAAACTCCTCTCCATACCGCAATGGAAATTATATATGCCTTTAATAATATCTGAAACACATGATCAAATGTAATGGAATAGACGGATGGATTTCATCTTAAAGCAGGATGTATTCACTGCAAAATGGAGGCCATGCCCCTGTAGATTGACTTAAGAGGAAATCTGGATGCATGGTAAAGCCTGTGGGCTTAGCTGTATCCAAGAGAGACTTCTCTGAATAATGATCCAGGATTGTCAATGGGTGAATTATTTTAGAATAATATCAAAACAAACAAAGAAAGGATATTTTCTGTCTTAATGTAACTCTCTTTATCTTTATTTCTCTCTGTCTCCTTCTCATTCTGATGCTGGTAATCCTTCAGCGCGGTCTAAGAGCATGGTGCTTGGAGAGTTATCTCGGATCTCCAGGCCCTGCTCTCCTCTGGATCAGGAGAAAACACTGAAGGCAGGATGGCTAAAGAGGCAGCGGAGCATCATGAAAAACTGGCAGCTGCGTTGGTTTGTCCTGAGGAACGAAGCTCTGTATTTCTACAAGGACCAGGATGAAACCAAGGCACAGGTGACACTCACTAAATAACACATTCACAAGACAGTTACCTGGTGACACCTGTTTTCCTAAGAGGCTGCACTGCCTTGTGTTTCTCATCATATTGGTTAGAAGCGTGATGCATATTTAAGCTTCATGAATTGATCTGATTATTTCCCCAAGGGCCAGTTGATCCATCCTGTGTTCCCTGACTCTGAAAATAGCTTATTGATTATTTTAAAGCAGGCGACAAAATACATGTTGTAGCCCTCAAGTAAAATGAAGGAGTTTTCTGCATTATGCATCACTGAGTTTAAAAGCTACATGCTCTAATCGGTATATGTGTTGGTGCCGTATACTAACCCTTAAGACCCTCCACACTCTCCATTAAAGTCATAGTAGTTGTGATTGCCCTGACATACACTGATAATGTGGTAACAAGCTGCCCTGTGGTTCTGCTATTAGCACTTAGTAAGTGACTATTGACCCCCTATATGCTGGAAGGATGCACAGTACAGGAAGCAGCAGAGGGATAAATAGATGAAGAGATGTTTCCCTGAGTCATCCCTCCCTCCATCATCATTACATCCCTCTTTTGGACGGATGCCCAGAGCTCAGTGTATTCAGAACTCTACAATGTTTAACATGCACTTCACGTCTAAGTCCAGAACCACTCATCTATATCCTGTTTGGCCCACGAGTTCTGTTGATACAGGTGTTTTCCTCCTGCCTGCCCATCTGTCAGTCTGTCTTTCTCTCTGCCTTTCTCAAAACCTTTCTCTCCTTTCTCCTGCAGGGTTGTATTCCTCTTCAGTGCAGTCAGGTCAATGAGCTCCCTGCCAATCAGGACGAGCCTGGTCGCCACCCTTTTGAAATTGTTCCAGGTGAGTTGGCATGGTGACAACTCTGCTTGTAAGGAAGTGCGTGAGTCTTGTTCAAGTGACTCTACACCTTTTGTTAAAGGGCCAGACAAACACTTTTTTGTGTTGTTAAAATTGTGTGTTATAAGCACATCTTATATATGTTATACATCTCCCACCAGTACAAAAACTTGAACACATTTTGAGTTTTCAGTGTTTATAATGTGATAAATCCCCAAATACTTCAACATCAGTGCATTTCCACAACCACTAGATCATTATCCCAATACCAAGTTTTCCGTTAATCGCAGGAAGTATGTCTCTGTGTTGCTTGAAATTGGGATCATACTCTAAATACAGCATGCCATATCCTCTGAGTAAACTGTGTTGGCCCCGAATCAAAGTGATGGATGGAAAATAGAAGTAAATCAATATAAGTCACAAGCTGTAACGCATGCATAACATTTGCAAAACAGCAGAAAAGATGTGATTTCCATGGCCATGTGTCTCAAGGATTCAACAACAGCTTAATTCATCTCTGCTCTTGACAGCGCGGGGTTGGCATGATTACCCTCAGAACCATGGACAGTATGTACAGCAGAAAGATCAAAGGCCAGAGAAAGAAAGAAAGAATGTTGTACTTGGATGGAGATGTTAAGATTTAAAAGATATGAGCCTTTTTGCATAAATACTGGCTTTAATAGTAGTTTCTCTGTCTGTCATGGAAAAGCGTCTAAGGTTATATCAACAGAGGTTCACCTGAAAGCATCCGTTCTTTTAAGGGCTCAACATGGGCCATTACCAAGTTGACTTACACCATGAAAGTTTATCCTGAGGATGGGATTTCCATTCAAAATGGTAGTAAGTATTAGCTTGGAGGCTTGGTTAATGTATTGTAGAAACACTGTCACACCACTGTATTGAGGTACTTTTGAAAGCCAATTGAAATGATGAAAGTATTGCATAAATCTCCCTCAATGGCTTTACCTTACACATTACCTGGGTTTAGAAATACATGAATGTCAGCAGATGTAGCAGCTACTGCACTGCAGTGCTGCATAGTGGCACTGCCTATAATAATTGGCTGTTGCAGTTATTGTTTTTGATTATGTATGTGGCTTTTTTGTCATTGTGCATGTTTGTGTGTGTCTTCACACAAACTGTACATGTAAATTGGGTAAAATGATGAAATACACTGATGTTACAGCTAAAAATATGCTGAGGTAAAGGATCTGGATGGAAGGAGAAAAGAAAAAGAGGCATGGTGCATTTGCTGCTGTCCACAGGGAACACTGCTCTTTCTGGGTCATTTCTCACACACACAACACACCATGCAGGAGAGTGAAGGACTTAGTAATGAATGCAGGTTTTGGTATATACCCTACAGAGTAACCCCTACCAAATACACAAATGTCCTTATCTTTTGGAAAGTGGTCATAAGGTTTTCATCAGTACAAACAAAGTATAGCATCATTTTTTAAATAGCCGGTTTGATGCTTTTATCTTCATCTGTGCTTCCACCTCTTCCCAAAACCCCATAAAGGGAGAGGATTTCACCTATCCCCATTAAAGCTAAACTGAAATACACTAAAATGTCAAACCAAAATGTCCATCTGGGTAATGTCAAGCTGTGGACAGCCAGAGGCGGTGAGGCAGAACTGCATGGCTGCGTCTTTGTACTTGACAGGGGTGCTGGAGCTAATAAGGTTATTGAAAATACTGATAGTTCTAGTTGGGAGAATTGACTTTTTTACAGATGATTCACTTTATGTGAACCTCAAAGTATTTTTAAATGTGGTTCTGTGTATGAATCCACACAGCACGAAGGCTTTGAGTTGTCGTTCTGTCCTATTGATCCAGAAAGTAATGAAATATGTCTGTGTTTTCAGGGGGGGCTGGAGAAAAGGATCGAACAGGAGTAAGCCACGAATCATTCCTGCTGATGGCCAACTCCCAGAGTGACATGGAGGATTGGGTCAGGGCCATACGTAGAGTCATATGGGCTCCACTTGGAGGAGGTGTGTTCTTAAAACGTATCCAGATTATTTTCTTAAAGTACCAATAAAGCAATGTATAACATCAGAATTCCAAAATCTTAGAAAACCACAAGTCTTTTACAATGTGTTGTATTTTAAAAGCTGTCAAATAAATGTGGTGGAATCGGATACAAGAACAAGTAAAATATTCCATCCATAAAATAGCATAACATGGATACTTAAGTCATCTTCAATAACCTCATAATTGTACTTAGAGTACTAAAATGTTCTCCCTACAGCAACGGCATACACACAAAAACACATGTCCACATACAACACTTACTTACAATAATAAAGCAAATCAACTATTAATGCTTTAAAGACTGGACTTCTTGGGTACACCTAAGAGAACTTTCTGAGCGGTTAATGATTGGTCTTCATTTTCTGTGTGGCTGCAGGTGTCTTCGGGCAGCACCTAGAGGAGACAATGTTATACGAGGCTCAGTGTGGAGCGCAGCGACCGGTCCCTTTGCTGGTGGAACAGTGTGCGTGTTTCATACGTGAACATGGGCTCAAAGAGGAGGGCCTTTTCAGGGCCCCCGGACAGACCAATCATGTTCGAGAGCTGCAGGATGCCTTCGACCGTGGCGAGAAGCCAGTGTTTGACAGGTGATGCAGTGGGAGAGGGCATTTTATATACAGCTGCATGCCAATTTATAATCCATGCTGGATAGAATTCGTTAATCTATGTCCCCTCTCTCTGTGTTTTACAGTACCACAGATGTCCACACAGTGGCATCACTGCTAAAGCTGTACATACGGGAGCTTCCGGAGCCTATAATCCCATTCCCCAAATACACACAGTTTCTATCTTGTGCTCAGATTCTTACCAAGGACAAAGCAATGGTAGTTATATGTCTACTTAACAATTTACTGCTTGATTTCCAAACTGTTGCCTTGGCATTAAACTTGACTTATGTATGTTTAAGGGTATCATAGAGCTTGGCAAACAAGTGAAATCCCTTCCTCAGGTCAACTACAACCTCCTTACATACATCTGCAAGTAAGTCAATACTGTCTTGTTGTCTGATATCAGTAGCTGTTAAAGGAATACTTCACCCCTTACATGACAATTTGTATATCAATAATTCATGCAGTGTTACCTTAATTAATTTTTTTAAATATTCCACTATGACCAAAGATACTAAAACTGGAGAAAATTCATGATGCACTGAAGTAAATGGGGGCTTGTGTGTTTTAAAAGTATGATTTTAGTTCAAATGTTTTTGTGAGGTATGCAATCGTGGATACAATTTTACTCGAGCATGTTCTCAATGTTGGTTTCTGTCACTGTGGAAGCATGCTAGAAAAACAAAGTCTTACAAGTACAAGGTAACACAGGGCGAGCTAATAATGTACAAATGGTCATGTTGGCGGCAGTGTATTCCTCACTGAAGTGTTTTGTTCCTGCTGCTATGTCCTGTTCACTGTTTGATTGAAGATGTGTCAGTCTGTCATACAAAAGAAATGTCATTCATTACACCCACATCCTCGTCATCAGCGGAAGTGGCATCATTGATTGACTCTTGAGTGTGAATAATTTCCTGTCTTCTCTGCCTTCTGCGCATATTTAAATACCATCAGCTTGAGTCATGACTCAGTCCTCCTTTTCATCTGTTTGCATTTTACTAGAAAGAATGAGTGGTTTATTGATGTGGCATGATCTTTTTAATAAGTTCTGGTTCTTCCTGGTTTAGGTTTCTGGATGAGGTTCAATCTCACTCCAATGAGAATAAGATGAGTGTACAGAATCTGGCCACTGTGTTTGGACCCAATATCCTTCGGCCCAGAGTGGAGGATCCAGTTACCATGATGGAGGGTTGGTGATAATGCCAATACATGTTTACCTGCAGCTTGTGACACTAGCTTGCTTCACAATCAATATTTACAATGTCATGAACATAGTCAAGCAAGTGTGTAATTTGTCATTGTAAACAGGAAGTTCCCAGGTGCAGCACCTCATGACTGTGCTGATCAGTGAATACACACAACTTTACCAAAGGGAGCAGCCGGAAACTGAGGCCAGGATTCGCCCAAAGCCTCAGCAGAGTCCAACACAACGGGGCAAAGCAGAATGGCTCTCACAACAAAACAATGACCCCCCATCTTCCAAAACCCCTGAAGAGGAACGCCGATCTTCCACCCCTTCAACAGAAAGTAAGCCAACTGCACCAAGCCCAATTACAACATCAGAAAAGGTTGAGGATGGTCAGATTGAAGAAAAGACAAAGGGTGAGACAGAAGTGAAAGGGGATGAAAAAGCAGATGGCAAAACTGAAGGGAAAGGTGAAAATGAAGTAGCTATGAGCCCCAGTAAACAGTCAAAAGCCCTGCCCACGTGGAGGTGCTCCCTCAAAGGGGGGACAGCATCTGGGGTGCAAAGGGGCAAAATAGGGGGGTCTGCAGGGGATGTGTCAGCAGCTGGTGGGAGCAACTGGCTGATGAATGGCCTGTCGTCCCTCCGAGTTCACAGGCGCACCACCTCATCTGGTGAAAGACTTAAAGACACCCTGAAGGATTCAACCCTCTCACTGAAAGAGACCACTCTCCCTCTTAAGGACACACAGAGAGACTCTGATGAAGACTGCCTTCAGACACCCCTGTCTCACAGAGGCCTCCACCAATCCCACAGACTGTCTGCCTATGACAATGTTGCCCCCTCCAGTCTGAGCCTGCCTGCTGACACCTCCATCTGGACATCCTTTGAGATCTCATTGGCCGAGCCAAAGGGAAGCGAAAAAGCAGTAATACTAGAACAGGGTAAAGACAGCCCTACAGAGGTGAAGGACAGTACAAGTACTCTGGATAACACTGCAAGCGGTACTGAGGATGATATTACAGGAACAAATGAAGGTCTCGCCAACATGCTAACTGACCTCAAGCAGGAGCTGAAGAAACAGAGGACGAGCTACGAAACCTGCATTCGAAAGTAAGTATAAATCACTGATATTTTATTTAAAACATAAACCAGCATGTGTTGTTATTTATGACTTCTTCTTCTTCTTCTCTTCTTTGAGGTTGGAGGAGTCTTGTTCTAAGTACCAGTCCCAAGTCAACCGCCTCGAGGAGGAGCTGGACCAGGAGAAGAAGAAGTTTCAAATGCTTGAGATCCGACTCAGGAACTCGGAGAGGGCACATCAAGACGCAGAGAACCGAAACAACCTCCTGCAGAAAGAGATGGAGGAGTTCTTCAAAACCCTTGGAGATCTGACCACAGGAGCAACACGGACCACCTAGCCCAGACCAACCTGCCTTCATCTGGTCCATAAGAGGAGGAGCTAGATTACTTGGAAGACCAGTAAGCCCCAAAGCTTTGAAGACCAAATACCTCTAGTGCAGTACTACTTGCCATCGTGTCCTGTTTAGTACAGCCGTCTTGTGCCTACACTGATCAGTGCCGGTGCCAAACGAGAACTCCTCTGGACAAAGCAAGCATTTTATCATTCCGCAGATTTCCTTATTATACACTGTAGGTCATGTAGCTTAATATGTATTATCGAAGTTTGTAAAACAGCAACAAAGAAAAGGCTTTTCTGATGATATGAAGTCTTCCCATGCACACCCTCCTCATTTCCCATTAGAACTCATGAGAGAAACATTTACTTGACATTAAAATAAAGAACAATGAGACATTAAAAATTCAACTCTTTTATTTGTTGGAGTTGAAGGTAGACAGTTTCCATTTCTGATGTATATAATTGGTCTGTTAGTGAGGCAATTTCAGATCAAAAGGCTTAACTTTACATAACTGGCCTGATCTAAACACACTACAACAGGTTAGCTCTTTGCTGTCAGTATTTGGCCAACCCATCAGAAGACTGCAACATCATCCCAGTGGTGCCGAATTCCCATCTTTCCTCTAAATGTACCTGCACTAAAGCCAGATTTGCTCAGAGAAAACTCATGCGTATTCTATTCTATCTTTTTCTATTTTTGAGGAAATGGAGAAGAGGAAAATGACAAAAACAGGAAGTCACAACAGTCAGTTGAGATGTGGCCTAGAAAGGGGTAAGGACATGCGTCACAATCCCCAAAGTGCATTCTGGGAGCTGATGCTATGGGTCACTGCCTGGAGTGCCCAACTATGAAAAGAGCAAAGGGACAGGTTGGGAATTTCAGCCATCATATACATCCAAAGGTTACCATGGCAAGTAGCAGTTTCCTGAGCCTCAGAAAACATACATACATTTCCAGTAAAATGTACAGATCAATCACTGACTATATTAATCTATGAAGTATATTGCACAGAAAAACAAACAAAAAATGAAACAAAAATGCATATAAATAGTAGTTCTGAATTAAATGTACATTACATACAATAGACGCCTCCTAGCTTGAAATAAATAAATAAATAACGCAAATAAAGAAAAAATATGGATCTTGTGTTCTTTCCAATGATGTGTGCCGTGATATACATAATGCATCTTCAAAAAACATGTGTGCATGTGAGGTAGAACTCAGAAAGACGCACCACAGAAGAGAGGAGCATCTGCAACAAAGAGGACTGAAAAGTTATTGAAGTGAGTAAGGGCACTTAAATTAAACATGTTAAATATCAGACAGCTGTGACCAATGTCTGAAAGTGATTTAGACTTAGTTTCTGGTGACAGTCCCAAATACAGAACTCATTCTAGCCAGTGGAGTGGACTATATTAAATTGTTACAGTGCTAACAGTAATCACTGGCTCCTCACTAAGCAACATTTATATTCACTTACATTCACCCTGTTGTTCCTCATCCAACAGACCATCACCTACAAGTTACATCTACCTACATAAGTTAAAATACAGTCAGTTAACAGTATGCTATAGTAAAAAAGAAATTCAGTGTCAGGGAAATAGACCATTTGACTGCTTGTCAAGATGCACACAATCAGAGGTGACGTAATACTAAGAAATAAGGTGGATACACCAAAGGACGCTTTCTACAAGAAAGATGAGGGAAAATATTTTAAAAAAATCATTCATCTGCGTTTTGATTCAAGATGAAGTGCACTATAGACTACTGTTAAAAAAGAGAATTGGTGTAGATTCATTCACATGTCCCAAAACAATACAAAAATGCCAAATGAACAATTCAAAAAATATACTCAACATAATATTGCAGTGCTAACAATGTGGTTTTCAACTGTGTAGCAGTAGCTAAAAAAAACAGCAATGAGTAAAGTACAGTCGAATCCCTCTCTTCCATCACATACATCACAGATTCACATCAAAACATACTCTCTTCTTTGCAGCAAAAATACAGTTATAATGATACAATTTCAAACCACAGTCATTTACAGTAGTATAGGGGGAGGGGAAATAAAAACAAACTGTACATTAAAAGCTCAGCTCTACAAACTAACATGAGAAGTTCCATTGGCCTAAACCCTCTCCCATCACACACACTGATGAGGAAAGGTTGGTTTTTTTGTGTAGGTGTGTGTGTGTGTTTGTGGATTGTATGCGTGTGTTATCTGCAGCAGGCCAGCGCACCCAGAGAGGTGTGGCTGTCTAAACTGCTGTCTGTTTCAGAGGTGATGGTGGGGTCACTGCTAGGGTCAGTGGGCTCTGTGGACATGGACGAGACATCGTTGGCCGAAGAGGAGGATGACGTGGGTTGAGGGGGGCTGTCAATCACTGCTGCACCTGTGCTGCGAAAAACACACGTCACCACATAGGTTTGTTTGAAAAAACATGAAACTGCCATCGTCTGCTGAGTCACACATACAGATGAAAACAGTAATTTTACATTTCAATTCAAAGTTATCTAAAATGTGGTCATTTGCAAGTCAAATTATGTGAAGCTTAAATAACATAACATATATTCTGGAAATATGACTACCTTGGTCCCGAAATATTTTGATTTTATTTGAAAATAACCAGAGCTTTATAGCAATATTTCAACTTTATTAGAAAAATATGATGGCTTCATTCTTAAAATATTCCAAATTAATTACTTTATTCTCCAAAGACTTCACCTCTTCATGACCGTAGTACACTGTACTTTAAGCTGAAATATTGAAGGGTTAAAAAAAAACAATGACTTTACATAATTCTTTAACAATATCCAGAAGTCTAGAAATCTCAGATTTGACATAATGTAGATTGGTTTAACCTACCATCATATTTGTATTCAGGTACTTTTGTACAAAATAAAAAAGTATTAACATTTGAGCGTCAGAACCCAGAACACATTCAGGCTAACATCAACCTTCTTATATCATGTGCTTCTATTTATTTACTGGTTCATTCTTCCCAACGCTTCTTATATCACAAAATTATAAAGATTACTCACCTAGAGGAGGAGGCTGGCCTCTTATCACACCATTTCTTTTATGCTCCTCCCACTCACTCACTTCCTTATAAATTAGCACTACAAATGACAGAACAGGAGAAGGTTAAGTGGGACAGGAGAAACAGGTAGAGATCAATGACGTGTGTAGGTGATACTCTTCTTTAAAATGTGCCTACAAAATGTATTTCATACTGCACAGTTCAATCAGCGTCATGTTTCTGACTTGGACAGGCTCTGTGGGCGTGACCCTTTTTAAAATAAGTAAGGGGTCATTATACCAGGAAGGGGTTAGGATGAGCTCATCCTGCAGCACAACTGAAAGGGATATGTTTTTTCAATCTGAAGTCCTTGTTTGCGCCACCGAATCAGGTTCCCCACAGTGGAAAACACTAACGGAGGGGCTTCAAAATGGATTTCAAATCATGCAACGCATCCTCTGGCAACTACAGTGATGATACAGATCTCCATGGGCAACCAAGCAACTGCATATCTGCACATTTACTGGCTGTCCCACTGGATTTCTTTAGACAAGGTTTATTTTTGTGCTTTTCGTGATCACGTCACCATTTGTAAACTGATAATCATAGAGTTTAACGTTTACAGAGCTGATGAAAAAATAGCTTGGATTTATAAATGATTAAAAGTTGCATATTAACATGTTAGATGTTTAATTAACCAGCTGGTTTTGTAAATAACTTGAAACTAAAATGTATTTATCTACATATAACTATTTTCGAGGTACTGACATCCATCAGAATAAATGTATTTTATCAGACTATTCACTCAGATTACAGAGTGAAACCTCATAGGTAATTATTGTGCTGCTTCAGAAGCCAGAGGGTAAATAATACACTGAAAACGGACTGGGAGAAGTGTTGAGTGTGAAAGAGTCTTAGCATGATGTCTGACCTTTCCACTCCTCCACGGTATGCTCCCTCTCATCCAGCTGCTTATCTAGGATCTTTGGAATGGGCTGAGAAAGAGAAAAAGGCTTGAATGGCAGACAGGGGCACAAGAGTGATGCCAAATTTCCACATCAAGTGATGTAATCAAAATCGCATGACTCAGTTAAGGATCAGAGATCAACTTACCGCTTCCACTTCGGCTGGGTCGTACCAAACGTTAATGTAGGGGTGCTGCAGGGCCTCATCTACGGAGATGCGCTTGGAGGCATCGATCACCAACATCTTGGATAAAAGATCTCTGGCTTGGCTCGCTGAGGGGAGAAACATCAAATACATAAGAAGCTCTGCAAATAAACACAAGTCTAAAAATGTATTTGGTGAAGTAGTTCTATTAGGTCATATGACTATAGTAAATAAAAAACACACTACCTTTGAGTTTGTTGTGATCAGAGTCGGCAGGGAAGAGCACATCTGGGAAGAGTTTCTCAAAGGTGTACCCAGCATAGCGTGGCCTGTTTTCTACGTACGTTCGTACTGACTGGTTCAGCTTCATTAGAAAATCCTGAGATGGAGTGCCCAGCTGCTCAATTACCTTGTTCCACTGGTCGATGTCTAAAGTGTAAACGTTAAGGAAACACATATACAGTAACACACCAGCAGCGTTCTTTGTCGTTGCAAACTCTTCTTACATTGTTCAAACACACAAACTTAGATAACATAAATGATGCAGCCACTCACTCTTTTCCTACGAAGCTATTTTAATAAAGAATCTGTCTCAGCAAGTATCAATCAATCTATTGACCTTTATTCTCTGCTTTGGTTTAATATAGTCACTATAAGTGGGTGTAGCCGAGCAATGATGGACGTCCTGTTTGCAGGGTGGAACATTTTGGGAATGAATGAGGGGAACTCAGTTCTCTTCACACAGCATGAAGTGATGACACAGTGATGAATTAATGACAGGGAAGGATACGATCAGTGCCGGGGAACAACACGCACCCCTTGATCATCTCGGCCACTATGCAGCCCACTGACCATACATCCACTGCACATGGATGTGTAGATGACAGGGAGGTGGACATGCAAACAAAATGGTGGGATAAAAATAAAAGCACAACAAGGTGAAAATGATGCACGCAAAATGGCAGTGGGAATGAAAATGGAGAACATGCAGCATCAGCAAGATAGATGAGAGAAAGCAAGGCAGTGATGAAAATGAAAACTGACATGTTTAAAGCCCATGGCAGTCAGAAAGCTTGCAATAATGCATGTTAAACTGGGCTATTATAGAAAGTCCCCAAAGCCTGGCACAGCATACTGTATTCGAGCCAACATTTGACTAGGGAAAGATCTGACAGTCTGCTCAGCAGGAGGCGCAGACCCTTTAGAAAAGACTGTAAAAGCGTGAAGAAATATTCAAATAGACCCAAGGATACAGTCCCTTCCCGGGAAGAGGATTTTATGGCGAACCATTTCCGCCAGTATGCAGCCCACAGACCATATGTCCACTAGTGAAGTGGAACAAAGCCGGTAAGAGGTGAGAGGAATGCACAACAACAGGTTAGTTACACGCAGGAGGCCGGTTAGTGAGCAGTTTGTTAAAACAAAGTCCCATCATGTGAAGAAGCACCATGAAGCTTGTGTTAATAGCAAGACTTATCTTCAGGTGCCTGTACATGGGTTATAAAAGATCTAACACAAAAACAGTGCATTCAGTAGATGAACACTAACCATTTGCTTGGTAGCCCATGCCCAGGATAACCTCTGGGGCTCTGTAGTAGCGTGTAACCACATACGGTGTCATCAAGAGGCCCGTGGCAGCTGTCCGAGCCAAGCCAAAGTCCAAAATCTTCAGTGTACAATCTGACTTGACAACTATGTTGCTAGGCTTCAGGTCCTACAGAGAAACACACAGCAAAGTGTGATTTCTTGTCATTTCTAATGTTAATTTTGTCATTTACAAGCAATGACAAAAAAATGCAGATGTAGTGATGTACAGTATCAGCAAGTGGTGGCATGAAGCAGCATTACTTAAACAGTGATAACTTTTTGTGGGTTTTTGTAATTACAGAAAATCATATGATAAAACATTACCCAAGAGTCAAATCCACCTGACAGCTCCTGCTCAAGATCTTTTTTGGAGATTCATTTTTTGTTTATGCCATGTTTCTCTGCAATACGAATTGCCTTCTAGAAGCATCTAAAGTTTACAGTTTCAAGATGAATCAAGTAATGCCACTATAAATCAAGTACTGGCATATTACACCAAGGGTTTGGTGCTATATCACTAGTTGGGAGTCTTTTCATGAAAAGTGCAATTGTAAACCTCAGTCAACAACTTCTTATTGTTAATCAATATGGTATCAAATGTTCACCTTCCCTTTTCAAAGTGGAGGTCAGAAGTATGTACCAGCTCATAGTACACACCTCAGAAAAGTAGCAAGAAATTCAGTGTTTTGTTCAAAGACATTTCATCAACAATAGTTGAAGTATAGAACGTTAATAGTTTTTTATTGATGTTTTGTTTTGAGATTTTTTATATCTCCAATTTATTTTAAAGATAGATTTGTTGGTCATTAAAATACTGCCCTTGCATTTCAGTGTAAAGTGTCACAGAGGGTTTAACGGTTCCCTTTTTTTCAGGAAACCTGCGTGGCGTTAGTCTGTGCAGACATAGCCAGCTGATGCTCACCCTGTGAATGATTCCGGCGGCATGCAGGTGTTTGATGCCACACAATGTCTGATAGAGCAGATAGGACAGCCTCTCATGGTCCAGTTCCATCTGAATGACCTGGCACAGGTTAGCATCCATCAGCTCCATCACCAAGTATCTGACGGGGCAGAAACAATTTCAGCAAACATACGAGAAGGAAATAATTCAATCACAGAAATGATACATACTGTATGCAAACTTACTGCCCTAAATAAAAATACTTACACATCTGCGAAATCTTCTAATGTTTTTTGTGGTGAAAATACATTTAATAGGTGGATGATCTGTGGGTATAAAATGACATGAATCAGAACAGTGGTGTCATGTCAGTTACATAAAGTAAAGCACATACAATAAAGCATACAATCTCCGTAAACATGTTGTCATTCTCAAACACCATGTCTCCCACTGGTTATGCGAGTGAATTTATTTGCGAACTTACATTTTTGTGATTGACATATTTCATTAGGACTAGCTCTCTGTACGCCCTCTTGGCATGGGTTTGATTTTGAAACGGCCGACTCAGCTTCTTGATGGCAACATTTCGTTCCAGGTTTTGGTCATAGGCAGAGCTGAGGAACATAGTTAGCAAATCATTTAAAAATATGGTCACAGATGTAGCATGAAAATGAGTAAACATTACAGGTTATGTATTATGACTTCAATAGTCTAAACAGCTCTCCTATTTTCATTAACAACATAAAGTACAAGTACAAAAAGAGTATTACAATTTAATTTTGTTTATATAGATTCCTATTGTGATTTCTTAATCATGAGTGTTCTGGTAACATATCAGTGACCTTTATTTTTGCAATCAGCTGTTGACTAAAAATGTTGACGAGGTTGCATCACTCACCAGACGATTCCCTGAGCTCCTGAGCCGATGGGTCTCAGGTTCTGGTATCGCTTGAGTACTGTAAACGTTGAGTCCCCAACATCTAGGCTGTAGAACTCTCTTTCTTTCTTGTTTTTGTTCATGGCGAGGTCTTCTATTATTTCTCTCTGTGCATCCAAAAATGTCCTCTGTGTACACAAAGACAGGGACACAATTACATATTTGTTCCAGGACTACACCAGCAGATGAGCAAAAAGACAGTCAAATGAAATCTCTGCTCAAAAGAAAGCAAACTAGAAGGAAAGGAGAAAAGATATTGCTGAATTTCACAATTGAGGCGAGCACTGCGTTTCCTTATCTAAGCAACTCAGCAAACACACCAGGATGGAGGATTTGAAATCATCAGCAGTGGTGGTGACAGAACAGCAGGCAACGGGAAGGTCTACTCCATCATGTGAAACACGACTCTCATAGTGACTGTCACACTGGAAAACCAAGCTAGGTGATAATTCCTGTGAGTTTGGACCCCAGCCCAGGACTCGAGCCCAGTTCTACAAGCGGGTCTTCCACAGGCACATGCTAACTGGGTCAAGTTGCACCATGTGGCTGTGAGTCCAGACAACACGCAACACAGAGACGCCAAATTTCTGTGAATGATATTCCCAAACGTATTTCAAGTCAACAGAACCACCTTAAAAATCAAAAAAGGAATATTCAGCTTCCTTTTCCTTTCTTCAATTCTTATATAAGCGTAATCACCCTCCCCACTCTTTCACTCTGCCGACACTCGGTCCATATGAGGGATATAATTGCCAGAGAAAAATGAGTCAGCTCTCCTTCTGTTCGTTCAACGTCACAAAGACGTACATAACATCCGCCTCCCTCACAACATGAAAATAGACATGCCGCTTCTTTTTATTTTTCAGACAGGAAGACAATTAGGCTACCATCATCTTCGTTGGCTAGTTATGAAGGCTTGATATTGCAGCTAGTGTGCAGTGATGTGGGTGGTATAGACACTTACTTTGTAGTAAGATCATGATTATAATAATGGCTATTCAAGGTGGTAATTGAGGTCAGGTCATTGCAGGGAGGTAATCACAGGCACATTGGATCACATTAAAACCCATTGTGTTAATACCACTGCCCCTGCTGAGAAATAACTAGTATTGACGCTTAACTACATGCTGCGTTGGCAAATACTGCTGAAATCAATGGCCTTCTATTAGATTGCAGTTATGTGTCAGCTGCAGTATTTATAAGGAGTGCAGCAGCCACATCAGTAGTCTCAGCAGCACCTACAGTAAGAGGTCTGGACCTCGTGGTTTGAGGATTTGAAGGCAGCGAACTGCAATACATATAGTCTCAAAATGTATCCAGCAAAAGCATAAATATGGGGAGGTCATTCCTGGAGCACACTGCTCTCTAATGACCTAACCTCTGTTTTCTATAGGCTGCTTTGCTTAATGATTTAATGAATGGTTTCAGAAGCACATACTTCAAGGACAATTCAGATCATGGCACTGGTAAACATAAACATAAATTAAACAAATTACAAAAATGCCCTTCCTTGGAAAACTGTAACATCACTTATTAACACAACAGAATATGAAGTAGCTTTCTTGTTTATAAAATTAAATTAAAAAATCTAATTGTATGATAATGTATCTTATATTTACATAATTAGAATATTGTGTTCTTCCAATTTAGATGCATCCCGCAACAGCAGATGAGGAAAAACAATAACTAATCTGAACTGCAGACGTTTATTATAATCTACCTTGTTGATACAATAGCTCCAGTCACATTATATATGCCCAAACTGAAACAGCCATTTTCCCAGTCCACACATGAAAAGTGTCAGCAGGGCGGAGAGAGACAGAGGAAAAGCAGACCCTGTTCCTTCTCCAGGCCTATATTAACAGTGGAGCAACACTATCGACCCGTTTTTATTTTAACTCGTTGTCAGCGTGTTAACCTTGGCCACACGACCCCTCTATTTCCTGTTAAAAGCAGAGGTAGCTTGCAGGTAAAACACTGTAAAGACGGCAAAAAGGAGCTAATACCGTAACCGCTTGACTGCGAATACGCCGGCCGCTGCACAAGAAGACATTATTGTAGCCTTAATGACAGTCATATCGCGATATGACAGGGCCTGTTTGTGAATCAGTGCGCAGTCGGCGTATGCTAGCTTCAATCTGCACACGATATTTAAAGGCTACAACATGTACGGACACATCTCATTGTAACGACACGAAGAGTAGGTAAGTCGGGTAAGTAATAAGTGAAGCTACACTGTAACAACGTTAAACAACAACACTGTGGTTAAGCAGCATGCAAATAGCGACATACGACCCTCCCCCACGGCCAAACAATGAGCACGTCTGAGGAGCAGAGGTGCGAATCCTCATCTTACCTCTGTCATCAAACGATACTATCGATCCCGCCTTGGTGTGATCTGCGGCGAAATGTTCCGGACTAATTGTTTATGCCGCCGGTAAAGGATGGTTTATTCCGTTGTGCGGCTTAAAAATACATGACCTCACCAAAATTCACTTGCCTACGTTTCCATCTGGCTACAACTGACAGGCCAGGACGCGCAGTGCGCACGGGGCATGCGTCCCAGCAGTACGTCACCGATCCAGAGACACACCCACCGCCTCCCACCGCCTCCTACATCCATCCTACCTCCTTCCTTCCGCCTATCTATCTATCAGATCTATCTATCTATCTATCTATCTATCTATCTATCTATCTATCAGATCTATCTATCTATCTATCTATCTATCTATCTATCTATCTATCTATCTATCTATCTATCTATCTATCAGATCTATCTATCTATCTATCTATCTATCTATTTGTTTTGTCCCTTTTCCGTTTAAAACATGATCCATAAGATGTTACAGTATGCTTTATTTGAAATGTATTGCAAAGGGCAGACATTAGCCTCACTTAAAATATAGAACTTCTTCTGCATGAGAGACATACATGTAATGTTATGTGAAATAAGAATTTCCCAATGAGTGAAATATGAGGCAGCATATTTATTTATTTTTACATTTCATTAAAAAAATATGTTTTCCTGGTGACAATAAAGAGAATAGCTGGGAGGGAGTGCCAATATGGTTAATGGCTCATTGAGCAAACAGGTCAACAAGGAGTTGACATTTTTTCTCTAACTAAAATGAAATGTTTTGGCAACTGATCTTTGTCCACAAAATGTCTTTGCTGCAACATTTTTCACAAAGATTAATGTTACAACAGCCAGTGTCCACATACAGGTGAAACATACACAGCATAAAGCAAAAATAGTAAAGTATATGGACACATTTGAAATGTTTAAGAATTTAAAATGGTTCCTTTCTTTCTTTCTTTCTTTGTCTGTATTATGCTAGTAATGTTGTGTTAATATTCAAACTATAAATAAGAGACCTGCTTTCATGACTGATGAAGCTATTTGTTTTATGCAGACTAACAGACAACTACATCCAAGTTATAAAGGTTTTCAGATGGGATTCTTACAGTACATTGGATGATGGTGAACACAGGGTATAAGTATACTTTTAAATAGGCTATGATTATTTTTGTTTTATGTCAGTATACCTGTGTTTAACAGTATAGTCACAAATAAATAACTGGGATTTTAATTAAATTAAGAGTTTTATGTTCTTTCCCACTAGTTCCTTGGTTAGTTTATTTCCATATGGGACCAATGGGCAAAGCATAAAAGGTTTTATATCTGTTTCCAGGGTAAAAGGTGATGCTGCAGTTATCATATCCATTGATAAATGATTTGACAGCTATTTGCATCATCAGTTCCTTGGTTAGTTTCTTTCCATACTTGGACCAATGGGCAAAGCATAAAAGGTTTTATATATGTTTCCAGGATACAAAGTGATGCTGCAGTTATCATATGCATTTATTAAAGATTTGAGGGCTATTATTTGCATCATCACTGTCATCAGAGCAATATTATCTTCTTTTAGCCCTTGGATCTTATCTCCTGTCCATATTTAACTGCGGGATCATTGGTGGACTATGACATGCATTAGGGCTCTGCAGAAATCCATAGTAGTAGGGAACCGTGTAGAGTTCATGCATCAGCTTCTATACGCTACAACAACGACGGTATGCAGCATGCTCTGCAAAGGCATGTGACTAAATAAGGACATTAGGTACAATTACGTTAACTTAGCGCTGAGTAGTTTAAATTCTCCCTGCGCCCTCCTGACAGGCCTGAATGGTTGTTATTTATCCTGGTCCCTGCGCAGATACCCCGGGGCCTGCAGAGAAAAGCTGCGCGCAATAGAGAAGGCAAGCGGCATGGATAAACGTCCCAGTACCGACTCCTGCAGCAAGACAAGGCTACTACGCTTTCTTACCCCTTGTTCGAGGAGAGCCCGCAGTGTTATGATCATTGTGGGGGAGCAGCCCTATAGCAGCAGGCTACAATCCACTCGTTTGGCCGAGATCGTTCGTCCTTCTCAGGCTTCTTTGTAGCGCACCTACCACCGGAGATCCACCGCACCTTTGGGCGTCAGACAGATTAGTTAAATCGGTGTAGCTGATCCCACGCCATCCGCTATTGGTGGCTATGACCTGGCGCTGTCAACAGCAAAGATAAGCCAATTATGTGTTTAAAGGCGAGAAACTAAGAATAGCCCCAATTACAGCAAAAAGTTTCAGTTCTTCAGCGTGGTGCTGGTGGTCATACAGCAAATGAATTGGGCACGATGTACAGTTAATGTCATTGATGAATTACCTGGCTTCGCGGAGCTGCCTTTACTGAGAGGACGTCAAAACAGCAATGCGATGATCACAAGGATTATTTTGGATCCGTGGTGGGAGCACTGAAGATAATACGAAGGATCACACTGCTGACATAGGTTACATCTCGTACCAGGTAAGGTTTCACTGAGATATCTTTCATTATCTTCCTCCTTCACACCGTGCTATTTGTTAGTTTGGTGTATTGAGGTGGGCGTATTTTTTTTTAAATGCATTTGGTATAAGATTTAAGATGGAAATAAATAAATTTCAGGCACATACCGTTGCTAAACATCTACATGGCTATAATGAGATTTACCTTTAAGAGTAATTTATAGTATAGCCTTCACATTCAGGCCTGTGACGACAAAAATCCTCATGGTGAAATGTGTTGTTTATTAGAGGCTGCTTATGTTGTAGCTACACACAAACAGCACATTGCCAAGATGTCCATACTATCACACTTTGTCATGGTACGTATGAACATAGGAATGTATTGTCTACTGGAGTGAGAAAAGGGCTATAGGAGACCGAGATCCTGATGAAGCATCTTGTCCCAAATTCTCAAGGATACTGTACAGCTTCACTGTCTGTGTCTGTCATCTGATTGTCTGCTTAATGGATCACTAAGGTAGATTCTATGTAACAGGCTAGCTTAACTAGCAAAATTAGCAGGAACTAGCTGTTGACTGCTCCATTAAAACCATGGTATGTGATGCATTTGAGTCCAAATTGAATAATACATCTGCATGTACACCAAATAGAAAAAAGTGTGACAACTGGTTAATAATCTGGACATGGTATTGGATTATTAGATGTTAAAGTAGTTTGTTCTAGACAGCAGTACACATTATTCAATTGCATGAAAGGTCGTCTTTATGCTCTAATATGCTCTATAATAACATCACGTTTTAAAGGTTGTGATTTAGGGAATGCAGAGGATGTGAACGTTTAAAGAGGTCCAACTTGAACCCAGCCACATGTTTAGGTAAATGCCATGATGTGATATGCACAGTACAGCACAGTTTCTTTATGTCCAAAAAGATTCCAGCAACACATGAGAGTTGTGTTGATAATTGCCAGGTTTCAGTGATGGTCCCTGCAGCACTGAATGGCTTCACAACAGTAGCTTTACACCTGTAGACAGACCACTTTGAGGGAGCACAGCTGCTAAAGTTTTGGTCCACAGTGGAGAGGTGGGTGCACCTGGCACGCTTCCTACTTTTTTCTTCAATTCCTTTCTACATCATAACGATAAAGCAGAATACAGGTATACAGTTACATCATTTTTTATTTCACTGATTTGAACGGCCTTGTGCACTTCTAGGAAACCTTATTACCTCCAAATTGCATTGTGTTTTTTGGGTTTAGCAACACATTTAATCTTGTACAACTATCCTTGTATTTAGTTGACACACTGGGTGTCACAAGCCGAGGGTAAATTAAGTTTAAGTGCAGGATAATCAGGCCTAAAGTAATTGGGTTGGTCGGTGTCATTGAAAGCATGTTGCTTCCTTCAGCACACTGTGGTTGGTTGTCCTATGAAATTACTGGTCTGTAACATTTAAGGAACAGGAACTATACAAAAAGTCCAATAAAAACCATGATGGTTTGGTTTAACAGCCTTTGCCATGCATTGGGAACAATCTGAATCTGTTCTCTTAGTTGTTTGAGAAAATGCAGGAAGGTTAAACCAGGAAGAAAACAGCATGTCAGTTTTTACTCATTTTATACTCTCACACCAACACTTTAATGAATGAAATTAGAAAACAAATATAAGACTTTTGAAACTTTCCTATGTCTCTTGTATTTGAGACAGATACTTATGGAAATATCCATAGCTTTGCTGTTATCTTACATAATCATGTCAAGTGTGGTTTGTTGTTTTGATCCGCACAGATATCCTACAACATGCTATCTTTTAGAAAATAGTAGAATGCTTTGATTTTTAAGTATTTAATTGGTTCATCATCTAATGTGATTGGATATTAAATGAATTTACTAAATTAAATCTGACTAATAATACAAGAAAACACCTACATTTATATAATGTAGTCAAAATAATATGTATTTTCCATGTTTCTTAATAGATGCTTTACCAAAATATAAATAATACTAAGTAAGAAAGCTTTTCTGCATTTCTTTCACAGTCTCTTCTCTGTCAGGTCAGGTGTTTTTTGTTCCTTCCCATTCTCGAATGTACAGATGTCATAATATTCACACAGTATGTGACAACAAACTAACATGCCACCATGACACAGTTGCCTTGGTGCCAGAAGCACAGATCCCTTCAGAAGTGCCCTCTTGTCAGGAGGAAAGCCTATTAGGAAATGGGAGGGTCAAGAGAGAGCAAGAGGCAGTGAGACTAATGGAGTTAGATAATTTAATCAGAGTCCAGCGCAAAGAACGGCCTTTTTCTCAGAACTGTCTCTCATAACCGTCCCTGTAGGCCAATTGCTGTTGACAGGCTTTGACAACAACAGTAACACTATCATGAAGATATGTTAAGATAAAGTAGAAATGTGTAATGAGGACACCCAACAAAGTATATCATGCTTTTACAAAATATACAAGACATATAAGACAATCAGCTGTAGATATTTCAATATAGAAATTGATGTTGTACATGTGTGTTTTTCATGTGTGCATGTATGTGGTACATCTTCAGGTTCGTGATTGGAATGTGTGCAGGATGAGCAGCACATTTGTGACATTAGCTGAAGTACTGGAGGCTCGAGGGGGACCTCTGCTGGAGGAGGAGGTCTGGTCCCTGCTGCTGGCCACTGCAGAGTCTTTAGTGGATGCCTCTTATAAGGGTAAATCATTTCAGATATCCTCCTCTTATTGTACGCACACATACATTACACGATGCCTTAATGCTATGTCCATACCATAATGTTATGGCAATGTAAAAAGACATTAACATTTAAATATATCTTGTTTAAAACTGAATTTACCGTGTATCAGCAGCATTATTATGGACTTCCCACTTTTTTTGCAGGTCAGAACAACATGTGTAGTATCATAAGCCCCACCTCTTTGCTGCTGTCAGCCACTGGTACCTTAGCATTTAAGAATTGTGGCCTATCAGAGGATGTTTCCACCTTCACCGCTCCAGAGATGCTGCAGGGCCGTGCCAGCTCAAGCAAACCTGCTTTAGAGAGGGTCAGTGCTTACATCCTCATACCTGTCCTAATAGCTCACATGGAAGTTGATGGCAGACTTGGTAAACACACAATAGTATAAGTTCATATAGGGGTTTATTTCAATCATATACTACTACTGTCATATACTTATGTGGGTTTCCTTTGAGGGTAAAATATCAGGATGTCAGGATTTGAAGGACAGCTGAGGTGTGAGCCCGCCATCTAGTGGCTGAGCAAAGAAACTGCAGCTCTGAATTTAAACCTTCATGTATTGACATTGGGTAGAAAAACCCTAAAGTAACACTTGAAATCATATTTGAGAATGTTTTAACATTAAGGAAGGATTTCAAATATATGTGTTCTTATCTCACACACATCTTCAGGTAGTCTGCCTATGTTACATTAGTTAAATCTATAAAAGCCTTCAATAGTGAAGCACTTGTTTGAAAGCAGCAGGACATGTCTCCCACTGCATAATTTAAAACAACATGTACTGTGCCATCACAATTATTGTTGCCTTTCACTTTACTGAGCCATTTCTAGAATCTTCAAACAGTGGTTTATTATCATTTTTTTTAATCACATTTGAACATGTAAACTATTTTAACATGTTCAACTGGTGTTGTCATTAACCAATTACTTTTGTCGTGCAGATGCTGGTGTATTCACTGGGTATGACTCTCTACTGGTCGGTTGATTTTCACCTACCTCAAAATCAGGTGGGTCATTCACAGCTGTCATCTTTATTCCACACCACTACTCCTCAGCCATATATTCTAATCACTCTCTCCTCTCATGCGTCTCAGCCGGTCCAGTTGAGTGACCACCTGAACAGCCTCCTGCTCAGCATGTGTGAGGACCTGGCCCACCGCAGGGTGAACCTCATCTCCATCCTGGAAGCCTGCGAGTCTCAGCACAAAACCAACATCCTGCCGCCACCCCCCACAGTCATCCGACAGCTGGTGGAGGAAGTTTTTCACGAATCAGTGAGTCTAGATACCTTTATTACATGTTCCTATCTGTAAGATTTCAGCATCATTTGAATGGCTAATGTGTATAATGACAGAAAAATGTAAATGTGTTGTCTTTTCCTCCAGATGGACCATGGCTCTCTGCCAGACAGTCAGGTCCCTTTGAGTGGCAGGAGCCAGATGATCAGAGAGAGACTTCATGGTGAGCATGCATGTTTAAGTCCTGTAAATGCACACAAGCATCATGTCATCATACAAGAGGAGAAAACTTGCTGAGCATAGGCATGACACTGTACATTATTTTTGAATAAGGGCTTTTTGACAAACAGGCATGCCTTCTTTACCTATCTGTACATAAGTGAGTTGGAAAATCCGGTATGGTACAGGAAAACCCTATTCTGATCTATTTCCTTGATTCATTTTGAAATTATGAATAAATTGTACCTTTTAAATATTTTACGCAAAGTAGTTTCGGGTCACTGCTCTTTTGACCCAAGGCAACAGGATTAAAATCTTAATCTAAAGCAAGGCCAGGATTAGTCTCCTACGAGAGCCAATAATCAGAGACAGAGTGTGGATGCTTGCTGGTGTAACCCTGTGCAAGCCTCACTTCTGTCCCAACATCCTATTGTCTCCTGGGAGCACAGAGACGGACATGAATCAAACATTGCTGTCATCTTTTATCTTTTACCGTGCTGACAGGAAAGAAAGGGCCACTTTCAGACTTCAGCGAAGGGAGTGCTGAAGGGAGAAGATACTCAACGGACTCTGACTCAAAGTCAGGTAAGGAAAATAATTCTAAATAATTTGTCTTGTGTCCACTTAACAAAACCCCTAATTCTGGTTTTGGATGTAATCCTCGATTAACAGACAATTTGTTCTTCTACTTTAATGTGTGTTCCAGCCTAATTGCTTGTTTTGACAATGCAAATGCTCTTTTCCAGTTAATTTACCTCAGAGACCTTGGAGACAAAGACCAAGGAGCTCTCCCACACCGCTGTACCAGTCTTCTTTAGAAAGGTATGTAATCTATGCGTTCTTACATTCACATCATTAATACTGTAATTAGTAAACAATTCTTCAACTATTAAAACTATCTCTGTGTGCACGTCAACACAAATAAATCCATCCGCTTCTCCTTCCGTGCTCCTTTTTATTGTCTGTAGTGCCATCAAGGGGACATGACATTGTTGAGTTTGACTTTTACAACTCGTCTGCACACCTATTACACAATCTGTCCTTCCTCTCCCCCTCTCTCTCCCCTCAGACTCCCTCGTGGGGTCCGTCACAGGGACAGCAACTGCAGTTGGCTTGGTAGGAGCCCCCAACACGACTCCTCTCCCAAAACATCAGGCAGATCGCACAGTCCTTCCATCACCTTCAGCGAGTCCTCCATCAGCCTGAGCCAGAGGACATCGAAGGTAAGTCCGGAATATTTTTTAGATGGTTGTTCGGTGACATAAAGGCAAGATCATTCTTTTGTAGAACATACATTTGTTGTGGATCTTTACAACAAGCTGCTTTTTGTAGTGTCATAGCATGTACAATATTTAATCGAAAAAAGTGTGCATGTGTTTCTGCTTGAAGACTTCATATCAAAAATATTTGTTTTGTCAGGCTTTGGGTCCTGAGTTCGTCAGAATGCCAGATGAACAACACATTGTTCTCGATCTCCCAGGATCTATTGTGGTAAAGGACTGCTTCTCTTTACTCTGCTTTGATCAATATCTATGTAAACTGCTGTTTTTTCACAATATGTTGTCCTTTCCTGCATGCTAAACTACATCTGTTGGCATAGCTGCATGATATTGTTGTACATTTATGTGCATGCATGTGAGAATGTTGTTTTTTTTATGTCCTGTGTGTGTCTGTGTGTTTGTGCGTGTCCACTACAGTCCAGAAAGGGCCGTTCGTGTTCGTCTCAGAGAGAAGTGACTGTAGTTCTGCTTAACGGGCAGTATGTGATGGTGCGCTGTGACATTAAGTCCAGAGGAAGAGATGTGTTTGACATGGTGGTGGCTCATGCAAACTTGGTGGAACACTTCTACTTTGGTCTTGCCTTTATAGATGGTAAGCATGGCGTAGTATGTGGGTCTGTATTGATTGTACATAACAACATTCAATACAGAAATGTCAAAATATCCATAGTCCAACTTGTGATATTGTGCCCTCACATTTGGTATCCATATAAATTATTGACAACAGATTTTATTTAAAATAAAATATAATTTGAATTTGTTATGCCTGATGAGTTAAAAAGGCTTTTCTTTTTCATTCTGCAGATGATGAATATTTTTTCTTGGATAATGAAACAAAAATCTCCAAAATTGCACCTGACAGTTGGAGAAAAGGGCAGATTTTGTCCTTTTTGGTGTTTCTACGACTCAAATTTTTTGTTGATGATATGTCCTTTGTTTTGTAAGTACAGTTCTGGTGAAATGTATACAATCTATAAATAGAATTGAATAGTTTAAAATATTCAATTAACCCTTTGTCCTGTTTCCTATAGGCACAAACTGACTCGACACCAGTACTACTTACAAGTGCGTAAGGATCTCCTGGAGGACAGGCTTTACTGTAACGAGGAGACTGGCTTGTTTCTGGCTGCTCTCGCTCTGCAGGCTGAGTTTGGGGATTACATGCCAGAGGTACCAACGACACAAAGATGCTTTAAATACCAGCACCATCTTTGGGTTTGTGTTACATATGTTTCTTTTGTGTGTCTTTCTAGCTTTATGGTAAGAATTACTACCAGCCTGAGCATTATGTGTCCAAGAGAATGCTAGAGAAGCTGGCCCTGCCCAATGTCAAGGAAGAGTTGCCAAGACTACATGCAAGTCATTCCCAGATGCTTCCTGAAGAGGCAGAAACAGAGTACTTAAAGGTAACAAATGCATCCACTCACATACATGTTTCACAAGTTGCTTACCACTAAACATTTTTTCCGTTGATCACACTGTTTAACTTCTCTAATTCTAAATGATTACTAAAATGATTGGCTACAAGTTCAAATCTAATGCATGTAAATAAATATGTACACCTCAGATTGCCCAGCAGTTACCGGAGTATGGGGTTATGTTCCACCGTGTGGGGAGAGAGAAAAGGACAGTGGTGGGAGAGTTGGTTTTGGGAGTCTGTGCCAAAGGAATAATTGTGTACGAGATGAAGAACCACCTCCGAACCGTCACCAGACGCTTCCTCTGGAGGGAAACCGACACCATATCAACTGGGGTAGGTGCTATTTCAGTAATATTTTTGCTGTATAAGATATTACTTTGTGTGGCTCTTTTTTGTTTGTTTGTGAATGTATGGTAACTTGTGTTTTCTATATCTTCCAGCGGCGTAAATTGATTATAGAGTGTGGCGGGCCCAGTGGAAAAAAGCACAGTTTTATAACAGAAAGCTCAAAAATAGCACAGTACCTCCTGAACCTCTGCTCAGCACAGCACAAGTTTCATAGTGAGATGACGTCAAGACAACTTAACCACACCATTATACCAGGTGGATATATTTTATTTATTTATTTACATGTCAGAAAGGTTTTAGCCAAAATGACAACTAATAATTAACACCTCTGTTTCTCCAGATGAAAACATGAAGTACATGACAGTATACAGAGACCGTAACCTGAACCTGAAGCAGTTCTCCTGCTCAGAGGGCATGTTGAACCATGTGGGTTTGACACCTGGTCAACCAGACTCCCTCTCCAAGTCCTGTGAGAACCTGACTGCCAAACTGGAGGCGAGGCTGCGCCAGCAGAGGGAGATGAGGAGAGAGATGAGCAGAGAGCTGAACAAGGAGCTCACTGAAGCTGAAGACCTGGGGGACATGAAGGAGCAACAGTGTTGGGGGTAGCTCTCCATTATAAGAACATTACAACATACAGTAAACAGTAAGAAAACAAATGTATAAATGCAAATGTGCACATGTGTTGCAGCACTTCAGAGACGATTCCCAGAATGATGTCCAGTGTGTCACTACAGAAGCAGGACTCTGAAGCCTCGTCCTCTATACGTGGTAAATATGTACTTTTGTGAACACATACAGAGGGAGGAAACTTAAAAGAACTTAAAAAATTACAAATCAATCATGTTTTGTAAGGTGTATGTTCTGGTGCATGGAGACATTTGTATAATTCTGATTCGGAACCGGTTTACAGTACACAACCCTACTCTTTACTAGACTTTTGTCCTGACCCTAAATATAATAATCACATGTGATTTGCAGTTGATACACCAACGAGGACCCCACCAGAGAGAGAGATAGTCTGTGTGACCCTGAAGAAAGATCCCAAACTGGGCTTTGGTGAGTTTATTAAGGTGGACTAAGCTGTGAACTTCATCTAAAATAAACAAATATTCACTTCACTTTATCTCTCGTCCTGTTTCAGGCTTTGTGATAGTGGGCGAGGACAATACAGGCAAACTGGACCTCGGGATCTTCATTGCTTCCGTTGTGTCTGATGGGCCTGCGGACAAAGATGGACGAATAAAACCTGGTACGACAACATACAACAAAACGTTATTAAGAGACAAATGGGCTGCAGGTAACAACCTATAACAAAGATTTTGATATATATTTTTTCCAGGTGGACGTCTCATCTCCCTCAACAAGACAAGTTTGGAAGGAGTGACATTCACTGACGCTGCTGCCATCCTACAGAACTGCCCAGACGAGGTGGAGCTCATTGTGTCCCAGCCTAAATGTAAGATTGTCTCTATCTCTGATTTCTCTTCTTTCATTTCATTTCATTTCAAACCTTTATTTAAGCAGGTGAATCCCATTGAGATCATCAATCTCTTTTTCAAGGGAGACCTGCTGCAAGTAGGTTCCACATGAAGACATAAACACTGAAAACAACAGAAAAACAAAAAGGACATCATACAGCATACAAAAAGGACATCATACTGCATGCTATCCAACATTTGTATAGTAAAGTAGTGACACTTTATTCAGTGTACTAAGGTATTTTACCCCACCTGCTTGTTGTCAGACTCTCTAAAGGACAGGAGGGGTTCATTTAGTCACAGTACCCTGGGTTTGGCGCTGGAGAGGGGCTTTGGGTCACAGACCACACTGTGCAGCGCAGATTTTCGTCCCGTTGTGGAGGAACTGGAGGAAGCCATCATTCTGTCCAACACGGCAACCCCCAGACAGAGCAGGAGGCTTCACATTCCTGTGGTGCGAATACATGACGCCAAGGTTAGACATGAATGACTCTGTTTCCATGGAAGCTAAGATGTCAACATGAAGAGCTAATTGTTAAACTGATTAATTGCTTTGTTAAGTTTCCTGAAAACCCACCTTTATCTTTTCCTAATGTATCCATTTCTCAATCAAACGTTTTTTTTTTTCAGGATGTGTGTTCTAGGTCTCCCTCTATCATAAGTTTAAGAAATGGCGAGCGCTTTGTAGTGGAGCTGAAGAAAAGCAACGGTAGTCTTGGCATCAGTGTTGCTGTGAGTCAATGTTTTTTTCTTTAATTGTACAGCATTTGTTTTATACAAAGGTTCATCCAGCTAAAACTAATGCAGTCCAATACAATAGTCCTGCTTTCAAAATATAGCTGCAATGCACAGTAACTGTGAGCCCTTTACGCTGAGTCAGTGTATGTTTCTCGGGTTATTTGAGGCCTGAGTCATTGACTAATTATTACATCTATCTTTTGCCAAAAGGGAGGAATAAACACCAATGTGCGATATGGAGGCATTTACATCAAGACTCTGGTGTCTGGAGGTGCTGCAGAGCAGGACGGGCGCATTCAGATTGGTAATCTTAAAACATTTCATTTTGATATGTGATCAGTACGCTTCCAGTTTGATTTTGTGCCGGATGTTCACTCAACTTATGATTAAGTGGGGGATGTAGTGGTGAAAATCATTGTCATTAATTTGCAATATGTCATCTTTAAATGTATTATTTCACAATGTTTTCCCATCCATTTGCATCATCATCAAAGGAAATGATGTAAACATAGTGAAATATATGCTACATTTAGTCAAAATGGCACCCTTTGACTTGGGGGAGATCGTCATCTCCAATATTTAAACTGATTGTGGATTGAACTGGGGCCCTATAAGATGAAAGCTATAAAACCTGTATGGACATGAGTGTGCCGCTGAGGCCACTGTGCTGTGTCTGCTTGCTTCATGCTTCAGTGAGCAGGAATGATTTTAAGATTTGTCGACATGCCCAACAACCACACGCACACACAGACCGTTTATGTTTTGATGTTGCTAATGATGATGAGATTTGTGTTTGTGCATATGACAGGTGACAGACTGCTGGAGGTTGATGGGTCCAACCTGAGGGGCGTGACTCACCCCCAAGCTGTCGAGTGCCTGAAGAGGACTGGGGAGGTATATATACACACACACACACACACACACACACACACACACACACACACACACACACTAATATATATATATATATATATATATATATATATATATATATATATATATATATATATATATATATATATATATAATACACATGTAAAACTCTTTTGATAATATGATTGGATAAATATATTTAGGTAATTACTGTAGAAAAATCAGTTGTATCAGTACCAGAGTCTATGTTTCAGCTCCTATTTTTCAACTTTAGTAAACGTTGTTTTCCTTCATGTATGAACACATTAATTCCCTCACCTTAATTAAGTAGTTTAAGTTAACTTCTCTGAGCTAATCATAAAAAATAACTGTACCATAGAGGAGTGAGCTAACGCTTATAAGAGTTGTTTTGGAATAGACCAGTGTATCATTTAGTTGCACTTGTTGGACCCTTTATACCTTATCTACAATACTGTAGAGAAGCGTTTTAAATTGACTCCATTCAAACCTGAATATAAACTTGCATTAGCTAGTGTACATTGTTGTCTTTACTTTTAACTCCTGAACATATCAAGGGTTTGTATGTGCATCTTTTCCTTCTAGGTGGTGAGCCTGCTTTTGGAAAGGGAGCCCACAATAGTCTTGGAGCCCAGACCTGACTCACCCTGCCCCCCTTTGGCCCAAAGTTCATCACATACACAGCCCTCCAGGACGGATGTCTCCATGGAAACGACCTTGAGTGGTCGAGCCAAGGACTACAGCTTTGTGACTGATGGTGAGGCGAGAGGAAGGGGCACATACGCTCACATAGGAGGGGAAATAAGAAAAGATAGACAGTGTCAGGCACACACACACACACACACACACACACACACACACACACACACACACACACACACACACACACACACACACACACACACACACACACACACACACACACACACACACACACACCACACACACACACACACACACACACACACACACACACACACACACACACACACACACACGTTGCACACATGGCCCAGAGGTGACTGTGAGTCATCTGACAGCTACATTGTGGTTGCTGTCAGAGTCATCCAGGGTTGACGCTCCCTCAGTCCCCCGAGACAGCCTACACTGAAACCTTGAAGCTGCCTGTTCCCTGCCTGAGATCAGTTAAAGGGACAGTTCTCATCCCCAACAAAACCTTCCTTGTGAGGCAGAATTTGTTTAAAACAAAGGATTCTTGCTTGTTCAGATTTGGCAGTGGAGAAAATTAAATAATTCTCATAGGGACATATGCGTGTCAGGGGGGATTAATCAACATTGTTTTTTTTTACACAATGTACCAAATTGCAGACCACAACACAGATTAAAGGTTACACAACACACGTTAATGCTCCAAGATTCCCCTCTGTCTCCTCTTTTTCCTAGAAAATACGCATGAAGTGGTGTTGAAGAAGAGTTTGTCTGGCCTCGGTTTTAGCTTTAACATCTCACATATGCACTCGGGGCCAGACCGGGGCAGCGTGGTCCGCATCAAACGTCTGTTCCCGGGTCAACCAGCGCTAGAGAGCGGCCTGCTGCAAGCTGGAGACGTCATTCTGTCTGTCAACAAAGAGCCTGTGAAAGACCTCTCTTACCAGGTAGGGTTTGGGGTATTTTTATTTTTTAATATATATTTGTATTCAGATTTAGCATTTTATTACATAACAGTACAAACAATGGGTGGGTGACAACAGCGAGGGTGATGCAAACAATAGCAAAAGTAAAGAAAAGGAGAGTAAATAAATACAATAAAATAAATAAATGGTCACTAGTGCATGGTAATAACATCAGTAACAGCTGTAATATATACATATACATATATATAAATATATATATATATACATTTGAAAAATGTGTCCATGCATAAGGCACAGAGATTTCTTCAGGTTATAATGTCCTTCATTATTCTTCATAAATAAGAGTATGAGGATTGAATCAGATCAGGGTGACAGATAGAGCCAAATCAATACAGTAAATGAACAAGATAAAATAAAATAATAAGATAAAGGGTTTGCGGTATTTAACATTATTTGTAATCCTTACATATTTATACCATTGAATTAAAAATCTATACCCATATTCATAAATAGAGATTGTTTGTTGCAAGTTGTTTTATTGTGTTATAGGTTTTTGGGATGTAAAAAATTAAGAATAGAATTTATAACGTGTTGACTACCGACACTAATGAGCGTAAGAACAGCACTATTGACCCTGCTCTTTAAGATCTCAGACACGTCATTGGTCCACTAATCCTTTAATCTGATACCAACCAAAATAGCAAGCTGGTTGTGTCTTAGTATTTTGTGTACTGCCAAGGAGTTACAATGGAAATAACACTGGTGCATTTTGCCATGTTACCTTAAAAATTGCACACTTTGAGTCACTCAAAAGATGTATCTTAACTTCCTACACACTTCTTTTTTAATTTTCAGAGGGTTTTGTTCCTGCTACGTGGAGCTCCATCTGAAGTTCATCTACTAATCTGCCGACCAGGTCCTGGAGTATTGTTCGATTTGGATGACAACACACTGGTGAGCTCACCCACACCTACACATATACATAAAGAAAAAAACTCCCAATTTAGACCCGGTATACTGATAAACTGTCTTACCTGTCTCTGTAGAGTCCTGCTTACTTCCGTGAGGTTCGATCTCAGTCTCTGGACATCCGACTAGGAGACGACTACAGCCAGCTCCTCAGATTTCAATATGATTCTATAATATCTGCCCAGAAGCAGGCCCCCACCCCTGAGGAGGATCTGACAGACACAGCAGAGGAAACCCCAGATCCTCCTGCAGCTCCAGCACTCCCAGAGACCCAGGAGAGTCTGGATGGTAAAGTGCAGGCACACCAGACTCCTCCGTCTCGTCCTCGCTCACCCCCGTCACCCACCTCCCCTATATCACCTCCGTCACCAGTCTCACCTGCCTCACCTGCCTCCCCATTATCGCCTGCCTCACCCGCCTCACCCATCTGTGGCTCTCCTCCAGCTCAACCAGAGGTGCAACCAACCACTGGGAAACCAGAGGAACAACAGGAAGTAGAAGCAAGGAAGCAGAACAAGGAAAGAGATGAGAAAGAAGAAGTGGAGGTTGCAACGACAAAAGGCTCAACTGTGATGCTTATGGATGTCTGCCCTAAGTCTGGATCGAAATATGTATATGCAAGGTAATGTATCAGATGTAGCCACATCTAGCCATTTCTGAAACAGGATTTGATATGGGAACTGCTTTAACATCAGCAAAATCTAAATGTGTATGTAAACGTATCAAACTCCTTAGAAGGATGATCTAAATAATCAAATTTACCAGAATATTTGAATCAATTTGGACAAACTTATTGAACGTAAGTCCTGATACATTTTCGACATTTGATTAGGTTCAGCTTCTTTTGTTAGAATTTGAAAAAGCAGGGTACAACAGAAAAAAAACACAGTTTTTACACAGTGAAGCCTGAAATGCGTGAATAACAGCCATCAACAGCAATCAACTTCAAAAGCTAACAAGAAATACTATATGTCATACATATACATTTGATACATTTTAGAAGATTAACGTTTTAAACAGCTTTAGAGAAGAAACTTTGTTTTAAAGTTATTCTATCTACTGTCTGTTTATCTGCAGTGGAGTCAGAGAGGATGCTGATGGCAGTGTGACCTACTGCCTGATGGGAAATGGACTGACTATCATGGCAGATGAAGAGTACCTGACCATCAGCTCCACAATGGAGAACCCTCGCAGCCCCCCCTCCAATGTGTCCACTCAGACTCCATCATCCAACGTCAAAGACCTCCACCCTCGAACCTCCGACAGGACTTCTAGTTTCAGCTCTCACAATCCCACCCTCGCTCCTAACCTGCCCACGACCACCGTCTCGCGCCTCAGCCTCTCGTCTGACACCCCGACCACTCTCTCCCTGGCCCACCCATCCCCACCTCTCACCACACAGCCACCGAAAGCCAAGCACCACCCGATCCAGCAGGGTCTGCTTTCAAGTCACTACAAAGCCGTCGGCAAGAACAGTCGGCCTCTGGGGTCCCCACCCCAGCCGCCGCCTGCACCCTCGACCCCCATCACAGCGCAGGTCGGCCCCTCTGTTCCTCCCTGTGCCAGCCCACCTGCCCCGACACCGCTGCCCGCCCAGAGCCACACACAGCAGAGGGAAGAGCCCGAGAAGAGAGAGAGGGAATACAAGGATTACGATTACGAGGAGAGTGAGGAAGAGGAGGCAGAGAGTCGGAGAAAGGTACGTTTGGGAGGTTTTGTTTTCTTGGCTTACTTTTCCTAAATGACAACCATTTAAAAAGGATTCCAAAACGTTTGGTGAATGATAGGTTTAGGCATGGCGTAATGAACCAGTAATTAATATGTGCTTGTTATTTGGCTTCAAACAAATAATAAACAAAGATCCTCAGTGTTAATTTAGGATAAAACATTTCTAATATCAACCAGAACATTCTCAATGTGTTCTACATACAACATTTGAATTGTTAAGTAACTATATAACCATGATAAACAAACAAGACATCTACTGTTAATATTAATACAGGATTTTAAGCTATTTCTATATATTTCCACATGTATAGAAAAAGTCAATGTTAATCATACATGTCACTTGTCTGCTTAAAGGTGGGGTAGGTAAGTTTGAGAAACCGGCTCGAGATACACTTTTTGTTATATTCCATGGAATGCTCTTAACATCCCGATAGCAATGAATATCTTAAGTGCTTTGACAAAAAATCCATAAAAAAATGTCATCTGTGGAAGCCGTAATACTGTAAAAAGCACGACCAATCATTTTAGCCGGCCCGGCTAAAATAACTGGATGGCCTACCTGCCTGTCAGCCTTCCATCTGTGCACAAACTTATCTCGTGCCCTCATTGGTCATGTGTGCGTTCGTGTGTGTTGGAGGAGGGGCTCTGTAAGGAAGTGGCAGATTTTTTCCGGCTGTGTATTTTCAAATTCTAGCGATCTCGAGCCGGTTTCTCCAAAATTACCTACCCCACCTTTAATCAATGCTAGACAAATAGCTATATGTTGCAATATGATTAACTGTAAGAAAAGACCATATAAAATATGTTTCACCTTGTTTGTATCATAGTTATTCATCTTGCACTCTCTTCTCTGCATAATAATTGTACAGCACATGTTATGGTGAGAAATATGTGGTTGAGTTAAAGTTAAAGCTTAAACAACAAGTGTTAAATATTATGTCTTAGAGAAAATGTATAGCTATTAAACAGATATATTGATTTTTGTTTTGCCTGTCAGTGCTTTGTTAAAGAGTTTGAGCTGTCAGTGGTTCTGACCAAGTCGAGGAATGGAAGCTTTGGGTTCACCATCACTCGAAGCAAGCTGGACAACTGCTACTACATCCAGGAAATACTGGACAACCCAGCAAAGTCAGATGGACGACTCCGGGCGGGAGACAGGCTCATCACAGTACGCGCAAACACACACACACATCCGTACATTTCTGCAAGTAAAAAAAAAGATGACACAGATGACAACTTTTCATATGTTTTCCAGGTAAACAGACACGATGTAACCAGTGTGGCAGATGATGTTGCCATGACAATTCTCAGGTCAACTCCGAGAAGACTGGGCATGACTGTGGGGAGAGCTGTGACCAACCTGGGGGCCCCGCCGTCCTGCGACAGCCTGCCTGATGTAGTTATCTACAAGACCCCCTCAGGACAGCTGGGTATGTCATTTGACACATTTTAATGACACAGTATTAATTGATTGTATGTACTGAATGTATGTGTGCCTTCTCCAGGTATAAAGCTGACAGGAGGCATCGGCAGCAAATGGCAGGGCATCTACTGTCTGCAGGTGGTGCCAGGCTCCCCAGCCAGCGAGGAGGGCAACGTCCAACCCAATGACAAGATCCTCTATATCTGTGGCAGGTGCACCCTGGGAATGACCCTGGAGGACGCAGTCAAAGCCTGTGAGATCGCCCCTCGTAAAGTCAAGCTTAAAATCATCAGGTATGCATCCTTAACAGGCTAGAGAGACCCTGAAGTGGGTTTGTTTTGACTTCCTTGAATGACTCTACTGTTTGTGTGTTTTACAGAGAAGACCAGCCCTTGAACCCCAAGGCTAAGTGGAACGGTAAGGGCTTCTGAAGGATTTATGGGAAGGGGACACCTGCTTGAGTTAACCCAGGAGCACATAAACAAGATATTTTGGTTGTTATATGCTCTGATGGATTGCCTAGAAACCAGATATGTTTGTGCTCAACTGAACAATGATAATTTAGGTTCAATCATTACCAGACAGTGTTGTGAGTTCAGGAAATGTTATAATTTGCGGTTTCCTTGTATGTGCTGCTGGCTTTCTATATGTTCATATATGGGGTTTTCTTCTGTAGGTCTGTTTGACTGGAAAAAGGACAAGAAGTTCTTAGCTCGTTCCGAAGAGCCCGTCTCTCCAGAGAAAGAGTCTCCTTCCGAAGATGGTGAGTTTTTTTCTCCTCCGATATCTCGCATGTTCTATCATCACAATAATTGGTTCCCTTTCACTCTTTTGCTTGTTGCTCCTTTGTCTGTGTGAAGCTGGAGCTCGGTGCTGAAAGATAGTTCACTTTGCAGCTGTGTGTGTGTGTGTCTGATCCGAATGCTGACAGACAGATCCTGGCTCTCACAGCAGGATTAATAATTAGCAAGCCTCAGGCCCTCCACTGGGGTATTGGACAGCAGGACTGCAGCCAACACACACACACACACACACACACACACACACACACACACACACACACACACACACACACACACACACACACACACACACACACACACACACACACACACACACACACACACACACACACACACACACACACACACACACACACACACAGTACCATACAGACAGTGGTCTACAGGGAAGGTAGCTCAGTTGCCTGGTGACGGTGCATGCAGTGGTAAGGGACAGTGCAGAGGGTCAGTCTGAAAAGACCAGCCTTGTTCACCTGTCATAGAGGAGACGCACCCATCAACACCTCTCTTCCAAAATGGCCGAAGAGGTGGGAGGTTGGTGTGTGTTGCTTTTTATTATGTGTGTCTGTGATAGATATTTCATTGGCTGAAAACGGTCGCATGAATGGAAATTGGTACAGAGGGGAAGTTCCAGTGTTGGCTCAGGGCCCAAAATACTTTGTTACAATATTTATAATTTACATAGCTTTTAATTGTTGATCGGTATTACCTGTATCCATTATTGTTAAGATAATATATAGGGTTGTTTGTAGGCTGATTCATTGATTACATTTGTTTTATTTTTTTCAGCCGAACCTGTGTCTAGATCTTCTGGAAATTACAGATGTCAATCTATTGCACAGGAACATGGTGTAAGTTTGTTAACATATTATTTTTATTTTTCTAAAAGCTTGTTCTTTATGTCGAAACTTTTCACTTTTGTCCACTCTTTTACTCCTCTTTTTGAAGTGTGTGTTGAAACACACACTGTAACATGAGTCTACTGTCTGTCAATCTGTGAATGCATTCTCTGCTGGGGGGGTCACTGTCTGTGTGTGTGTGTGTGTGTGTGTGTGTGTGTGTGTGTGTGTGTGTGTGTGTGTGTGTGTGTGTGTGTGTGTGTGTGTGTGTGTGTGTGTGTGTGTGTGTGTGTGTGTGTGTGTGTGTGGTGTGTGTGTGTGTGTGTGTGTGTGTGTGTGTGTGTGTGTGTGTGTGGTGTGTGTGTGTGTGTGTGTGTGTGTGTGTGTGTGTGTGTGTGAGGCATGTGTTACACCTGAGTCATCTAAAAGCATGGCATTTTTCTGCGGAAAATGCTTCTGAAAATACGATGGAAGAAAGTTACTGATTCTTTCTTCTCCTTTACTCCACTGGTTCCTTTTAGAATTGCATCATGCAGGTGGAGTTAAAAAAACCAGAAGGAGGAGGCCTTGGCTTTGCTTTGATCGGGGGAACCAATGGCAGCATGCTCAGAGTGAGAGAAAACTGCTCTGGTGGAGTCGCTGAGCAGGATGGTCGTCTGAGAGTGGGAGATATCCTTTTAGAGGTAACAGCCTATCATACACCTTGACTGTTGTATTACCCCTGTAGTGGAAAAACAAAAACATTTCTTCACAATTTGTGTTCTAGGTGAACGGTGTGATTGTGTCCGGGCTCAGCCACAGTAAGGTGGTGGATATTCTGCGTAAAGCTGAAGGCTCTGTACAGCTCACAATCTGCAGAGACAGGCCTCTGACCTACTGCGAGTCCCTGACACCGCCCAGCATGTCTGCTAAGGAAGCTGTTTTAGCCGAGCAACCGGCTCCTGTCCCCAGCCATGGCAGCTGTTCCTCTCCTGACATCATGCTGAAAAAACCAGTGGAGTGCCCGTCTGGTACAACTACTTTTCCCTTTATAGTGGATTTTTAGATTGATAATAGTACTAGAAAAAAGAGCAGGTGCTACTAATCTTACTTCACTGCGCTAAGATTCAATCATATAGAAATGTAATGTTTTGATCTGGTTTAATCAAATTAGATGAAAACAAGTTTCTGACTTAATGCAAATGCTGTGTCTTTTAAATGCGTTCACTCAATTGTATAATTGGCGTTCGACTTGCAATTTAAAAGTAATTTGTGTTGTTCCAGAGGCCACATCAGACCCTTTGGTCAATGAAGCTGGTGTTTTCGTTGCCTCATCGCCTCCTCCACAACGCAGACTGACCATCGTAACTGATGACATTACAATTATACCGGTAACATGCATAAGTACAATAACTATAGTGCAGCTATAATGATGTCAAGTTATTTTAACCTTAAAAAAAGCCACCTCTTTACTAACATCTACTACTAACATCTTACTCCTCCTGTCTGTTCCCTCCTCTGGCTGCTTGTCTGTGGAGCAGGAGAGCTGTAACAACAGCCCTTCTCATCAAGCCTGCTGCCCACCCCTCAATGTCACTGACATGTTGCATGGAGCTTCTGACAGGTAGTACATTCCTTTTTTTGTCTACTTATTTCTTCACCCTCCTCCTCCTCCCCCTGCTGCTTCTTTGGTTTTGTTCTCCTAGAGTTCCAGTGTTAACCACAGGGAGGCAACAGAGAGCAATAAATAAACCAGCCCCCTGGGATAAATGCTGCTCCTTATGGGCAGTGAACCCCAAACAAAGAATACCAAAAGAAATAGACAACTAGAGTAACAGTTAGGAAGTGTATAGTACTATTCCCTGTAGCCTCACCACAAGAAGTATGGCAGAAGTATAAAGATATTTTAGCCTTTTGTCTATACTGTATTTTAGGTGGAAAAGACGCAGGGAAAAGAAGCTCAGCCTTGCATGATTTCATCCCCTCCTACCGAAGAGTAAAAATGGTCTGGTCTCACCCCTGCCCCCTGACTCCCCCAGGAAACAAATTGTGACCAAACTTTTGGACCGGTCCTGCAAAGACATCCGGAAAAAACAGTCAGACGGCTGGAGCAGCGAAGAGGAAGATGATGATGTGTTTGACGAAACGTGTCGAGAAACCACACCCCAAACAGGTGTATATTCCTCTACTCCTGTGATGATGGTCCCAGTCAACATTTGTATCTGTGTTATCAGCAACTCTTTTCTTCTTTTTGTCTTGTTTTGTTTCCTCAGGCCCACCCATAGTCTCAGAGGACGAACTAGCCAGTTTAGCTCTCATTAGCCCCTCGAGGACCAGTCAGTATTCAGGCTGCAGAGTCAAATCCCTCATCCATATTCTGCAGCATCAACTGGACCAGCAGGAACTGGTCAAAGAGTTCATGGTGTGTAAGATGTTATAGACAATATAGTTAATGTACAATGTATTTACCAATCTGTGTAATTCAAAGTTGTAAAATGTTACGGGTATAATAACACGCTGCCTAGTTAATGTGCCATTTAACCTTTTCCCTAATGGATCTTGCCATAAGAACTATACAAGCAGGACTTTAAAATGTGAACTGCACTTTGAGAAAATTAGCTAAATCTAAATGTGCAGACACACATAGACACTCATTATCAAAACATTGCAGTTTTAAGCTATTTGTATTGCCAGACATACTATGATCCAGCAGCACTATTCAGAGTTTTAACGCTTTCTTAACGTTGCTCATTTCAGACTCTGGAGCATCTGAAGCCTTCTGACAACTGTCTGGTTGGAAAAGCTCCTGAGAACAGAGATAAGAACCGCTACAGAGACATCCTACCCTGTAAGTTTGAAAAACGGCTTCTGTTAACTTGTACTTTCTGCTGGTAGAACCTACACTTTCCCTTTATCCATTTGTTCAATCCCCTGCGCTTCATTTTATGTCCCCCTGTTGGAGTTTTTTATTGTTGAGCTGAACTTGTAAAAGCTAGATACTCGCAGGCTTTGCATTTATAGGAGAGCCTGTTTGTTAGCACTTTTCTTCACTACTCAGTTTAAGCTGATTGTACAGTCTTTAATGAAGGCAGGGTAGATGTTTGTTTACAACACTTGGCTGTGCAACAAATCATTTCCCGCGTAAGTATCAATAATTCACTGGAGCCGCACTTATAATCTCCTCGGAGTCAGCCAAGTATGTGATGATGAAGATGATGCCATTCCTTGGCAACCTTGTAATTATCTGAGATTTATATTTTTAATAAATGAAGCTGCATCGTGAAACATAAAATTCCAAGCTGTTTTATTAATATGAATTTCAGGGTGTAAATACAGAGGGACAGAATGAAAGGCAAAATTCCCCCAAAGACAAGAAAAAGTGAATGTCTGTGAAAAAGCTGCAAAACCAACACATGCTCAAATGCACCAAACACATAAAGAAGTGTTCACTTCCCTATCCCTTAGTGTTTTAAGGTGAAAGGTTCAGAGTTTAAATGAATGAGCGGGATGAAAAGGATAAAGAGACCCAGAGGAATACCACAGTATAGCTTACAAAAAAGGCCTTGTTGCTTGCAGCCTGTTATAACTGATGTTTGTCCAAAGAAATACCAACTATTTACCAATCTAATAATTTACTTGTAGCCTTTAACTAGCTGATTTGGTCTCCAGTCTGTGGTTTTTTTGATCTGACAAGCAGGAGGTGGTGGACCAACGCAGAAAATATTCCTAACTGCCTTCGTTCTATCACCCCTCTCATCACCAAAAAACTTCTTCACAGCGCTGGTTTGTTGCACTCAACTCCAGACCCCAGAGCTGTTTACTTGGCTTTATTTACTGTAGACTTATATTGCGTGCTTTTGGCTAAACAACAAATCAAATCAAATCAAATCAAGTTTTATTTATATAGCACATTTTTAAAACGATTTTTGGTCGAGTCAAAGTGCTGTACATATACTGTAATAATTACCTTACAGTAAGGACACTTTACAGCAAATACAACAGCACAGTTTGTGCAGAATATCAGTATGAGAAAACGACACCCTCTGTCCTTAGACCCTCACATCGTACAAGGAAAAACTTCCGGAGAAAAAACCCACAGTTTAAAGGGGAACATGGGAGAAACCTCAGGGAGAGCAACAGAGGAGGGATCCCTCTCCCAGGACGGACAGACGTGCAATAGATGCCGTGTGTAAGAGATAATACATTTTACAGCGTACTGTAGGTAGACCGAATGTTTGGAGATGCATGTGTCTATAATAAGAAGATGAATCCACGAAGATGTCAAGAACAAGGTAGCAGTGTTTGTTGTTTGCGACCGAGAAATGGATGGATTAGTTCAAGATCAAGAAAACATTCCTAATGTTGTTGTTACGTTTGTGGGGAGATGCTGCTGGAGGTCTAATTAGTGTATTTGAATTATGAATTGATATAGCGATTCATGCTCACAAACAGCACACAGACAGTTCAGGATATTTTTGACTTTCTCTTTCTCTACATAGATGACGAAACCCGTGTTGCCATTGGAGACAAGCAGGACTACATCAACGCCAGCTACATCCGCATGAAAGTTGGCGAAGAAGAGCTCTTCTACATCTCCTGCCAGGGCCCTCTGCCTACCACAGTGCCAGCTTTCTGGCAGATGATCTGGGAAAACAAGTCTGACGTCATCGCCATGATGACCCAGGAAGTAGAACGGGGACGGATCAAATGTCACAAGTACTGTCCAGAGAAGCTTTCCATGCCTCTGGACACAGGCAGGTACCAGCTTCACCTGGACAACCAACAGTACCTGGAGCACTTCCACATCAAGATCATCCGCATGGTGGAGACAGAGGTAAATGTTTTGTGAGGGAAACCTGCATGCCTGTCTAATATTATGGTTTATACTTAAAGGGGACCTATCATGCAAAATGCACTTTTGTACGTCTTTTATACATGAATATGTGTCCCCGGTGTTCCAGGGAACTCACCAAGTGTCAGAAAACACAACCCTCTCTATTTCCTCCATACCCAAATCTCTAAAAAAGGGGCTGCAACGGATCTGATAAAAACTGATCCAGATTTGAACAGTGGCGCCACGGCCATTGCCGTTCAAAAGCGCTGGAGACGCTGTAGTACATATGCCAGGCCTGTAGGTGGTGCTGTTCTCACAGAATCAGCCCTTGCAAAAACAGAGCTAAAAAAGTGCAAATTGAGCGAAATGAGGCATGGCTAAAATGCATGATCTGTTTGGTATTTTGAAGGAAAAAAAGTATAAATATGCCTTATATAGGTATGGTCCTACACTATATTATTCAAATATAGCATGATAGGTCCACTTTAAATGTAAAATTCAGCTTGAAGGGAAACAATTTTGTAAGTATTTTTGTTCTTCCAGACCGGGGAGACACATTTTGTCCGTCACTTGAAGTTCACACACTGGCCTGACCACGGAGTGCCGAAAAGCTCTGAGCAGCTGGTCCGTTTCATCCGCTACATGAGGGCGGTGCACCAGAAGGGACCGGTCACTGTGCACTGCAGCGCCGGCATCGGACGCACAGGAGTTCTGATCTGCACTGACGTTATCCTCAGCCTCATTGAGAACGACCTGCCTGTGAGTGAAAGCCCTTTTGTTAGGTTAACTAATTACAGTTTATTTGTACACATGCTAGTGGCAATATGGTAGGCTCAGTTCATGACTTTGGTCCAGACTAAAATAATAAAATTAAATATTAACAGCAATCAGATGGATTGCCACAACATTTTGTATAGGATGGATCCTACCAACTTTGCGTATCCTCTGACCTTTTTCCAAGTGCCCATTCGAGTTTTCTCATTAAACCTGTCATTTGTTTGACTATTGTATGGATAGTCATGAATTTTGGATCACATCTTGAATTATACTAACTTTGATCCCTCCTTTTTTTTGTCTAGTCACAAAAATCTTTTCATTTGTCAAACCCTTTGGTTATGACCAAACATCCTACTTAATAATGACACTTCGTTTAGCCTTAGCCTCACAGAGCTTGGTCGTTTGAACTTATTATAGAAATTAGAAATCAACTAAAGCAATAGACTAGTTCACACACACATGCTGTGGTTACGCCACTCACAACCCTCTGTCTCTGTCTTCAGATCAACGTGAGCGATGTCGTAAAAGAGATGAGACTCCAGCGCCATGGGATGATTCAAACCAAGGTTAGTACCAACAAAAAGGTTAAAGTTCAAAGATCAAGCTTTTAAAAAAAAAAAAGACAGTTTCTAAAGCGAGACCTTCCCTTTGTCTCTCGTTTCAGGACCAGTACTTCTTCTGCTACAAAGTCTGGTTGGAGGTTTTACAGGGCATTTTACAGCTTCACGGCAACCAATGGCAACCGGAAAGTCCCCGAGACCACAAATTAGTTTGAATGTTTCCACCTCCGGTTCACCCACCTGTAAAGCACAGACTGCGTATGAGTAACACGTGCAGTCTATCAAGTTAGTTTGGTTAGCTATAATAAGAATGCGTACTCCTGTTTTGATACTTTGTGTTGAGGAGGCCGAATGTTTAGTTCCAATGACTTCAACTTTAACGTTTTTTGTTCTCTCGGTGCTGTGATTATATTCATTTAATTTAGTCACTGAGGTTGTTTTGCCTTTTCAGGCTTAGTGATTTGCCTTCTTTCTTTAGCTTCTTTTTGCATCACTTTCTGAATGAATCTCATTTACTTTTTCTCCATGTCCTTTTTTTTGCGAATTGCATTTATTTTTAACGCTTATAATGCATGGAATTTAGAAAACCTTAGAATATTCACAACTTTTATCTGGCAGTAATGTCATCGAAGTGCACAAATGAACATAAGATCATCATACCAAAGGGAGTATCTGTTTGAAACCTTGAGTAGCATTTGATTAAGCATTGAGTTATCATTTCATTAAGTGCATTCGTACCCTGGAGAAAAGGGCATTAGCAAAAGAACACTATTGATTTGTCAGTTCATCATCTACGGAAATGTAAAGAATCAAGTGCCTTGGAATGACTCACACCGCTTGCTCCACATTGACCTCGAGCCACTTGTCACAAGCGGTCGGGGATGGAGAGCAGGAAACGGATTTGAGAGCACCCGGGGGTGGTTAGATTGAATGTGCAGCTTTCAGTCTGTTTGAGGTCTGAGGTGAATGTTTGGTTGATCCAAACCAGAGGAGGATTACATCTCACCCTTTAGTTTAATTGTAAGTTAGAAACAATGTGAAGTTTGCACACCGCCTCTCAATCTGTCTTTGTTTGTGGGCCCATTTTATACAAAACACTATCACAGTAAAGTCTTACTACACATAATCACAACTTGCACATCCTGATACAGATAAAGAATGATTCAACATAACAAATCTTTGAATAAATTCATGAATTTTCAATTGACTCTTTTACAAAAATTTGGATGAGACATAAACACTAAATATTCAGATTTTTCTAAAAATGTACAAAACTGATTTAAATAGTTAGTTGCTGGGCTTTCAGGTGTAATTTGTTACGTGACAACATCCTCTATCTGTATTCCATAGCTATTTTAATACAAATCCAGCCAAGAAAATGCAAAAAAATATATTATGAGGTTTAGAAACTTTTCATTTAGCAACTTCAGATGTATATGTGTACAAAGCAACAGAGCTGCATCTCCCAGTCACAGATCGAATTGATTTATAGCTGCTGGTTTGAACCTCAACCTTTGGATGTAACTGCTTGTAAACTTTGTTCCTTAAGCTGCTAACACACACACACACACACACACACACACACACACACACACACACACACACACACACACACACACACACACACACACACACCACACACACACACACACACACACACACACACACACACACACACACACACACACACACACACACACACACACACACACACACACACACACACACACACACAGGGACACACGGACACAACAGCTCTCTTATTGCATGTAGACTCTTAAAGTAGAGAAGTCTGAGCCTGGAGTTTGGATGAATGACTTGAACATGATCAAAATGTGGAATGTAACAAAGCAATACTCTCCACGAGGAGGAGAGTTCTGAATGTCGACCTCTTACCTGAAAACATCTTCCAAACTGGAGCATGTTGGTAAGAAACATGTAGTACTGTACCTTTGCCATGAGGATGGCTACGCAGAGCCATCAGCCTCTGTCTGTGTATGCAGCATCCTTTCATCAGCGCTGGTGGGTTGGTTTACCAGCGATAGGTAGGTAACGCTCTGTTATGTGCAAGTTCATGTTCTCTTTGAGATCCTGTGGATATGTTTTCTCCTTCAGATCTTGGAAAGTAATTATTCTTGAAAAAAACAAACAAGCACATTTTGCATTCATCTGTGAAAATGCATCTTGTACAGTCAATCAAGTGCTTATGCAATAGCATTGTGAAATGTATAATAACCCTTAATTGCACAACTGCTTATTTATGCTAAATTAATATATTGTCACTGTACCAGCCACTATGTAACCAATAACTGAGAACAATGTAATACCTCTCTCTCTCTCTTTAATTAAAAACTATTCTGAAACATGTTTGCATGTTATTCAACACGTCTTACTCTGAGCACGACATAACTCAAGTTGAACAACGGAACAAGAGTGAGCTTTCCCTGACGGCACACACAGAACAGAGAGCCGGAGGCGGCACTAAATCTAATTCCACTGAGCCCCCTCTCCACTTTTACTGCAGGGTATACTCCCTCTCGGGTTTTACTGCAGGGTAAATAAGCTGGTCTCACAGGGGTCTTTGTGACAGCATGGAAACCCCTGGAAACACACTGCACGCTTCGCACACATATAAACCTGATGCTGGGGAAAGCCATGGAGCAGATTTACTCTCTACTCCCACTGCCCTTGGGCACTATCTCTACATCCACCCCCCTCATAAGCAAACCCCCAGTCACCCCCCGTCCTCCCTCCTTTTTCTCCTTGCTCCCAAACTCAGACCTTGTTATTGCTGTAAGTTATGGCAGGAACGACAGCAACTCGGTTAGTCACGGCCCATTCCTATTTGCAGTTATATTATTTAATAAAAAAACTGGGCTTTGAATTTCCAACCATAAGACAAAGGAAGAATTATGGGCTGACTTAAAGGAGATATTGAAAAGTGAGGTGAAAATCTGTTGAGTGGATAATGGCTGCATTAGAGGAATTTCAACAAGGATCAGGGTGAAATATATTCAGAGTCTTACAATGTAGCAACCAGAAGCATGTAGAGAGATGGGAAAAAAGTTGGCGGGAAAGTCATTAACAGAAAGCCGTTGAGGGCGAGAAAGTGATTTAAAGTCCTGAGGAAGGTGTAGAAAAGAGCTCAAATGCTCTCAGTAAATCCTCTTGCTCTCTGCTGGGCTCACAGGTTAACACAAGCCTGTTTTTTTTTCTCTGTGCATGTGCTGATTAAAAATAGCACTCAAATGATGTGCAGCCGCAAACCCAAACCCACACACACACACACACACACACACACACCCCTACCCATCGTCCCCTCCTAATCTTGGTCCCATCCTCCTTCGCTGTCAGATTTCACCTTGAACATCTAACAAGCAACTGAAAGTCTGACTTGTGTTTTGTGTGAATGATTAATCAAATCCCTTGTCAGTAGTGTTTTGCTTAATCTCCATCTTGTTTCTAAGTTACATACATTTATTTACACACAGTAAGACACATTCATATATTAAGTATCTGCTTGTTTCTCTGCCTCGTTGAAGCTGCAGCCTGCTTACCCAGAGTGAAATATTATCACCCAAACATTTTATGGCTAAAACATTAGACTAAATGGGAAAATCCACATCGTGCCAAGCCTCCTTTGCACGTTTTCCTGTTTTTCTGCCCGTCATTATAAAGACGTTGGGATCTTGAATATATTTTAAGAAAAAGATATCTGTGGGTTAACACAAGGCCTGGGTGCACACTAAACATTTGTCATAATGACTCCCCTCCCTGAGAGGTCTTTAAGGTTTAAAGAGGTTAAGTATGACCCTCCCACAGCAGGTAAGCTCAAGAGGGTTGAGAATGATTACCCTGCAGGATGCTTGCAAAACGGGCCCCGTCATAGACCATTGAGATTGTCAGAAAAACACACTCCAGAAGAACTCCAGCTCATGATTTCTGATAAGCCTGCACAACTAAACTCGAGCTAATAAAAGAAAACTGTCAGAGTTTAGACAGCGTTAATGGGTGCACTGAGATGGCCCCATGCAGTGTGGTTGAGAAATGTTGAGTTAATTATCCCTCACACAGAAAAGCAGATCTTTTGTTGGAAACATTTCACACATTAATAACACAATTTGTAATAAATGTGTATTCAAATCAACTTCCTCAAAAAGGATGATTTAAAATATAATACATAAAACAGTACCTAAAACTGAAACTGTATTTCATATGTGATACATTTACATAAACATGTGTTTTTTTGACATTTTTCGTGTATTAACTTATATGTTATATTATAATTGTAACATTTTGTTATGGTAATGTGAAATGTTTAAAAGTTGCCATGAGTTCAGAAAAACACCCTTGTTTTTTGCTTTGTGATAATGCATTTTTAAGGTTATCCACTGGATTAAAATGTTTACTTAACGTATCCTGCCATAACTGATTTAAATTGTTAAATTGATTTCCTTTTACTAATGTTATTGCCGTGCAGTCGTTTTTCATAGCTTTTTGGCTGAAAACCACTGCCTGCTGTTGCTGAAAGCAACGCTCTAACAGCCCTGAGAGTAAACCAATACAGTGAGCCTGAATCACTTCCTAAAGTTTCCCCAGATGCTTATTGTGTTACATTACAGAAACTAGTTTCTAGGAAGGGAATTGTCTTTACATTCCAAAGTGTGGTTTTTGATTGAGTTTGAGGTAGCAAAATAAATGAGCATTAATGTGTTTTCCTGAGTTGTTGTGTCCTTTGTAAGTTGACCCCACAGGCTCCTCTGTGATGACAGCCCACTGACAGAGACACAGAGAGCCATTCATCCCTCTCTGAGCAGAATGTCACTTTTGTGGCTTTCCAGACTTTCAAAAACCACAGACTTGTCAAAGGAAGCCAATTATGATTATGGTCCTCTCTTGTATGTTCACTTATAATTATCTTAAATCAGTTATGTAAGGGTTAGCTGGGCTCACTATTGGGTTTTGTATGGTGAACTGTAAGTGGGGTCTAGAATTACATTCAGTGGTGCTTCTTGAAAAGGATTACATTTTCCGAGACTTGTGACTTGTGACGTGTGAATTTGTGTCATTTACTCTATTGTCCATCTGGTTCAAACATAAAACACAAGAAGAATCCCTTCACAACACACAGTACAGACATTATAAACAAGCTAATATATGTGTTTTTTATGCCAATGCCAATGTTAATTATATAAATGAAACAGATAAATATCATGCACGGGAGGTCCAAATGCAATAATAAAAGGTCACTTTTACATACATTTGCATTTCCACCCAATATTAAGCATCTACTGTTAACATTTCCAGTTAAATTGAGTTACCAGGAGCATGTAAAACATGAGACAGGTTTTAATGGTAAATGAAAGAAAGATTTGTTGTGTCATTAATTTCCCCTGACAATGTTTTCTGCATGCATGCACTGAGAATAGAGTTTATGTTATTAGAGCATGATGTGGCAGCCAATTTATTTATTATTTGTGGTATTATTAATACTAGAATTAATATTCAAAGAGTTGTCCGTTCCTAACACACACTGCACAAAAGAGCAGGAAATATCCCATTAAGATGTACATTCTTAGTTATATGTTTTAGTTTGCAATGGTTGCTAAACAACGCACAAATCGGTCATCATTGTGAGATGCACACACTGAATGTAAAATGTCTCACTGACTGTGGTCTACACTATAGGTCCTGATAATTTTAGGATGCAGCAAAAGGATGCATACAGTTGCGGAGCCTTTTGTTTAAAATAAGATGTCAGCCTGCCATTGATTGGTCTTAATCACAAAGCTACATCAGAAGCATATAGCAACATATACATTAAGTATACTTTTCAGAGCCTGGAGAAGTTGTACAGTGTTATATTTTCGGTGTTTGGTTTGGTTCTGTGCTCTGGAGCCCATCGACAGGATGGAGGAAAGGCCTTTTTCCAGGACTGTAATTTGCTACAATTATAAATTGGCCACTCAAAGCAGCCAGAGTAAATGAGCACCTTTCAA